CCAGAGATTGTTATGCGTTATCACCAAATTATATTTTTCATAAGGTTTTCCGTAGCACCATATGTTAATCAATCCATTTCTGCTTAAAGTTCACATACTGACTGTCATACCACTGTAAAACAAACTATCAGCATAAACATTGACAACAGAGGACAAGTTGAATTTTCGTTGTGATTATTATGATTATTATTATGCAGAAACATAAATCAGTGAAGAGCTAATTGACGAGCAGCAGCGTCATAATGTTGTTGTCAATGTGTTGATGTAATACTACTGAAAGATGTCTAAACTCAAATGTAATCTTTTCGGATCATAAGACTGAACTTACTCCATAGTTGTATGTCTTTGACAATTGACAATCAATGCTACTATTGGACAAACGGTTGTGTTGCAGGCATTTCGGGAGCTGTTGTAACCGTTTATTAGTGTAGTTGTAAACAAAATCCTTAAAAAGTTTAAATTATGGTTTAAAAAAAGCATCAAAAGAGTGAAAAACCAATTCTTTAGACTTCCCGTTGCTTGTAGTGTAATCAACTGTCAAGAGTTACCAAACATAGTGCCCATTTTATACGTACTCATAGACTAACACATGAGACTATTCCTTTTCATCTTCGCTAGTTATGATATGAAAAAGAAAGTGTTTCATTAAGCAACGACTACTACAACAAGCACAAAACCTAGGTCTAAGGCTTCCTGCCGATTGCCTCCAGCCATCTAACAACAATTCAGAATGCAGCGTAATGGCGAGCCATCTAGCCATATTGCACGCTTGACTGATAGAATACAGTCTACACCAAAAGAAGAATTTGGCACAACATTATTAACTGTATATTGTGCTATCAAGGTAATGCAGTCTTCATTTATGGAAGGTGTCAATGAATTTTCAACTTAAAAAGTCGGAAGACAGCCCAAAAGACATTTGTATTTCACAACTACACGTTAATAAATTACTAGGTATAACTCATTTCAAAAAAACGGCTTTATTAAAACAACTATCTCATGCCTTTATTTTTTTGGATCACATTTGTAAGCTTTATTTTCACATCATTTTTATTGAGTACCTTAGTATTTTCATGCGTACTGGAGGAACAGTTGTGCATCATCCATAACAGACAAAACAAAAATGACTGATCGAAGATAGCATTACAAGTGAATTAAAAGTTAAACACAATTATCACAATGAATATGAATAGAAAGTGGGACTGAAATTAAGAGACACGTTGCTAGGTTATTCAAATATATTGGGACAATTGTGTCCAAATACTAGTTCATTCATAATCCTACGTCTTTTGAATCACTTAGCAACATGCCGTTTACAGTCAGTCGGAAGTGGTTAATATATTTATCTGAAGATATTCTAAATAACACAAGGTAATTAGTGAACTAGTATTTGGACACAACTGTCACATTGTATTTGGTCAGTTTAGAAAAAAATGCCATATGACCTCAGCACATAGTGTCTAGCCTAGAAGTTCAGTTGCTTCATGAATGAAAAAGTGTGAACTACAAAATAAGAGATTTGGTGTCGCCTACATTTCGGTGTTTGATATTATTTCACTTGTCACCCCATTCAACCCAAACCTGGTCAAAGAAATAAGGATATTCTCCGAAGAAAGACCGAAATTTTTTAAGGTGCATAAAAATACGTTAACAACCAGATTTTTCTTTTTATTCCTTCACGTTCCCAGTGGAACATAGGGCTTCAAGCTACAGGCTTGAAGTTTCTGTAGCAGTGCTTATTTTTACAGGATGGGGTTGCTAGCCTCATGCCCAACCTTCCCTCTTTACCAGTCTTATTATTGGCTTAGCGAGGTAAAGGAGTACGTCGGCCGGGGATCGAGCCCCTAGCCATGTGCATGGTTGGCGAGCGTCCTAACCGTCGACGCGCTTAGCAACCAGATAGAAATAATTTATTCTTGTCTTACCACATATCCATAGTTAATTGGTAAGATCAATCAACAGATAGAAGGGAAAGCAATTTGCACTAGACGCATTGACTATAATTTCGAGCGTCTGAAAGCCGATAACATAGAGAATACTTTAGCCACACATAAGCCAAACATTTGGAGGGATTCAGTTTATAAAGGCAGAAGTAGTCCTGTTCATCAACAGATAACTTTTTCTGTTTAGCACTAGAGTGACACATAAGCTAAATAAATCACTACCTACCTTAAAAGTGGAAAGATCCACTGGAAATGAAGACAAGATAAATGAAATTTACTCACCAAATTGTAAAGATTGTCTATGACACCATGTTGACCATCAGCCCAGTCACCGAACGGCCCAGATTGTTTACGATCATCAGCTACAGTTAAGAAGACAAAATGCTTCATCTACATATAATTTCAATCCATGTAGACAGTTAAAAGCACAACTCTGACTGGGAAAACATTGTTATCTTCCAACTTGCAAAGTTTCTAAAAGCCTGGTATTTAAACTAAATTTCAATTAGTATATATTGTTGAAATACACCTAATTAACAGCCTACCTAGGAAGAAAAGTTAATCACCTCTAAGCCAACTAGAAAAAAATCAGCTAAGTAAAACAATAACCAAACAAAATGACACACTGCAAATACATCTCACTGATTAATGAAGTTAGCGCTATCAATGTCACTATGCCTGATGAAACATCGATGATTAAACAACGGAGCTGAGGAAATACCAAATAATTCCCACTGTAAGATATTCCAGAAAATAAAAAACACTGCTGATGTTAACTGATAGGCTGGACGTATCTGCATCCCATCAAGTGATATTATTCTCATTGATGTCAAGACCCAGTACTTGTCATTTCACACGATAAAACATTACCCAATAATCTATGGAACAACTTGGGAATTTCCTCATTGTAACAATTACACTAAGAATCATCACAATAATTGCCAAATGATACATCTTTTCCACATATAGCTTACACAAGAATTGTTTCTACCATCGGAATTTGTTAACCATAGTTATGAAACACCCACCCACCCTGTATCACTAAACGTATTTGACTTGAATATTCCGTAATTAAGAAAGTTCTGGGATCCTCTTGACCCTTCTTATCATTCTAAGTTGATTAATAGACTACGTATTACTGTATGTTTACTAATTGCACCAAGCATTGTTATCCTCATATAAACATTCTGTTGAGTGAAGTATCAGCAGTCTTCAAAAATAGGTATATCTATTTAAACGCAACCATATATATTACATCACACTGTTCAAAAGATACTTTATTTATACATTACTCAGTGACTTCGTGTTTACGTTTTTAGATTTTCTGTTAATTATACTACTACAGAGCTCAATATCATTGGTTACATTATGCTTGATAGAGAAAGCTACATGCATACCTTGGCATAAAAAGTATGATTGTATTACTCTAATGCTACTCGTTTTTGAAGTAAAGAACTTGATTCTGTCAAGAATATGTGGTAGTCAAACTTTTTTATGTGATTGTGTACTCTGAACTGGGTGATTTAGTTGCGAAGCTTACATTATCCTTCTAAACAACATCTTCATCAGATGATACCCGAATATATAGTGAGGTGTTTTTTGTGTTCTCCATAAATAATATAATCGACTCTTTTGATATCATTGACTGTGATTAGTTATCTTCCTTGTGTTGTTTTGTATTGACGTCGATCGGTTCATTGGTCTAGAATTCGACTTTTTTACCATGTGACAAGATCGACACGACATACAAATTTTTTTTATTCCTTTACATTCCCAGTGGAACATAGGGCTCCAAGCTGAAGGCTTGCAGTTTCGTTAGCAGGGGTGTTTATTTTTACAGGATGAGGTTGCTAACCTCATGCCCAACCTTCCCTCTTTACCAGTCTTATTACTGGCTTAGCGAGGTAAAGGAGTACGTCGGCCGGGAATCGAACCCCGGAGCACATGCGTGGTTGGCGAGTATTCTACCAACGCAAAGCACCTACAAAGTAACTTGCATCAATTGTGGAAAGTACTATTTCGGCCAAAATGGATATTCTCGTTCATTTCGAACTCGATAACATGAAGCAGGCGTTAAAACACGTGACGCGCATTCCACTCATATCAATACATGTAGGTGCGAAATGTGACAATTTTAGACAGTAGAAATAATTAAGGGGCCAATAAGTTATGAGATCAATCTTTACTCAATAGACATTGACGAAGATCAAATTTATCGACCAATAAAGAACAAGTCACATCACAAAAGGTCAAACTGTAAGTTAGCACAAGTAGACTAATCATCCGAAGACAACCAATCACATTCAAGGTCATCAGGAGATGAATCTGAAGTACTTATTCCACCAATCATTTAAGGCATTCCCACTGTGTAAAACAGGTACATTTTATTCTAGTAGAGTTTGCTATGTACCTCTATACGTAGGTTCTGTGGTTGTAGACACAGTAAATGCGAGGAATGCTTGTATGATTTTGATAGTTATTTATCTAGTTCCGGTTTTTGTTCTCTTCAAGTACAATTCATAATTTTCTTCCGGATAGAAGTAGGTCGACTACGACATGGAAATTCCACAAGTATTACCAATAACAAAACTTATCATTGTGTGTAAACTATTGAAATATAATTATACTTTATTTGATTCCACAAGGAATTCATCGATGGATGTTTAATTTTATTCCCAACTTGAAGATGGACTACTCTCTGAATTATCACGAGATATACTTCTCAACTCAAAATCAATTAAAATATATGGGATCGAGGACTTTTAAATGTTTGTCACTTGTAAAGTCATAAATTACGAATGTCATACGAAATAAAGTTCATAATATCGCGTTAAAGACTCACGTACCGTTACATTTAGCTAAATTACTTCCTTACTAGTAAATTATTCCGGAAAATATCTTGACTGCAGATCATTAAGCCTAGTAGATGGAGTTTCCTGTGCCGGTTTTCACCAAAGCAAATGTATTGAAGATATCAGGAGTTGAGTAATTCACAAAAATACTTCCATTCCACTTCTAATTTTTCACTTTCCAATAATTTTTTGTTTTGCTTTGCAGATAAAATTCAGTGACTTTCAGCAATGTCATCTGAAACAAATGGATCTATTTTTCCTATGAGTGGTACTGACACAAATGCACCGAACGATAACAACAAATGTGGATTATTCGAATTACAATTCCTATCTCATCCACATTCAAATCAAAACTCATCATATACTAATCCAACTTTGTCTTACCTTAATAGCCTCAACTGTTGGCCTCAGAAAACATTCCCCAGTACTTCACAAAGCACAAATTTTATGCCTACAACATATCTTGATGAACAATTAAAACTTCAACAACTACAAATGCAGCTTTTACAATTAGAGCAGAATGGTAAAGATCAACAGAATACTACTACAAAGGAACATCGTAATATAGGAAGTAAAGTGGGATGTTTAAACAGCACCAGTGTTAATGCTCTTGATGTCAATGTTCTCAGTTGTTTGCAGAACACTCATCTATGGAATAATTTAAGAATGCTTGGTTAGTTATACTTTATACAACTAACTTTTGTAAACAAAATTGTCAATGTTGTAACGAAATTTTATATTCTATAATAACAAATAGTATAAGGTACTCGACTGAGTGTATAAATAAGTACTCCACTATAAAACGATGCTGAAATACCTAAAAATAGTGCTTCATCTTGTCTAACTGGTCAGACAATACTCGGAACAGATATTACACATAAAATGTTCAAACATCACCCAATTTATAAAAGATCATTCCGACTTGTTTTAACTCTTGAAACGTATGAATAGTCGTGACAAATGGACACATGCTTGGTAAAACAGGGCTTTTGCTGGAAGGCTTATTACTATACAGTGAGGTCATGCGTAACATTATTGTTTGTAGAAACCAGTTTCTACTTCTCTGTTGATTTGCATGTTAGTCAAAAGTTTCGGTCACTTCGATGACATGTATGTCGAAGGCTTTCATCCTCTAGGAATGAACGTTTCTTCAGAACCCGTACGGCTCCTAGAGTAGGCTGTCTAAATGACAGGTTATAATGTTTCATATGTATGGAAACTACGATTAGGTATCTTAATTATTCAGTCGTCTGACGGCACCATCATCCTTAAATAAGTACTTTGAGCGGAATATTAAGCATACACATCATCTATATTTAAGTTGTTGAGCATCGGTTTGCAGGGAATTCTACTAATTTGCAAACAGTTTCTGTCAAAATATAAGTATAAAACTTGGGCACTGTGGTAGAGTATAATTCCATAATGGATAAGATTTTATTTTGATAAATCACACAGTGTAGTACAGTTATATTAACTGATGACGTTTCGAGCACAAACTACTGCTCATAATCATATCATATCCATTATGGAGTTTCTATCAAAAGCGACATAAATTCTAGAACTAAGGGGCACCAAAGAACTTCATCCCAGTTGGGAAGTTTTCACGTTCATAATCAATTAGTTTGAAAGCACCCACTTTCATACGGCTTATGTGACATTCAATCCCATATATTCTGTTAAACTGATTCTACTGAACGATTACCAATCAAAATCCATTCAGACATTTCGATGTCAATTATTTCAGACTTCATTTTACCGCACAATACGAAAACTGAATTTTTGAATTGTATATTGATACTTTGAATCGTCAGTAAGGATCATCCTTACTTTTGTGCATGTTGGTACTTTGAATAGGATTTTGTCAATCAACGCTATTTAAATAATCTAAACTGTTCTTCACCGAAAGTTCTTTTTGGATTTGATTTACTAATCTTGGATATAGGGATTATGTTACTTTCTGACCGTTAACCCTCTGCTTATGAAATCATGACGCTTTGCATTTCTGCATGACTGAAAACAGTATAATGTGCCTTATTTTTACTGCGTTGTAGCAAAATAAAAAATATCAGACGCTAGCATCATTTATAACCGCCGAAGGTCTTTTATGGTTAGTAGATATTTCAGGTCCTGATTGATGTGACATTTTCGCTTATTGGATAATGTTGTGGAATCCCAATTTAGAAAGTTTCTGTTAATTGGAAGGGTGATTTTTGAGGCTGAAATAAAACCATATTATTTCCTTTATAACGTCAGTTACAGGCCTCTTGATACGTTCTTGAAGGACTTGAATCTTTTGGCTATGCTCATTATTTCCTATTTTTGTTTAGTACTTAAAGGAAATTATTTTATACAAACTAAATTTACACCATTTTTTTACAGATCACAATAATCCATCACTCAAAGTAGATTCTCCTTATCAAAATACTTCTGAAGCATTAAGCCTACAGGACATGCAACAGTTGGCATTCTTGAATCAAATATATAGTCAGGTAGATACTGGACAATCACAACCATTTAGTCCTACAACGGGATTTCATCCTAATGTAGAAACTGCCGAAGTTCATGGTTCCAGAAACCATTCTGCATCTATGGCTTCACTTCAAGGTATCCCTTTAACAGGTGTAAGTTCTGAACAGAATCGATCTGTTAATTTTGCAAACAATGAAAATGCATTTTTAGCTGGACAGCTTTTCAGTAATCTCTGTGCACTTCACAATGATAGTCAAAAACAAAGAGAAGCTATCTCATTTTTTCGAGATAGTTTATCTGAATCCTTGAGATATACAAATTTATTAAGCAACAACGGTACTACACATCCTGTTAATGAATTTCTCTCCTCTTCTGGATCCTCTAATACACTTCTACCCAACACATCCATCCCTGAGTCAAATAATACCACAACGGCAGCTGATACAGTGAATAACTCTTTCGGAAGTAGTTTGGCCTACTCTCAAGCCCTAATGATGGTCATGAACGCTATGTACAGTAATTACAAAACTATCCAAACACCAGGTAAGTTGATTTAGATTATTTGCTAACAAATAATTACCATGTGATGAGCAATATTGAAGATAGGCGTAGAGTGCTAGATAAGGAAGGGAAGTCAGTCGACGAGGTTGTGAAACTACATCAATTGGGGTGGCGAGGGCACGTGCTGTACATGCGAAGTCATCGCCTTCCTATATAGGCAATTTTAGCCAACATACAATCAAGTTGGAAAAGAGTTTGGGATAATCAAACCCAAAATGACATCAACCCACGAAGGCTTTGACAGTAAGTTTGAGCCGCGTAGGGAGCTGCAGAATGCGTGGTTGAGGACTTCGAGATGCTAAGAACGAGTGGATGGAGACTATTGGTGATATGGCTCAAAGCCGTTCTGAATGGCGCAGATGCACTCACCCTTTGTAATCTGTCAGATCTATCAAGACCTCATGTATTTCCATGTTACTACTTCTTTTATCCGTATATTTCTGCTCATTATAGTTCTTTTGAGTTATTTGTTTCTTGTGTGCTACATGTACGGTATGGAAACTTCAGGTCTGCACTTTTGTGCAAAGCTCTGCGTTGAAACTCAGTTGGTCATATTTGCAAGTGTGTTTCATCACTAACCCACTTCTTTTTTTTAAAAATTATTTCACTCATGTTACTTTCCTGATTTCCTTTCTCATTAAGATCAACCCCCATCAACTTTCCCAACACAAAATGATTTAACAACTAGTAATGGACTTAATTTAATACAGCGTGGTTCAATCAATTATCCGAGCCAACAACCAATTAGTACAACTTCCACACCACCTATCGGCCCAAATGTTGAACCTAAAGAGTCATTCAATGATGTTCTGACATTTTTAAGTAAATGTTTGAATAAGCCTACAAATCCTTATGATAAAGTGAGTTCAAACAAATATGAAACAATAATAATAGTTTGCTAACTATGGTTATCAGTGATACGATTTTTTGTGCTCAAGACGCACTCCAGTTAATAATACTGTAACTTACCTAATTTGGAATTATATTTCACAACATTGCTCGAATTTTACTCTCACGCCCCGTGTTTACTACTTCATATCACTATTTAATCATTCCATGTTGTACTCCACACTAGGTCGAACTATTTTCAAAACAATAAACACCTCTGAATGGCATTTCCATCTTATTGAACTCTTTGTTCTATAAATAAAGTCATTGTTTTTCTTATGGAATATCCGTAAACTCTCCTACTTCATCGGTAGTAGACGACGGATAAGTGAGAAATCTTCAAGGACAATTAGGTTGTGACTGCCTTTATCCATTTTATGACCTTTAATGTATACAAACTGCCCACTAGGTGATAGTTACCAATATACAGCTAGGAACCCAACTTCTATACAAAATTTGTTGATCATTTCTAGCTACTAAACTAAATGGAACGACACTGAGGAACTGTGGTTTTGAGTGAAGTTGACTTACAGAAAATCTTAACTAGGTCAGACTGAGGAAGAATACTCCAGATATTTTTTGAAAAAAACACCAGAGTTTCCTCGGGATCACTGTAACACTCAACATTCTTCATTCGTTAGATACTGTTGTTTATTTTTACCACTTAAATAACTACTCCTTTTTTGTGGAGTTTCACTACATTTTAACAAAGGTCTTTCAACTTAATTATAATGAAACAAAAGTTTTATTAGATTAGAGATTTTTACTCATTGAATTTGCTGTTTTTTTCTTAAAGCATTAGAATTTCTTAACTGATCGTCAGTATTTATTGACTGCATAACGTCATAATTGAGAATTCAATATATAATTCATTAAAACTAGCCTAGTTTGTGCAAATTTACTCATTGTGTTTGAAATATAGAAGGAAGTTATTCGTGAACTGAAATAACTCAATAGCAGTTAATATCTCTGACTGCAGGGTTGAGCGATGTCATTTGCTGAAGAGTGCAGATAAGCACAACCCCCCCCCCCCCAGGTGTACAAATTTATACCGATTGACTCTAACAACTTAACATGGAATAAATGTCAAGTTTAGTGTAGCAATAGATTAGATTTGTAACCTGGATGTCAGTCAATAAATAATAATTAGATTTCTTGTATAAATATAAAAAGAGCGATAATATACCATGTATCATACGTTTATTTTACACCACATAGTGCAGGAGCCACTTCTTCTGAAATCCGTAATCATGTGATGAGGAAACTTGAACCAATCTGTGATGAGTTATAGTCAACAAAGGATAGAAAAAAAAGATTTCGTCTCAAATATCGATTAACGTTTAACTTAAGGTTAGACAGAACTTCACATTCAAGTATTTGGTATTTGGTAAGCGAATGTGATACACCTTTAAGCAGTAATATAATACATAGTACTTGTTATATATGTCCAAACCTTTATTATAATGTACATAGTACTTGTCTCCGAGTTCACTTTAGTAATCAAATGTAAATATGGATAGACGACAATTAGAGATCACCCAGTGTTTGATTTACCCTCAAAGAGTTAACATTGTTCTGTCTGCAGTGAATGTCTCAAGGTCAGAAATATTTTCCTTATAACTAACCCATATTATTATAACATAAGTTCATGTCAGATCAAATAAATTATATTTCAATAATTTACACACAATAAGTTTCTATTTCGTTTAATATTTCGAGCGAAATTATCATTGTGCGTAAATTATTGAAATATAATTCAAATGAATTCGATCCATGATACAATGCTCAACTTCTCACAGACGTTAATTCCTGTCAGATATTTTCGCATTCCTCTGACTTCCAAGTGGAACATAAGGAGATTCAAGTTTTAGCTTTGGTGTTTCAGTAGCGGTGGCTGCTAGCCTCAACCTTCCCTCTTTTCTAGGCTTACTACCAGCTACACGAAATTTGGGAGGGCGACGGTTTCCGAGAATCAGACGTGGACCACGTGCGTGATTTGCGAGCATTCTACCACTGAACCACCGAGGCCCATGCCAGATTATTGAATATATTTTGGGTCATAGGAGTATTGCTTTAGACTTTTAGGAAAATATCAACAAACATTTCTAATAATCTTCCAAAGATATGTACCCAAGTTGTACATTTCCAACAACTGTTTTTGGAATTAATTTTTCTTTTACAGTCATGTTTCCTGAACCCCGAGTAATTAAATAATAATAATAATCCTTTATTAACATCCGTAAATCTTCTGATAGTCATTAATTTATACTTTTCACTCCAGCGTCAGAAAAATTTGTTTACTAATCAGCAACCTCCAGTGACAAGTTCTATAGGCACAAAACCTTCCTCTACTACCACTCCAAAACTATCTGGACGACAAAAAGCAAGTAATAGCAATCACCAAATAAATCAGTGTAATTCATCCACAACACCTCATCGTGGTAGAGGTAGACCACCGAAATTGGCTGGTGTACAGTGTCAGGTGACTAGCAGACAACAAACGCCGCAACCCAAGCAAAGTCATTCGGTCAATAATACTGGTGAAAAACACCTACAGGTTAGTTATAGTACTTATTCTCCCTCAGTTACCTGTCTCGTATGAACAATAATTCATGTTTATACCTGGTCGATATTTGAATTTTACTGTCAATGAAAACATATGTGAGGCAGTTTTTACTTACTAAACTGAGCCTCGCATTTAAGTATGACGATTGAAGTTGACATAGGACTCATGATTAAGGTGAGGTCTGGTTATTACTGAGTTCCCGTAGCACAAGAGTTATAAAGGTTATTATTTCTACCCACTTAGCTCTTGTAGATTCACTCAAGTCCAGTCACCATACAAGAACACTTCTAGGCTGTTTGAGATGATCAAAATGCTTTATAGACAATGCACACCTCAAATGTACAAGTTGTCTAACTTTGATCACTTGGGGAGTAAGCATTTTTTTTTCCTTGTTTAGTTCTAGATACTGATTGAATTCAGTCGATCTGGCTTGTAATATAGTCACTAAACTAGGAGATTCACCATTGCACTCCATTTTAAAGTGAACAATTATTATCGTTTTTCATATCGCCTCAATATTCTGTGTTTATTACTTTATTTTTTCAATTGTTACCGTAATTTCACCTTTTCATTCCTCCTTTTTTAAGGTCAATACTCAAGCCGTAGTAGGAGTTTCACCAGGTGTTAAGCCAAATATAGACCAGAATTGTACTCAGTCAAAAGCAGAGATTTCTGCATCAAGTTCAAAAATAAAGCCTTTCACTTGCAATGCTGTAACCGGTGAATCGCGTGAGCCGCTAGACTTCAGTGTAGCTGAAATAAAGAATGACTTCATTAAATCTCAAGAACAAAAGTCTTTCGAATCTATAAATGGCAGAAATGAATGTAGCATTGAAGAAACCATAGATGAAGTTTTAAAAAATATTGACAATTGCAATGGAGATCTCGTGAATTTAGCCAACCGCTTAGCCTATACTGCTCTAGGAATTAGACCAGATGAAGGTTACCGACGAGGAAATAGTGAAGTTGTTAAGAGCAGTCAATCTTCAGCAAATATGCCAACACATTTAGAATTTACTTCATCAGGTAAGTATAACTTTCTTATTGTTCACTACGAATGTCAAGTCACTAAATCTTGAATTCATAACCTAAGAAAAATACTGTGTAAAATGTGCTAAACTCACTCTCTGTCTCTCGAAATTCTGACCCTACAACAATCTGGATTAGCCTGTCCATAATGCTTTTTGTAATTTCACTTCACTGCCTTGTTATAGTGGATTGATCGGCCTGTAAGCAGTACTCACTGTCCATTGGGATTCTCCTTGCCTGATAGTGGCTTAGAGTGCAATATATAACACATTTTCCTTCCTATGTGGGACAACCTAGCCTGATGTGTTTGCGGAAGAATAGGGATCTTGGACAAACCCGAAACAAGCAGTTATTGCTTCAGATGTCACAGTACAACTCATGATACTATTGAGTCCTGACAATCACAAAACGTGTGTCCGTAATTACACTGTTGGTCGCCATGAAAGAAAACACCCGCAAAGTGGGCATAACGACAATATGTAGTTAAACATTTAAGGATGGCCCCATATCAGCAGGCACTGATAAATACGGTTGGTTGATATAAAACAGCAGGAAATTGCAAAATCTTAGATGATGACGGATGTCAGTTGAAGAAGTGGTGACTCTGTTGGTTTAGCGAACTAGCGAATAGTGTCTTAACATTTGAACCAATAGATTTTGGATTTGAAACTATTATCCGTCTATAATGTTTTTTCTCTACATTACTTCAAGACACGACAGCGCGAGCTCGTATACCATTCAGCCACTGGGACCCGATTCAATAACCAGCCCATGAACTCTAACTTCTACCAATTCGTGATTTTCAATTCATGTATAATCCCCATCCAGGCATTAATGAAAACAAAACACGTAGATCAGCGAAGAGTGTCTTTTCGGCGAATTCATTTTCTTAGCTGTACAATCGCAAATATATGTTATTTTGTATGTATGTGTACAATAAGTTTATCAAACAAAAATACAATTGGTTATAGTTATTTAAACTAAACAGGTGAAGATTGGTAATTGGAGTTACGTAATACAAAATCAGTCAAGAAAATTAGATGTTAGTGAAATTAGGGTAGTAACAAAGGTGATGAGTTGTCATAAACAGTAGTTAAAAGAAGTTATGTAATAATATGAATAGTTTGATGAGTGAGTTTTACTCAGGATGCACATAGGAACAAAGTAGATAATACGAAATTACGTAAGAGTTCTAAATGAATACAAGAATTATAAGCAATTAAAGAACAGGCTAAGAAACAAAAATAAGTCATCAAAATCAAAAAAAATCAAATCAAAAAAGTTGTTACCAAGACAGTAGAAGTGGTTTAGTGATTAAACGCGATTGGCACCAACCAATGCCATCGGTGGCTTTGAATCACACTTGACTGGTTGGCCCTAACTGTGAGGATGAATTTCCCACCGATAACATTGGTTGGTGCCAATCGCGTTTAATCACCAATTGGTAGAAGTTAGAATTCATGGGCTGGTCATTGAATCGGGTCCCAGTGGCTGAATGGTATACGAGCCAACTTGCCTTGTAACCGGAAGGTCCTGGGTTCGAACCCATGTGGTGGCTGCGTACTGCCGATGAAACAGCCGTCCAATACTCCCTGATTTTCAATGTTTCTCTAACTGATATCAATCCGTGGTCAAACTTGTAAAAACAAATATAATCTTTACAAACCAACTTATGAAGATGAATCTGTTTTGTAACATAATATCATAATACGATGCTTCAATAGGGTCGGTGTTGTTTTTATGAGGTGAGGTTGCTAACCTGCCTCCCAATCTTCACTCTTTTTCCGGGTTTTACTACCAGCCAGTAAACTAAGCGAGGTATAAGAATGTGCCAGACAGCAATCGAACTTGGACCGCCTGGGTAGCAGGGAAGTATTCTACAATTGAATCAGTGACATCTATGTACGTGACCTGTACGCTCATAGAAAGTAATTTTAATTAAATATCAAGAGTGTATTAAAAATATCAGAATAATTTGAATTGTTGGTTGAATGAAACTGACATTCTGTAGTAGTGTATGCAAAGAAATGTTTCTCTCATTATCTTACAAAATCTTATTATTTTAGAGAAGTATATATCACAGTAGATTAAGAAGCATAGAATATTTCACTCGCTTCATTAATCTGCATTGTTCAAAAGCGAATTTTATTTCTTTCCATAAGAAGACATACTTTTCGGTGTGATTGCACTCTCTTTGGTCTCTGAAGATGTTGCATGGATAGACAATGACAACTTCTCAGTTAAACCATTCCTCTCAGGGAACATGACCACTCCAAAAACATCCACCTAAGCGAGCTATAAATAGTTTCTATTATTTTAAAAAAAAACGTGTATTCAATGCATTTTATTCCCTCAGTAAGTGTGATCTATACTTCTCATACATTGTTTCAAATTTTTTTTTTAAATTTACAGCTAAAAACAGTGAAATGCTACAGTGCGCTAAACACTCGAACTTACAAACACCAATTTCTTCTGAGTAAGTTAAAAGATATTGTAAATAAGTAGGTCATGATAGCTCTGGTCTGGACTAAATTTTTTAAACAATGTACACGATTCTCAGTATGGTTTATTGCATAATTATATTCTCTTCGTCCAGGATCTCCTAATTTAATAGTGATATATAAGTACATCACTTGATGTAATGCTGTTCCGTCTGTAAAATGAACCAATCTCTAATGATATTTTTCCTTCGTCTTTGAGAATTGCACAGCAGTAGGTTCAAAGCCAATAACAAGTCTGCGTGAGTACATTTTGCGACCCAAGGATATAATTAAATCATTAAAACACTAAGAAATAAAGAAAATTCGATACATTCATTTGGATAGAAATTCATATAGCCCAGTGATTCAAGCAGGCTACCAAAAGACACTGTTTATCGAACAATTACTTTCATTTTTGACTAAATTTGTTTACACTCCAGAAAAACAAGTTGTTGCTTTTTTGTTTTGTCTATACGTGTATTTACAATTCAGTGTATTCATAAAATACTTCATCCATGTTAGAAAAAAGATTTATCCAACCGTGTTCTTATAAGTTTTAAACTTATTAAAATGCCTAGAAGGCAAATAAGTCATTTCATTATGGACATTAAAATATAGTTAGAATGAAAAGGAATAACATGGGATTGAAAAACTGCACAATATAAAGTGTACATGTTCAGACTGAAATGTTTATTGAAATAAAAGGTTTTGGGTTAGCCATTAAAACTTCACTACAGTTTCATTTGTTTTATGTTTATAAGTGTGTTGAAATAACCTTACCTATACTTAATAAAAAGATTCGTGCATATACTTCATCCAGACATATTTACACTCACAAGAGTTGGTTTGCAGAAATTTGATTGGACAGGTTTGATCTCGAGCTGACACCAGCTAGGGAACCAGTGAAAACCAGGGTTCACAGTTTCCTCCTAGTTTGGACTCTTCTATAGCGTGCACCCGCCAGGGTTCAAACCTATGACATTCCAAATATACGATAGTAAATGGTTTTGGAATTATGAAGTGAAGAGAATATCTGAACTACAGCGAAATTTGAGCACTGGACGGTACTTGAAGCCTTTAGTTGATAGTTTTAAATTTTTTTAAATATAATTCACAAGTGAACTAATGTGAACTGAATGTCTTACGATAAAACTTGTTGATAAAATACATGTATAAAAATATCAGTATCAACAAAGTGTGACAAAATAAAGCTGCCAATAAACTTTGTTCGTCCCTTGTTTAGCCATGCAAGATAATGCTAGTTGTTGGATTTCCGAACATCATTATGATATGGTTAGGCAGGCGACAAAGCATTTAGACTGATCCATCGTATTCCCACTAGTCTTAATTTTGCTTTATAAGTTCATCTTCTAAATACAGTAGAAGCTACCGGCATTCACCTGAAAAAGCCGAACCTGTGCATCCGGACACAATTGCTACAGCCAGTTTCCTTACCCTGGTCATCTTCATAAGTGTAAAAACAATATCCACCTTACTTTTTTGCCATATACGAGTTGTTATTATTATTTGAACTATCTTATTATTCTGCTCACGTCACCTCTTATTATTCTTATGTAATCGATTTTAATCATATGACCACTCATTTATTCTTACTTTTCAAAATTATGCATTATGTGATCCATTTGCTTAGTTCTTACAAATACTTTTACCCCTTTAACTGTTGCATTAATTTTAGTTGATTAGTGCCTCTCTTTGACAAAATAATATTGCTCATTATTTTTAATAAACTTGTAACAACTCGACTGGTATTATGTTAGAATTCCTGTGTAACAAAGAGAGTAGATCCACTGACGAGGATCTAATTGAGAAGTTAAGTATTTCTTTCTTCAGTTCATTGTTCATAAAAGTAAATTTCTAATTTCAAAAGTAGAACGCATAGTACCTTCGCACACTTGAACGTTAGATTTTCAAACAAAATCAAACAGTTCCATTTCACATAGGTTTAATGACTAATTCACATACAACAACAACGCCGTTCCACTGGGAGACGTCATGATAACAGCAATAAAAAGAATAGTGAGAATATTTCAACACTTTGTCTGACCACAAAAATGGCAGTCTAATTTGCCTGTTGTCGATTAAAAGTGGCTGAACGAGGGACACAATATAAAATAATCAGTGTTCTCAAAGAAGATTTTGTCACGAAGCGTTATCAGTTAGAGAATCATTGAAAATCACGCGTCAATGGTCCTCAAACTGATGTCGATCTGTAGTGAGAATTGTAAAATCCCTGCAGTTCAACATTTGTCGAGTAATCAGTGTGTTTTTGCATAGGCAGCCTATAGTCTTTTTGCTCAAATGGAAAGAGCAAGGTATGATAAGAATGATCGAAATAGCGTTGAACTAGTCGACTGCAACTTACTGTGCAATTGTACAGAAATGTTGAAATTTTCAGTAATCATCATATGACAATGCGACAGATTTTTTTAAAGAATCAGATTACAGTGAAGACCATTTATTTTGACATGTTAATTATATGTGATATTTATAATTTTAAACATAATCCCACCTCCGGGTTAATTTCACACTTCCCATTGATTGATTATGTCAGACCGATATGCTCGGTTTCTGTAGACATTTCACCTCCTAGTACTGACATTTTGACAGTATCTGAGGATTAACGTGGAGTTATTTTGCTTGGTGGTGACTAGCAGTGGAATCCATGGGGCGCGTTTCTTCGTGTTTGGGACTCGTCGACAGGATGAACTCACCGAGACTCGACCCCTGCACCTTCTGTTTCAAACGCCGAACCATTATTTACTAGGGAATGGAGATTCATCTATCCGTCAAGTCCCAAACAGAACGAAGTGCGAATCCCGTATTCCACTGCTGATCACTACCAACCAGTATAGCTAACCTCACCATTTTAAAAATCGTTATCATATTAATTTTTTTGTGTTTATTCCATAATGTTTTGTTTACTTCTTGAAAAAATCGAAGTACTGTTACCACTTAGTTACACACTTGGTTTATGTATAAGGACGTATCCAAACTGAACAGAAGTAAAATGATTTATTCAATGACTGAATAGTCTTATACATTTTTCAAAATTTTTTAGTTCTAATGTTGGACACCATGGTACACTGGAGAAAGTAGCTCACCTGGATCCGCATAGACGAGGTGTATGTGCCTCCAATAACCCTCATGATGTAAGTTTTTGTGTGGGATGAATAAAGTGTTAAATATTTTTACTTTGTAAAACTAAAAAAGTATGAACAACGTGGGTTCATGTTTTAATGCGACACACTAGTGCTTTTACAAAATTTTATTTACATAACCAACTGAAGTATTTAGTTATCGGTGCTGTTTCACATGTCATGTAGGTAATATAACGTCATACATAGTGGAAATTGAATTCACCAGATGAAGTACGGTTTTCTTCAATAACTGCTAAACAGAGATTGGAAATATTGAAATTATTTAAAGGAGTTTATAAAACTATGAGGAAAGAAAGATGTTTGAGGTATTCTACACAGGCTGACTTCTAAGTCTCTTTATAAAATTGAGGTTTAACTATTTTCTCAGCTTTAACGAACTATACATATCTCAGGCCTGTTCAACGTAGTTGTTTCCAACATAAATACAAACATATCCGTGACCACTTTTTAATTAGTCACTAGGTTGTAACCCTCCAGCCACTTAACAACGTATCAGCGTTTCTCACAATTAGGTTTATATGCTATATCTGTCCAAACTAAGTTCACTTTTAACAGTTTGAAAAAATTTGGGCATTGGGTATATGATATTCATTATAATAAATGTTTTTGTATTTCCTAATGGATGAAAAAATGCTACTGTAAAGATATATTGATTTTCATGATCCTATGAATCATCTGTGAATATTATTTTGGTAGTACACCTATTTCTAGTAGAACAAGAGAAAAGTATTAAGAATACCCATGTGATTTAAATTTAAATAAGACAGGTCAGCAAAGAATATGTATTCTTTCGTAACTTCTCATCAAAGCTATAGGGTTAAACTGTGTTTTGTTAAAGGTCACGGAAAATACCAACAAAGGTCAAATAATGTTATTCAGTCGATAACAAAATGCACTGAATTACTTATAATGAAGGAAGTTGATAAATTGTGACTTGTTTAATTGGTCTTATGTAGTGAATACCATTCAGAAATGCTTATTATTAAAATTGTGTAGTCTTTCGAGACAAGAACATTTTTGATAAGAGTAAGAGATTCAGAATATATATGAAGCCTGGCCTTACCTTAAATATCACTTTGAAAACCTCTATTAACATACATCGATGTGTAAGAACAAAGTGCTTAAGGACCAGTCTATTGTTTGGTGTGATTTCTCATCTTGACAACTATCTTAGGAGATGTTATTGTGCACGTTCAGACAATGTCGTGATTGCACGACCAATGTACTTATCCCCACATCAGCAAATGAAATGATACACACATACACGTGGAGGTTTCCAACAGTGGAACATTGTCTTCAACATTTTTATGAATGGAGGGGGTTGCATGGAGAAGTTAAGACTTGGATATGATCTCAGGTATTTCAGTGAAGTGAACATAAGGTCAGAAACAGTTTCATTATTCATCCAGTAGACTCAAAGGCATCTATGCTGAACATCACTAGCATTAATTTTACAGCTACTTAAGGCTTATCCAACTGTATTCATTGATCTAAGATGTTAAAAATCTAATTCTTATTGCAAATAACTGATTGCAACTAAAAGAATCTTGTAAACTGGATGTTTGCAATTCTACCTTTGTTTCTTTAAACAAAACAATTGATTCTTTTCACAGATCAAATAGTGTGACTACATTTTAGCAGTTGAAGCAATTAATCGTCAGTCAGCAACATAATGAGTTTCAATCCTGTTTAACTAATGAAAGCGTTTGTTTGCAGCGATTTGATCGACTTAAAGTTATATCAAAAATGATTCAGTTAGAGAACCCGTTGACCATTGGAGTCCTCCAACTTGGATATAAGGAAAAATAACCGACTATGATATTTGCTGGCACTGGCACTATGTACAGCAAGTTGACAGAATTTAGAATTCATGGCCATTGGATTCTGTCCCAGTAGCTGGATAATTAATTCCATCTTGTAACCTGATGATCTCGGGTTCAATTCTTGGTGCGGCCATGGGTGACTACTACTGAAGAGCCCCAAACTAGGACGAGACAGATGTTCAGTACTCCTTGGTTTTGCCAACTGAAGTCAGTTGTCCGTAATCTAGCTTGATAACTAATGAAAATTTAACAGATAGATGAAATTATTAGCCATTGTATTATACGTGTAGTCTGTATCTTAATAAACTAGTGTTTACATTAGTCGTAGCACATTTATTTGACTGTGTAATGCATTTCTTATTTAATTCTGCTAACAATTTTAGAGGGTACCTGAAATACCAATTGACTGTTTTAGTCAGACCTTTTTATCTGAATCGAAGTATGCCAAGAGTTGTACGTCATCCACTCCGAGTAGTTTGAATACGTTTATTGACCCAAAAGGTTAGTTGCTGTACATTTCAAATAGCTCTTATATATATATATATATATATATATATATATATATATATATATATATCGATTTCTTTTATAGACAGATCGTTAATATGCTTATATAAAATTTCAACTTGTAATAAATTTATTCATAACAAGAATAATTAAGGTGGACAATTGTTTTTAGTAAATTCTTCAGGCCCTACAATTCTAAATGCGTTAATGTTAGTATACAATAACTAGTAATGGTAAATGAAAATCATATCATAAACTGTATTGGAGAATAAGTGCAAGTTAAAACAATAGTTAGTTTTGATTATCTCAGTTAAATGCACATAATTCGTTTAGTCACAATAAGAGCATGAGATAAAATGAGATTAACTAAATGAATGACGTATAAGTTAATTTATAATCAATAAAAGTATATGTTTCACCAGGGTGAGTTGTATTCATTAGTGTCAGAGGAAGTATAAATACTTCAGGGTAATAAACAAGCAAATTAGATACACAGAACGTAAGTTCGAGATAGGACAAATAAGTGACAAATGATATGACAAATAATGATAATGCTTTGGTGTAACACAATGGTAATATTAGTGAACAGTTGTGAAGTAATAAATTACTATTTCAATGTAGATTTCGTCACCAACCAATATCAGTTAGAAACGTCACTGAAAACTAATGAGCACTGGATAGCTGTTTCGCCCTGGTTTAGGACTCTTCAGCGACGCACACCCATGACTCCACCAGGGATCGAGCCCGGAACCTTCAAGTTACGAAATGAACCTTGTTGACCATTCAGCTATTTGGGCTGGGCTTCAACGATCCTTGAATTCTAACTTTGTCAGTTCGTGATACACAGCGCTACTATCACCAAATGGCTTTTATGAGCACCTACTTCACCTTGATTCTGGAGAGTTCCAATGCTCCCTGATTTTCAATGATCTCTAACTCATATTGATTCGTGACGAAATCTACATTGAAATTGATTCAAATTCCTACAAACAACCCATAATCTAAATTACTATTTTACAATTTTTATCAACATTAAAATAATCGGATCTATCCTATACTTTCCATAGACTGAAATATTTCTAAAGTCACTCTAATGACTAACAAATAAGTGGCAGAATAGCTGTGATATGAAAGTAGTACATTTATCTAGTTGCTTAAAGTAGTATTGACACCATTGAGTTAATAACATACTTCTTGAATGTATCAATTCACAATATTATTACCATTACAAATTGAACACGGACGATAAAAACAAATATTCTACTGTCTAACATTCCTCATTCAGATAATGGTTTTGACGCATGTCACCAGCAGTCCGAAGTCATTGGTTCCTTAGCGTCTCGAGAACCTCAACCAGGCAGTCTACATTCCCTTAGGTGGCTCAGACCAACAGTCAAAAATTTCTATCTTTGATCTGACCATCGATAACTCTTTTCCAACCTGATGTAATGTCAGCTTACTTTGCTAGACGACAACGGTTGAACTACGACTGATTTGTATGATTATTGAAAAAAAAATACAAGTGGTTATGCATATTGTACATCGTTTGCGTTGCTTTGATATAATATAGACATTATCGTTTACATGAAAACGCAAATTCTTTGTGATAAAGATTATTAGATATTCCTTTTCTTGAACATTTTTGAAAAAAAAAGTCTTTTTCATTCCATAGGAGTAAAATCTACTTATGGTGTAGATTTGCCTTCAGTTTACGCAACAAAGAAACAAAACAATTCATCAATAAATGCATCACATCATTCTTTCACCTCGAGTAATTCTTCTTCTTTGCAACCTGACCAACAAATGAATATGCCTCCTTCTCATAGTTGTCAAGCTTTCAGTAAAGAAAATGTATGTACAAGCACTACAGATCATCAAGGATCACATTTACACCATCAACTTGCAAATGAACAAACAATTAATTCATCTTATCCCAATAATATTTGGCCAACTCTTATTCCTAATATTTCAAACTCTGTACAACAACAAAACTTACTGGTAAGCTTTTCATGAAAATAAACGAAAAGCACATTAATTTCAAATATTCCTGTAAATGAAGATTTCATAAAACATTAAATCTCAAATTTATAGCTACCTTGACACACCATGAAACAGTGTAGAGAAAAATACTTATATTCTTGTATCTTAATGTTATCGAATATTACAGTTATGATCACGCCTATGGTCCAGCTTAGAAAGTTCACCTTCAATCAAGTGTACAACTCTATGGACTGTTGTTTGCTCATAAATTTTACAGCTCATTTCGTTATCATCTATCACTTTGATAACAGATAACCGTAATGTATTTGTAGAGTATATATGTTAATCAGCGATGCTGAAAAGATGTGCTTGGATGTTTACTTGTCTGAAAACTAGAGTGATACACTAAGATGTACAGCACTCACTCTCTATCGATGCCTCCGTGATAACATCTTCATGTTTTGATAACGATAGGAGGACCCCAAATGTGACCAAAGTACGAGATTCCTCACAGCTGGTAGTAATTACGGTAAACTATGGCGGAATTGGACAGCAATCGTGTAGTGAAGGCGATGACAAACAGTGGCGTAAGATAGGACCTAAATTCACCGCATGGTAATGGACGACTAGGAGAGTGATTGATTAGCAGCATACGTGAATTGTTAAGCCTAATCCTGAAAGAACAAGTTCTCACAGATGAATCATTAATAACCTCTATGACATTTTATGTAATCTAATTGTCCTTGTTTACCAAATCTACTGCCTCACTTAACAGCGACTGATTTCCTCTATATTTATTAGGAAAAAGAATATCTAAAGACATTTTTCATTGAATTTGTTAAACAACAAGAAGCTATGGAAAAAGAGAAAGCTGATTTGATCATCAAGGAAAAGAAACAGTTACAAGAAAAAGTAAGTTCATGCTAATGTTTTTTTTAATTTTCGCTACTGATAATATCCTGTTAAGTTGTAGAAATAATTGATGTTAATGATATGCTTCCGTAAAATTGATTTATGTTGATATTGTATATCATCTAGTACTGAAAAATCATACACTACTGGGAATCATTTTTTAGTTTTGAGCTAAGATCTATCCATAGCCCTTGTCACAAACAAGTTAGAACATCGAGTGATAATAAATATAGATCAGTGCTCTCCAAGTGTTAGGATTACGGAGATCCGGTTGATTACAAGGTGGATTTTGTCACCTACGTAATACCATGAGATTATAACTTATCGTTTTCACATAATATTTACCGAAATCAATCATTGGATGATAGGCTTAACTGGAATTCTCTACTTTATGTCAATCTCGGTACTTGGAAAGACATCGGCAATGGAGGTATAAATCAGCCCCTAAGACAAGTTGTGTCCAGTACCTTTTGTGAGAATGGAAAGACCTAAATGCCCGACTGTACACCAGCTATTCAAATTGCAGCTGATCATTTTAAGTTTGCTATTCATAAATATATGGTACACGATACCCACAATTCCGAAATTATTTCAAATGTGAATTTTTAAGTCACAGATTCTTCACTTTTCCTAATCCCTCCGTAATGAATCACAGTTATCTACATATATTTCTCGAATGGGGTTGGTAGAATGCAGATTTATGTCTAAATATACAGGAAATCATTAAGAAATGGATACATTATCCCATATTGGTGACCTGATGGTGCACTGAACTCGTTTAGGTTATGCCTTTTCATTAACATCAACATACAGCACTTTTGTTTTAGTGGCTCTCCTTGAAAATAGTAAGGAAATAATCGTTATGGTGGACTCTGTCAATCGCAACTTCACAAAAGAACTCCAACTTCATTCTGTAATCAGTCAATAGTGAGGACCAGATTAATGTTCAGGTGTTGGTATACGAGAATTTGATTGATTTCAGGTTTGATCACGAACTGCCTTCAGTTAGAGAGATCTACACAAGGATGAGACAGCAAACAGTATTCCTGTCTTTCGACGGTTATCTAACTGAAGCCAGTTCATGAAATTAATCCAAACTCTGAAAACTAGAAACTTGAAACACTAGAAAACTTCTACCTGATTTCCGTTTTTGTTAATAAACAGAAGAAAAACAACAGCTTGAGCGAAAAAATATATTCCTTTCCAATTAGTTCCTCATCATCGGCTCTACACTAATATAGTTTTTTACATCTGATAGAGAAGATTTGTAGCTCAGGTGGGCGATTTTGACGTCGTTGTGTTCTCTGAGCTGAATGCCCCACTAGTCAACATTTACATCGAAATTCTACCAATCAAGTGGTTATTTTAGTTAATCCGTTCTAGGTATACGACGGGGGAATTAAGAGGTTAAAGGTCATCAGAACAATTAACTAATAGATGTTAGTAACAAGATATCTAAGTTTTGAAAGAGGGGTGAAAACCGATTAATTACGGAATTCAAGATAAGTTAATTCTTAAACGTTAGCAATAAGTTACTACATAATCAAGAAATTTGTAAAATAATGATGACTCAGAAGAGTTACGTAAAATACAAACAAGTTAATGGAATTAGCTAGAATTGTAAAAAATTTAAAAAAGTCAAAAGACAGTTACAAGAGGAGGGGAGGGGATGAAAAATCCTTTTTAAGAACTTAATACATATTAAGTACGGTAGGATTGTAGCAGTTTTCACCTACAGTAAACATTCTTTTCAAGAGAGATTATTTAAAAAACAAGTTTTTCAATCAATTCAAGCTAAACTTAGAATGAAAGCTAATCAGAATATCTCTTCAACTTCAACCTGGGATTATATTTTACGATAGGGATGATTATATCTTATAACAAATCTTAAAATCCACTATTAATAGTCAGAAATTTCAAGCCTCGAAAATGCAAACATGCGTATTTGTTACTTCTGATTCAGTTTTAGTCCATCTGAAATTTTGTTGAGGGAGTGAGAAAGGCAGAAAGAGAGAGAGGCTTATATGGTATATCGATAAACTCTATCTCAACTGAATATAAAACATCAGTAGTTTGTGTGTTTCTTTTAAGAACTGAAACATTTTGCTGCTAAAAATTCGTTTGAATGTCATAAAAATAAAATAAAAATATTTCTATGAATTCAGAATTATTCCCTTATATTATTTCTAATAAATAGAAAATCCTTGAACTGATTGAACAAGAATTAAGAAAACCAGTGGAAGATTTACGTTTAATTGACTTGAAGGTAAGGTGTACACTGAGATAATCAATATTACTTTATTCATATATATATATATATATATGCATGCTTTTGTTTACTCTGGTCATCCTTGGTTTTGTCTTTTGCTATTTCTTCAATCACCTGTAGCCTCCTTATCTAAGCAACGACACCACTTTGTTCTTGCTCACTACTAGGATTTGATGAATTCACATTGTGAAAACCCCACTATAAGCCAAAGTTGCATATTTAATACCAGTTACAATTATATGAAGGAAAAATCATTTTTCAGATAGTGGAAATTTTGAGAAGTAGTTTCAAAAAGTGTCCAGAATTTTCTGTGGAAATTTTAGTTCATTCACTACCTCACGTATTTAAAAGCAGTCTATAAACATGTCAAATACCACTTTAGCTCTATTAAGTCTGCTGAAATGAATTCGATTTTTAAAATCTTGATATTTGTTTGTTAACATTTCCTCAATTACCTGTGTGAGAAGAATGCCAACTATTTTATCACTGTCACCCTGAACAACAACTTTTCGCTGCTTTTCAGTTTGTTAAACTGTCTCCATAATCAGAATACTTTACAAGATGTGATTTTAGAAAACTAACCAAACCTGTTAATCATTAGATAAGTATGTGCTGTGAAAAATATATAGAGGACGAAGACAAAACACCTGACAACATACTGAAACAACTGTTTCTGTCAGTACAGACATAGTCAAAGCTCACCTTCTCTTTCACTATCAGTTACAAATAAGCATGAAACGAACTGGTATCGTTTTCCCCTGTCAGTGTAGACGTTAGTCATATGAGTATTTTCTTTAAACTAAATTAAATGACCGCAAATCTCTATGAAATACTGTTCACTCTTTCTATTTTTAAACCTAACCTTTTTTTTCTGCTTAGCCACTACCACAACTGAATTCAATTCCAGGAAACAAAATGTCTGGAAAAATGTTTGGAAATTGTTTAATGGTTGTTGAATTTCTGCACGCATTCAAAGATATTTTATGCCTAGGTTAGTCAATATGACAGAAGTTATTCATTTTGCAAAATATTTAAAAAAAAATCTATTTTATGTGTTTATGGTGTTTGCAATACAGCCCATCGGGGTTTTCAATCGTTTGCTCTTCTACTGGACTATTAATATCATCGTATTTTTTATCGTGTACTTGACGTGCACTAACGACACGTTCATTTAGAGCTTTTTTCACCAATAACTGCTTTTGTGAGTAACCTTCACTGAACAATATGAAATCAGTACAAACTTATACGTCGAATATGTTCTCTTGTTCTTACACTCGATGAACACAACTTATGCAACTGATTTAGCCAGAAACTAGTGTGTGTTGAATGTTCGAAAAAAGTTCATTCAAATGTTACAAAAGATAATCCGCTGAATAACTGAACGTTTTATCCGTTTTTGACAAAATAATGAGTTGTAAAAGATGAATACAATATTCAATGAAAGAAAGGATGACGTAATCAACCGATCAGTCCATTCTTTATTTGGATGATAAAAGGTAATAAGTGATGCAGTGCAAATCACACGGACAGTTTGAACAAAGCAAAAACGAAGGTTGCTAGCAGAATCGGATGATGTCGTTTTGTGTCGTCAGTTTCTCGTCAGTCGCATACAACCTGTAAAAGTTTTAAGTATATGCACAGAGAAATTTGTAACATACTTGGAAAGATTACATGATGTTAGTGAACAGGAAACTCCAAAATAATAGATAATATGTGGTGAAAAATAACACTTACTTATGTTATACACAGAAATTTCAAGTTAATTAGAAAAAGTTTGAATACTTTGAAATAGGAGAGTTGCTTAATAATACCAAGAGACTGATAAGTTGATGATGAGTGACTAGTAGGTTGTGTATTCACGTAGTCAGTTAAACTCAAATAATAAAATCAACAACAAAAGAAATTCAATATTTTTTATAGCCCAAGACGGAGTGGGTTAAACTAAAAGATTATGTAATCAAATAGAACGAAGACTTAGGAAGTCGAGTTATCAGGACTCATTAACCCGGTTTCTTAAGTTTAATTACAATATCTTTGGAGGTTTTTATGCAGAGTTGTATTGTGTTGTTTATTGGTTGTTTTAAGAAGATTTTATGATATGTACTTCATCACCGGTATCAACAAGATGTCTGGCGGTAACAGCACTGTCGATACTATTTGTTCACTTCTTATCATAGGCTTCTTTGTACATGTTTAAAGAGTCTTAGGTATGCGCTTCTTTTTGTTCTTTCAGTATGACCATCATTTTAATGTGAAGCATGTGACGAACGCGATGTGACGCTAGAAGGAGGATTAAAAGTGTTTGATATGTAACGTTAGGTCATCTGACCTTGAGAAGAGCAAATGCTTAAATAAATAATGGGATAGGGATTAGTCCACTGAAGAGGATAAACAGGACAGTAGTTGGTTGTGAGACTATTTGAGATAACCTTAAGCTTGTTTTTGATGTAACAGATAACAGTTGAAGGGGGAATGGGAATCTCAGTGGCGTTGCCTCAGACTTACTAGCCTGGAGCTCTCTGCAAGCTGCTACTGAGCTATATGAGACCAAACCGCCCATCGGGTCATCATTTTATTGTGAATACTACCTTGTTTCATATACTCACTCCCCTTTATGAATTTGAGTAAGGACAAAAACAATGGCTTTTGCAGAATAAGATGGTACCATCGTTTGTACCGTCTGTCATTACCAGGCATTCGTTGATACGGGCCCATGGACACCTTGAGATTCTTTAAAGTTATCAATTCTTTTAAAATGGGACACTATAGTTCGATTCTCTTGAAGTTTGCTGAAGCAAATACTACCAAGCACTTGAAACTCGGTTTATGTGTTCGGAAAGAAGCAGTTATCAGGCTTTTGCTTGCCCCAGTAACTCAACGTCTTTAATCTTCCTCTTATTTGATTACATAGCATTTGGCCTTAACCTCTTCTACTTTCGCTGTAACATAATTTTGTTTGTTTTTTATTTCTGTGATATGAGTTGAACTCATCACAGTGCTATGTATTTGATTAGTTACTTATCATCTTATCCACCTCTTGTCTTTATTGCACAACTTATTTTCCATTATATCCCAGTATTTACTTTTTTTCTGGTTTTGTTTCGTCTAAACGTAAACATTCTGTGTACAAAGTTATCCACTGTCTAAGGATTACTTATAGATTTTGGAATCTTGTGTTCACTGATATCATGTCACATTTGCAAGCACAGCAATATTATTCTGTACATAAACTTAATTAATTATTGTTTTAAGTTGTAGGCAGCTGATGAGAAGCTGATAGAGCAAACATTGGTACCATATTATTCTGTACAAACCATTGTTTTTGCTTTATTCACATTTAAGCTTAAAATATTCCCATATCATGATTAATAGTCAGTCTGCACGAAGAATATCCTTTGCAATAAATTCTCTTCAGGTTCTAATAATTATAAAATGTATTATTTATCGTTACAATAATAGCCAGAGTTATGTGGTGGATACATTTTTTTAACGTGGAATAACAGGTTGATTGTGGGATGATAAAACAAGTAGTAATTGTGTGACAAACATGCTAAATTGAATGCTACTACAAAATATTGTGAAATGCGACATTATGACAATTGTGATTAGTCATAATCGATTCATACAATGTGCGGAAGGAAAATTGACAAGTCACTTCAAGGTTGTAAAAGGTAGTCAGGTAAGTGACTAGTGCTAAGTTAGCCTCCATTATTGATGAGTAGGTAATAAGACTCCGGTGAATAGTTCATCAGGAAACAACCAGCGGGATGAAACAGGTGGAGGCCTATATATGAGAACAGACAGTAGCGCTAAATGTTAAGTCAGAATGGTATGCATGGAGAATTCCGTAGTACTGAAGAAAACGCCATTTTATGAAGGGTATAAATTTTAAATTTTTTGTGGCTCTAACTGTTGGGACGATGGTAGCAGGAAATATAATAATAAACAAAGCAAAAGAAAAGAGGAAAACGCACTCTTGGAAGGATGATTAAATTTTAATCCATGTTTGGCAATAGTAGGAACAGTGCCTGAATGTGTTTTATTTTGTGAACACAAAGTTCCGGTTTATTCTACCCTTATTCTAACAGCCTCAGCTATATACATATGTATATATATTGAAGCCATTCAGACAAACTTTTATTTAACTTGCTATAATTGTCGTCTGAAAAAGCCTAATTTATTTTCAGCAAGTTACAATTTGTCAAGATATAGAAATTTAAATAAACAACAATATATCCTCCAGTTAAACAAACTAGCTAGATAGGCAGAACAGTATGTAGAATATTGATTTACTTTCCCACAAATAATTACACATTCTACATTTAACAACTTATTTGAATAATAATCATAAATTCTCAGGCCAACCAAAACAAAGAGATCAGGTGCTTTCTTTTTTCATCAGTTCATTGTATATATATGTGTATATATGGTGGGACTCTCTCTTTACTATCTTTCAGCCTTTTTTACTGCTACAAGATAGTATAACCATATTATAATGGGGGAAGCTTAAAATATTTTTCGTCTGTCACTAACTCACTAATTCACAGTCTATTTTTTGTTTCAGTTGACTATGAAATTGGATAGATTTCCTAATTATATATACATACATATATTCTATATATATGATAGCCGCTTTGTGATAACACAATACAGTGAGAGAGCGAGAGAGAGAGAGAATAGAACTGTTATGTGTGTGTGTGCATTTGTGTGTAAATGTGTAACTAGGCTTGCACATGTATAGTGGTAGCAGTAGTACTATAGTGATTGTGAGTGAATGAGTGAGTGTGTGAATGAATGAATTAGATAGAAATGAATAAATAAACAAATGATTATCGTAAAATCAAAAATAGGGACAGTTTTATGCTTTTTTGTCTCTTTCTCTCTCTCTCTCTCTTATTTTCTCGGTTAATGTGTGCGTGTGCGTGTATGTGTGCATGACAATTTTCTCCTTCATACTTTTCTCCTATCTCAAAATGAAGTGAGATACTTTTCAAAGAATTCACATATATATGATATGCATATGTATATATCCACATAAAAATATACGTGAATAAGCAATGCCTTGTTAGTTTACAATACAACTGCTAATGCATTTCTACGCTGAACGTGTAGCGAAGAGAGAAAAATATGTGGATGTGGAGAATTTAAGAAGAAAAACTCCCTATAATAGTGTTGTAAAAAAATTTCAAAAATCAGCCCTAGGATAGGCAAATATGTAAGACTATAAAATGTAGAACAAATAGTTATAATGATAGCCAACTTACTAAGGAGAAAAAAAACCCAAAAAGAAAAGAATTTTGAAAAATAACGCGATTAAATATTTGTTTTCAGCGTACCTACATATGTTCAACTCTGGTTTTAACAGTTAATCCATGATAGATACTGTTAATTTTTTTAATTATTTCGAACTGCAAACACCTAAGTGATTATTAGTAGTGTTATTATTCCCTTGAGTTCCGAGTGAGAACTTTAGGCTGCAGCGATGCATCTCTATTTCACCTCACTTCTGTAGTCTTTTCTTTTTTTATCTGGCTCCATCCATGATTGTCTTTAAATTTTCATTTCCCCCATCACATGATTTTCTCCATATCACCTTCGGTAGCCCAACTCGGCTACTTCGGCTCCCAGTCAGGTTGGTGATGTCACTCAACGGTCTCCTCAACACCTGTTCAATCCACCTCCATTTCTTTCTGCTAATCTGTTGGGCGATAGGTTCTTGGCTCGTTCGTAGTCTGCCAGAGTTCCTCATTTATCATTCTTTCTGGTCATCTGATCATCAGTATGGAGTCAACAAAGATAACTGTTGATGAAAGTGTACAGTAGCCTGTTGAAAATGCTTAACATGATACACCAAACCTCTGAACCAAGTAGCACTAAATGACTTGGCATTAGGATTGGAGGTCGTGATCTTATTCCTCCTTATACTGATTGCAGCAGATTTAACTCCATTATGGATAAAATTTTATATTAATAAAATCACACAATGTTATCAAAATAAAATTTTATCCATAATGGAGTTATACCCCTTGTATTAATAATGCAACAGATTTACATACTGATTTCAGAGTAATGAAGGTTTCTCTTGCTTTTCCGATTCCGGTTGGCTCTGACATCCTCATCTATCCTTCCTGTGTAAAGTTGAAACGATGCTGCATAGATAAGTCAAAGAAGTGACTTCTTTTAGAATTTTCCCATTGATAATGATTATTGCCTGTTGTTGTTGTTCGTTAGGCATCTTGATCACCTCTGTCTTCTCTACGTTCACTTGAAGATCTGTCTTTATTGTTTCTCCTACTAGCCTGTTGGTTTTCGACTGTAGTTATTCGAGTTTGTATGACATTAGACATACATCATCATCGTAACTATGACTATAATTGTAGCGGCATAATGGGTTGTTCACGTGACGACATAATTATCTTTTCCCCAGATATTTTAACATTAAATTGTGCATGCGGTATTTCTTTGGTTTGCTTCTAAGTTATTACTACTCTGTAGCAGTAAATGTTACTTGATTGATACACACTCATATTTAATCAGTAGGTTTTCAACGTAGAATATATTCATTTGTATTTTCATGATTTAATGTTCAATGTGTAAATATGGGCTATTTCATCACGCTTGCTTTGCATTTACTCGTTTCCCACTGACACTAATTCAAACTCATGTATCCTACATAGCCACTCTAGGTGATACAATGTACTTCAAGTGAAGTGTTCTTATGACTGCAAAGAAGTAATTCACATTGGTACAAAAGTTAAAGATTCATGCTCGAAAACTATATATTTGTACTATTTAATTCTATGGAATAGCTGGAAATAAAAGTGAAATAGAAATGAGTGTATTGTGTTTCCTGAAGGTAGCTGACGAAGAGTGTTGGTAAATGTAAGAGTAGGTTTTGTGCCATCATTGGTAGAAAATAACCTCATTTTAGATAAGTCTATTGAATATTGTAACGGTAGAAGACACGAAGCTAGGTATGTCTATATAGCGAAATAAGGTACACCTTATCTGAAAATCGTCCTTTGCACAGACCTTCCGTGTTGTGCTACTTCTGCCCTTCGTACTGTGTTTCTTTGTCTTCTTTTCGTCTCCCCATGTTTTACCGCAACAATGGTTCTTTAGCTCTCTTTAGCGTCAAATCTATCCGTTATTTAATATTTTTATATACTACTGGTAGATCTTATCAGTAGCACACTCCACAATATAACATACAGTGCTCCAGTACTAATAACTAGATGACGTTTCAAGTACACATTTATTACTCATAAACACGTCAGTGTATTTACACCCCTTCCCCAACTTACAGCATATAATTTTTACTCCTTTCTGTTTATTATTTCTGTTGCACGAGTTGAACTTCTTCAATTCACTACAGGAAGGAAGAGCTTTTTTCAAGGGCCCTTAAAATTCATACAAGTGACAAAGTAATCAATGGACTACAATGCATGCAGTCAATTTTGCAAGCTAATGCGTGACCTGAAGAAAGATAATAATGGCTTTATCACAAACAATGTTTGTGATCCAGGGGGAGGATCTCAGCACTCCATGTCACTACTCCATGACAAAATAACCTCTGCAACAAGGAAAGCTATCGTAATCGAAATAAAATTTAAGGGTTCCGAAATCGTGCGACTGACAGGTCATAGATTTTTGTCAATTATCAAACGCGCATTCTACGCCGCATCTCAATCCCTAACCTCTTGAAAAGTTTTCCTATCCCATGATCACGGGTAAAGAACGAAGTCCTAAGGACTGCGATTCTCACTGCCTTTACAAGAACACCTGCAGTTGCAGTGACACATATTTAGCTAGAACCAATAGAATGTCTCAATACAGTTGGAAAGATCATGTTCCCAAGTCGTTATTAAGTCATGTAGAGAATCCGAATCCAGTCAGTTTAAATAAAAGTCTAGTCTAGTGTCATCCATTGAGAAACATTTATGAATGACTGGTCGGTCAGAAAATCAATATTAGAGACATTTTCTCAATTATTTCACCTAACTCTAATTCAAGGTTATTAAAGGTAATTCAAACACTTGGGATTAATCACATGTTCATTCTAAGCTATGTGGTTAGAAAATATCAGATTTCAACTTTAACCTGCCCTTTAACTACTTGACTTACTGAAATGCTGGTTATTGGTTAATTATGTCCTTATAGTTCGTACTATTAAATTACTATCAAACACTGTATTAAGGAACATATTATTATGCAGTGAAGAGACTTTTCAACAAATATACTATCAAGCCGCACAGCTGCATTTAGACACCATTTTTAAGAAATTTAAACAAAAGATGTGAATACTTATAATAATAATAATAATAATAGTAATAATGTGAATTAGGACGAGATATTTGTGATTATAATCATATTTCAGTATCAGTCGATAAACCAGTTTATGTAACGAATAAAATAGTTCATAGAAAAAGTATATATAAATATATATCTTGAAATGGGGTGTGAAATTAATAGAATCCAAATAGGATTAGTAGGCAAATAGAAACATTTCGTAACAAGGTGAAAAGATTGATTAAATCTAGTTTAAGATTGCAATAAATATACTGAATTAAAATAACGAATAGAACAAGTGAAATAATAGCGGAAACTGTTCAAAGTGAAAATAATAATAATAAGGGAAAAGTACACAGATTAAATGGTTGCGTCCGTGGCTCAGTGGTATAACACTCGCAAACGACTCGCGTGGTTCGGGGTTCGGTCCCCGGCTGGCGCACTCTGAAACTTCAATAAGTCGGTAGTAAGGTCGGTAAAGCGAGAAGGATGGGCGTAAGTTTAGCAACTTCACCCCGTAAAAGGGAACACCTCAACTGCTGAAACTTGGAAGCTCAAGCTAGAGGCACTCTTGGAGTGCGTCGGTGGCATAGTGGTTAAGACTCTCGCCGACCATGCATATGGTGCGGGGTTCAATCCCCTGCCGGCGCAGACTTGATATTTGGGCTACCGATATCGCACGCTGAAAATTCCATACCTGTACCAAAAAATACGGTGTGCAATCAAGCTGTAGTAAAAAAAGGAGTAGAAATAAATAAATAAACAAGGTAATAAATGAATGTCTTATCCCTCCCTTCTTTTCTAAAGATAAAGTGTAAATAGAGAGTGTACATACTTCTTTTGTACACAAAGATATGGCTTTGAAATAGCTGTACTCCATTCACCAACAGGTGAATTGAACAGGAGAGATAACAAATTAGTGCGGCTACTTAAAAGTATCTTCAACTAATTTCTTGCAAAATATTTGCTCCCGTATGGAATCTTCAAGTAAAATGTTCATCGACAGTACATCGTATAGCGCAATATCATTCTATTTGAAGAAGGTTCAGGCCTCTATGATATTTTAGCTTCATATTCTTCTTGAAGTACACAACGGTAGCTTGGATGCCAATTAAAAATTTTGCTAGTGTCTATGTTTTACAATCCAAAGACATAATTGGAAGATTAAAACAACAAGAAACGGAGGAAATAAGATTAACTTTTCTTGATAGAAATTTAATTAGCTCAGTGGTTTGAACAGGCCGCCAGAATATATGAAAACACCATCTAAGCAATGTTTGCATTAAATTTTCGGTGGAAAAAACAACAGTTTTGCAGAATAACATGGTACCATCATTTGTTTCGTTGGTTTCTCATCACCTGCTTACAGTCTAAATAAATTACAAAGTTTATGTACAGAAAAGTTTTAACATACTTGCAAATTTCACAAGATATCAGTTGAGAGGAGGTTCTGGACTTAGTGAACAGTACTCAGAAAAGTACGCTTATATAGTTTTTACAGAGGGAGTTCAAGTTTAAACAAAGTAAATGTATGCATACAATGGTAAAAGAGTTACGTAACAAAGACGAGAGATACGTAAGATGATGAGTCACTCATAAATTGGGTAACAATGTACTGAGTTCAACTGAAGTCATAGAAACAAGAGATTAGCAAAATTACACTGCATCCAAAGGGGGGGGGATGAGGTTAAAGTCAAAGGTTACGTAATCAAATGAAGGAGAGAATAAAAACATTCAGTTACCAGGGCAAATAAGCTTTAGAATATGTCATTCAGAAATTTATATAACTGAATGGTGGTGTGTATTAAGATTTTGCTGTCATTCTGAATAATCGTTATCTGGTCACAGTGTGTGTATACATGATAATCAATAAGCTTTGTTTCCTAAATATTATAGATACAGAGGCAATACCAAACTTAGGAGAATTACAGTCTGCACTTATTGATCGTGATGTACAATGTCAACGAGTTCTTGTTCATTTGTTAATTGAACTGTTGAGACTTGCTATTTGTGATCCTGGATTGCCTAATTCGCGACTAGTAAGTTTGATTATAATAATATAATAATTATATGTACATTTGATGTGATAAAATAATCATCTATGCACTAACTTGGAGCAACTTGAAAGATATATATATATATATATATAATGCTGAAGATGTCAACTGGTTACACCTCAGCAAAGCAGGAGAGATAAGTGTACCAGGATAATAGGAACTCATTCTTTCGGTGTTTCTTCTCAGATGGCTACAACTTGAACAATACAAAAATATAAATTAGACAAAAGATTTAAACATGATATAAGTGGTTAAATTATTAGACGAATATTGTTTAGGAAGGATAGAGTTGAAATTTTTAGAATAGAAACAAAGTTTAACTAGAAAGAGCATATACCAGTACAGTAGGTTAGTTACTAACAGAAAATGCGTCTTTATAAAATATCAAAAAAGGAGTAAATTGAGTACTGTTCAGATGAAACAATAAATTTTTCTTTACAGAACAGGGAATATAGCTGTATGCATGATGCAATCAAAATTGTAAGTTTAATCACTAAGTTAGTGGGAGGTTCACCACTGTCTGTTACTGCGCACATAGATTTAGTTTTAATCGTTTGGTGGTGATTGCCTCAGCAAACGTTGCAAGCCGCGTTTCACTCGCCTTTTGATTATTTTGAATGAATTCTGGCTGCCTACAATATGGCCAGTATTTTACAGATGGCGTCCAATTGCACTGTTTAATGATTATGAGCAGTCTCTAGTCTCAGGTTCTTGGTTATGTGTTCGGAAATGTGGGCAGTAATCCTCATTTCTGTTCTTTCAGTGAGTGTTCTTTGACACGTATGTGAAAACTGGTAGATGATTATACGTCAGTGGTGGTAATTTTTAAGACCGAATTCCATGAATACGAGGAAAAACTTATGGTACTAGTAGAGTTCAAGTCAATTTTTCGCTTAGTTCAGGGTCTCACATGTGTGTACAAAAAGTCTAAAGCCATCAGTAGGCTTGTATAAAATTATAAATGATTCCTTTTTGGAAATAGCTGTTATCATGGATCGACCTAGTTCTAGTTTAGGGAACCCCCACCCCATCCCTACCAGTATCAATGTACACCCAAGATGGAACTGTTCGGTAGATAACACATAGATAGAAATGATTGAAAAAGCATAGTGGTCACCTAAACTTTCAAGACAAGTTTTTATCTGTATCCGAAATAAAAAATAAGTAGTATTTAGTGGTTTTTTCGCATATGGTTTCTGATTGATTAAATCGAATGAACCTCGAGTAAGTGTGAATTTTGGTAGAATAGCTGTATTCACAAAAATCAATAAATAATTTACATGAAATACCTTCATTCAACTTACTTTTTACATTCATTCGATTTTGCATATTATAATTGAACATGACCACTTATTATTATAAATACCAGGTCAACATTAGAAAAATGTCAACAAATAGAGGACTCTGTTTTAGTAATCTATGAAAGATAATCTTTTCAAGTTTTCACTAACGAGATATAAAACTTGAATAATTTAGTATTTGTACTTCGAATGCGTAGTAGTTTTCGAGCGACAAATTAAACTCTGAATATCATCAATAAACAGAATGGTTTTATGGTGTTCAAATATATCAAAGATAAGACTCAAAAACATGAAGTTATGTGTATGAAGTACTTTCGAATTAGTTAAGTAGGCAATAGTTATTAAGCCAGTGTATATCACAATGGTTTAGCTACATATTCGGTTTGATAATCATATATCAGTTAGTTATGCTGTCGATAAATGGATTGCTTGACAGACTCTATTGTAAAATAGAATTCAAGTTATAGATTTCTTATGACTTCAGTAGTTATAGATACAATATTTAATGTAATTGTACTACAGGAAAAGAAATCATGAAGTTGAGATTTCCAAAGCTACTTTGCATAGTGTGTTGATAATTTGATCTTTATGCGTAAACTACAAGGTACGAGTGCTTCATAGAATTATTTTCAGTTCACACAGCTAATATCTATTTTTTTGTTGTGACTGCATTCCATGAGCTGCCATTTGACCAAACTGATAAACAGTTTTCTCTACAGTGTTCTCTTTGAGTTTTAAACTATAAAATCTCTAAAAGAACTTGGTATATTTGTCGGTTAATAAAAATGTCAACAAGTATTAATGCATATTTTATTGCACTTTCAATATTTCTTGAGTTTACCTTCATTTTTCTTTGTGTGTATACAGGTTACCCAATTACTTGGTCAGAGATTAAGTGAGACTGAATTAGATGAGCATAATGTCAGTGGTATTCTTCGAGCATTTATCATTGGACGGAATGGTTATGAAGATGATATGTCTAACTGGTTACTTCCACCGACACAGTTTGTCCAGCTACCAGGTGATCGTCAGGCTGCTTTGTTAGCTTTCATCTGTGATGAATTGATCTGTTCAAGTCGTCTTATATCTACAGAAGTTGACAGGACTATTGAACAACAATTATTGTTGAAACGAGAAAAGTTGACCATTGAGTCAAGAATACGAAGGTATAATAAATATTTAAAGAAAAAGAACTTGATTGTTGTAAAAAGTTTTCTGTCATTACTATTCCCTAGTTTAATGGAAATAATTTTGTTCTTTTGTATAAGATATCAGTTAGAAATATATGTAGGTTAAGTTTTATCTGTTACGAATATAAGGATAAAACTTGTACACTGTGGTAGAGTATAAAATTTATTTTGATAAGGTCATACAGTGTTTTACAGTAATATTTACTGATGACGTTTCGAGCACAATTTATTGCTCATAATCATATCTAGGTAGTCACACAACCTTCCAACTTCGTTTATATGGTTCCTGGGAAATATTAAAAAGACGGTCGCAGCGAAGAAAATTTTACGAGTTGATCACGGATTGATATCAGTTAGAGAACCATTGGAAACCAGGGAGTATTGGACAGCTGCTGTTTCATCCTAGTTTGGGAACCATCGGCAGTACGCACCCACTGCCAGTCAGGGTTCGAACTCAGGACCTTCCGGTTACAAGGAAGCAAGCTCGTATACCATTCAGCTACTGGGACCCGATTCAATGGCCAACGCTTGAATTCTAATTTCTATCAATTCGTGATTTAACGCGACTGGCACCAACCAATGTCATCGGTGGGACATCCATCCTCACACTTGACTGGTTGAACCTTACTGTGAGGATAGATGTCCCATCGATGACATTGTTTGGTGCCAGTTGCGCTAAACCACGAATTGGTAGAAGTTAGAATTCATGGGCTGGCCATTGAATCGGGTCCCAGTGGCTGAATGGTATACGAGCTTGCTTCCTTGTAACCGGAAGGTCCTGGGTTCGAACCCTGGTTTTCAATGGTTCTTTAAGTGATATCAATCCGTGATCAACTCGTAAAAACAACAAACTATTCCTTACAAACCAACTATAGAAGAAAATTTTCTTTTCGACTAAGTCATCAATTAGGCTGTATATGGTTCCACTATTTCTCACCTCTTGATTTGATTGGTATTAATATTTTCCATATTTCCAGTATGAGTCATTTCTATTGCACGTGTTGGGTGTAGATTTTATGAACAAAGATTCAGTAATCAACCCCTATCTCTCCATCTACCTACATTACTTTTTAGAAATTTTATTCTCCCATCCTATTGTGTTGTTGTGTTTTAGTGCATACAATATAATTGGTGAGCTTTTCTCTAAGTTACTTATCTACGCGGGGTGAATGATTCTAACCTTAGCTAAATTCTTATGTTCTGACTACCCGCAATTAACTAGTTTGACCTATGTAGTTGACCTCACAGTCATTTCAAGGTATTTTGTAAATATAATTTTGTAAATTATATTACTTTGTCTAATTAGGTCAACAGGGTCCTTTAACCTACATAGCTTGTCCCTATGAAGTAAATACAGTTTTATATACATTTAGGGATGTGTGAAATCCATGTGTCAGTGGACTACGTTAAATAGTTATTATTTCATCCTAACATTTGAGAGTGATTATGTATTATTACCTGGCGAATCATTCCTCTGATGACCTTCACTGACCATGAAAAGATTTTTCATTTAGAGACCATCGAAAACAAGGGAGCACTGGATAGCTGTCTCGCCACAGTTTGGGACTCTTCAAAAGTGCACACCCACGACTCCACAAGGAATTGAACCCGGGGCCTTCAAGTTACGAGACCAATCTCGTCAACCATTCAGCCTTTTGATCGGAATTCAGTGACCTGTGCATTCTGAATTTGTCAATTCGCGGTATACTACTACCCGAAATCTACATTGAAATTAATTCAAATCACTACAAAAACCCATAATCTAAAAACCAGTCTCTACTTCATTGATGGCCGTAGGATGAATATCCTTAAGTTAAACTGAGAAGTCGTGACAATGGGGTCTACCATGTTAGGGTGCAATGGATGCTCATCGAAGACATTGGTTGACTGCAGCGCTATTGAAAAAGTTAGAATTCACAGGTCACTGAATTCCAGCCATCCAAGATATTTGGCACAGGATATGATATTCACTACATTCGATATGGGAATAAAGTCAAATAATTTGATTATTTCGACCAGATATTGTGTTCTCATACTTGTATGGAAACTGTGATATGGGTTTTGAACCTTTACAAGTTAAGTGTGCAGTAATTTGGAGAGGGGATTGTTTTCATTATTATACGAAGCGAGTTACGTGAGTCGCTTGAATAATGTGAAGGCATGTTTTTGACGATTGACAGACTTAAGGATCCTTATGAAAATGACCATCCTGGTAGGTATGAACTTATAGCTACTAGATAAATCAACGCGTCATTGGCCCAATGGTAGTATGCTTGCCGACCAAGCGCATGGTTCGGGTGTGATTCTCGGCCACTGATATAGAGGGAAGGTTGGTCATGAGGCTAGCAAAAAAGAACACCTCCACTACTGAAACCTCAGAGCTCGAAGTTGAAGCCCCGTGTTGCACTCGAAACTGAAACGAATGAAAAAAAATAAATTTAATAGGATCAAATGACAGTACTGTTTAATAATGAGTGGAACCAGACAATTATTATTACTATGATTTTAAACAAAGTGTAAGAGATGGATATAAAAATTATTAGAAAACTCCCCATATCTTATTCTAACTCCATATAATTGATGACCTACGAAAACTCCCAAATATGGAGCATAGATGCTGTCAATGATTATTGAAACATGATCAATTGAAGGGAGTTGATGATTATGAGTCACGGTATTTCACGTGAATGAACTAGTTATATTGCGTATATATTGGGTATATCTTGCTTTACATGGACGCATCACTTTGTAGCTCAGGTGGGTTAGTTTGATGTTGTTGCCTTTTCTGAACTGGTTGACTTAATTGTGAAGCCTTCACTGTCCATTTAGACAACATTTTCAGCTCAGACTTCAATATGAGGTAAACTTATTTGAATTCCTCCTCCATGAGTGATATAATTGTATCTCCTGACAAGCTTTGTCGTGATCAGTTTCTAATTTTCATCAGTATTTATCATTTTTATTGACTTAGATTTTGACTTTTTTACCATGTGGCGTATTCTTTATTAGTTGGTAAATTTGATTTATAATAGTGTGTCTGTTAGTCACTGATTCTTCTGAGTACCGGCCATCTAGGAATTCTCTGAGATGTTTGCTGTTTCGATTGTTTGAAATTTCTACCTTTTCCTAGTAAAATCGATGTACATAGTTGTGTGCATGCATCGATATGAAAGAATATATGTCGTGTCTTAGATTCGGAGTCGAAGCGGACATTCACTTCATAATGTCTGCAAATTATAAAAATCATTTTCAAGCCTACGATTCCTCAGGTTGCTTTTTCATTTTACTGGCAGCTATCACACCCAGTAGCATTTAAACTGAATTATTATTCTGCTTTGATTTTAGATTGCGTTTATTAATTGCTCAAAAATCAATAACTCCTGGAACTTCAACATTGGAATATGAAAGAGGAGGAGTTGGAAAATCTAATTCAATATCATCTGATTCTTATGGTGGGATGAAGCCCACCCAGACAAGTCACTCAGAAATAGATCAAGTATCTCTGAAATATTATCCTAAACCACCAACTAGATCCAGTCCAGAAGTTGAATCAGTTAGTGTAGATCAGAAAATTCAAAAACATGACGTTACAATGAAACAAATTGCTTTGGATGATGATGTAGCCATTCATTCAAATACTGATTCAAAAGTATCTATGAATGAAGGCACATTAACAGAACAGCATACTGATGAGAAAATTTCATCAATAAAGTCCAACAATTCAGTTCCTGTTTCAACACCTCCAATTGTAGCATCTGGTCTACTTATAGAGGATGAAGATGATATGTGCAAAATAAGTGAACTTGAGGCTAAACTTGAAACACTGATCAGCATGTTGGAACAGAAACAAAAAGAAGTCGATGAAGCTTCTACTAGATTGTCTGGTATTTTTCTTGGTCAAGATAGATACTATCGTAATTATTATTCTTTGAAACATATGGGTGGTATTTATATTGAATGTGAACCATTCAGTAGGATCCAGTCGGGAAGTGAATGTTATTCTAATTCGTTACAAACTAAGATGGATGAAAATTTTGTAGAAGACAATTGGAGTGATCTTCCTGACTCTCATCCTGATTATATTGTAGGTCAGATTAAAGCACGACATGCACTTGCTGCTCAACAGCATCAGCTGAAATTAACCGGCTGTATAACTAGTACACACCAATATTCACAAGCTCATAGCCTTCAGTGTGCAAATAAATCTTCGTTAAATGTAGAAAATGTACAGCAATCTGACAAATCATGTACAAATAACTCACATGAAATTGAACAATCTGATAGCAATTCTGAAACAGTCTTGAAGCACACACAAACAACAGATTGTGATAATTCGAAAAATACAAGTGAATCAGAAAATGAAGATAAAGAAGTTAGTGCTGAATCTCTGAACAACACTGACGAGGTTATGTTTGATGTGAAGAATGTAGTGAAACATTCTAATGAATATGATAATAGCACTAAAAATACAACTCAAGATGATTCATCAATCTCCCCATGTTTGTCGTCTAATGATTATTTTACCAGTGTTACTTCAGAAATTCGGACAATCGACAGTGAAGTAGAAAAATCGTTACCTAATAAAGAAGATCCAGACATTATTCAAGCTAAATATCCTGCAGCACAGGAAGCCTGTGATGTTTTGCATCAGAATGATGCCAACTCTCAATCAGCTGTAAGTCTTACGAATGAAAATGATGAGCACTTGGAATCGAGTAATGAGTGTGGTTTACAAAATGTCAGTGCTGTGAAAGGTAATGATCAAGAAAATCAAGAGTCTGACACAAAACCTGAATTATCTTTGGAAGTTATTAATAATTTGTCAGAAGACATCACTGAAACGAATAAAATAGACAGTAGCAAAAGTGAAAAAGAGCTTGGAGCTAAAATACCAACAGTTGAATACAACGTTGATAGTGTAACTGATATGAAATCTAATAGTGTCTGCGATGCCAAACCAAGCATTGAACATCAACAGGAACAAGAAACCGTCTGTAGTTCTGAACCGCTAATCGGCAATACCATTAGTAATCAAAAAGTGAGTGAAGCAGAGAAGTGTGAAAATCCTAAAGGATTAGTTGATTCTACAGTTGAAGATAAAACATTGATTTCGACACAGCCTTTAGACTTATCAAACAAATCTTTCCGCTCAAAACAGCTTACAAGTGAATCTATAAATACAGAAACACAGTTCGGCACTGGAATTAATCATACATGGTTGTCTGGTGAACTTGATGATTCAACATTGACCAAAAGCATAATTTTATTTATGAACTACACAGGAATAATGCCAGCCACAGTTAATAATCAAATTTGTTCTGATACGTGGATTTATGTAATGAATTATTGTAAGCTACTACTTAGCTCTGCCCTTTCTGATGAATTCGAATGTGCTAAAAATAAAAATTCAGATCAAACAACATATTCGAATTCACCACTTACAGAAGCTGTAATGAAAATAAAACGTTTAATTCCAGATGAAGCGAAAAGTGAACTGGATAACACTGAGAAGATAACCAGTGAAGGGGAAAATATTCATTCACCAACAGGTAATTCACTTCCTGATATGGATATATCAGATTATGTGAATAAAGAATTAGAAGTGAGGAGAATTCAAACAGTTACTGAAGACTTATCATGTATTAAATCGAAAAGCGAATCTACCTGGTTTCAGCTAGTGGATAGAAACAAATTAAAAGAGTTTTTAAATGCTCTTACATTACGTGGAGTTCGAGAGAAACAGTTAGCCAAGTGTATTCGACGTTCAAAGGATTCTGTCGAGTTATCCATGCAGTTAGCCTTAAAACAAAGTGAGTTTTGAATTCCACTTTTAAATCTGATGTTTATGTTAATTTTGAAATGTTCAGTTTAATTTGATGGGGAAGGAAAATCTCCACCGGTATCAAGGTTTAAGTTGAATTGTTATGATATGAACAGTATGCACAACTGTCAGAAAGCTGGTATTAGAAACTGCGACAAACTTGGTGTACTTCGAAACACAGAATAGTATCACTGAAAGCATATATTGCTCGTCTAGATATACTGCGTTTCTTACCTTTTTTTTCCTTCACGTTCCCAGTGGAACATAGGGCTTCAAGCTAGTGGCTTGGAGTTTCTGTAGCAGTGCTTATTTTTACAGGATGGGTTTGCTAGCCTCATGCCCAACCTTTTTTCTTTACCAGCATTATTTCTGGCTTAGCGAGGTAAAGGAGTGGGTCGGCCGGGGATCGAACCCAAAACCACGTACATGGTCGGCGAACGTCCTAACCGATATACCACCGACCCACGCGTTTCTTACTTAGCTTTACGTAAAGATGATTTGACTTTTTACAGTTATAAGTTAATATACGAATATTCAGATTATTATTTTGAATTTTGTACAGCAGTGTTCTGTGTTTGTTGATATATGGGGCTCCTACGTGGTTTAGGGGATAACGATTTACTGAGTGGTTTCAGGTCTCACTGAGAATACCATCACTCAATAGAAATACGGGTGCATCCATCTGATTAGTTCCACATAGAGTGAAACACACTCCCTGGATTACATTACTGGCTACCTTCAATCTAATATCATAATGCATATATATAGTGCAACATACTATTCTCGATTAATATAATTAGGTTCTCTTCAAATAACACATGCGTAGTATCTGGTATACACTTATTCTACGGATAAAATAAGGAATTCAGTATAGGTTTTGTACGAGTTAACTGTTTGGTGGTAACACATAAGAAAAACGAATTTGTCGACAAATAGCTTAGGAGAACAACACCACATCTGAAATTCGCTATCTCTAACTGTTTTGTGGTTAGATTCTAAACAATACGGTTGCCTAGCTTCTGTTATCATATATGTCTCAGCTACCGTGATTACTTTAAATTCACAGTTGGCACATAACCTTATTTCTGCTTTCTCAATGAATCTGTGGTACATTAGTGATGCTACAAATAATACGTTTGTTAATTAAAGCTTGTGTCCCACTTATATTTATTACTTTTGCAATGTCTGTGTTTTGTTGCTGTGAGACACTGAAAAATTGTTTACATATGGCAAACCTTTTATTACCCTTTTCAGGCAAGAAATAATTTTGTACTTTACTGCTACAGAAAAAGTATATATACATATATTTCTTTGTATATTTATGTGAAGATTAGTGGCAAATGTTTCTTAATTAGTAGCTAAATCCTGCCAATTACTTCATAAGAATACAATTCTTGATCTTTGTTTTATTTCAACTGGGTGTAATTTCTATGATACATTAGAGAGAAAGGTTATTTGATTTGTAGCCTTTATCTGATTAGATATTTGTCATAACACTGATAACAATAAAAATTATGGTAGCTTTGCAATATGGCGTTTTCCAAAGTCTCTTTTGAATCCTCCATCCTCGATTTCAAATCGTGGAAAATACTCATCGGGAGGTTAGAGAGAAAAAATAAAAAGCCCAACCAAGTTATCTTTTCGGTGATTTCATTCTCAAAAGCTATGTAATGTCATTTTTATATGTAACCTGGCATAGTTACAATTATTGTTTAGTTCAATGAAGGGAGATTTTGATTGGACACTACTGAGTAATTAATGTCACGCATCTAGTCCTTTCTTTGGTGCAGACTGAATTCTACTAGTCAAGTCTGTAATGTGACCGCCATGCTAGGTGCCTCACCATCACGGTGCGCTATGAGTTGTAGTTAGACGGTTGGAGACGGCCTACGGGAAGCCTTGGACCTACGTTTCGTGCTTGTTGGCCCTCGTCAGCAAGGTGTATTTACAGTCTTGAAGGGACTCATAACCCCTCTGAGATTCGGAACTGGGTCACCTAGTGGTGCAATGAGAGACGTTACCACTGAGCTCTTAGGGCTCGTGATTGAATTCCTATAGGATTCTAATGGATTCTTTGACTGGACACTAGTTAGTAACTAACATCAGGTGAATGTACAGCTTTTGAGGTTGAAATGGCCGGAAAGATATCTTTGTTTAGCTTCTTGTTTTTTCTCTCTAATCACCATTTCGCTTACATTCATGCGATTTATCGTTGTATAACAAATGTTGAATTTATCTATTTTAAAATACTAGTTATTTTTAACAATTCTAAAGAATAAAGTTATTTTTTCCAGATTCTGAATACAATTTTGATAAACACATACCTACTGCCAAGTTGAATGCACGACTTTTCCGAATCCGTTTACATCGCCGTAGACGAAAACGAGGCATGGGATCTGTAAATAATCGCACTGTAGGTCGAAACTGGGATTGTTTCTCTGGAAATGGTTCCAACTGTTCTATATCAACAGCGTCGTGGGAAACAAATAACTCACATGATATGAAAGAGACAGAGTATCCTCATTCAACTCTGCCTTGTTCTGATGCCATGTGTTCTAGTGATGAATGTTCCAGTGAATCAAACTGTGGTTTAACAGTTTATTCTAGACGCAGTGCTATGGATGCCTCTCATATATATTGTAATTATCCAGCCAAATCACCGTTCGATCCGGCTGATGTCACCAGTTTCAAATACAAAGGTGCTGATGAAAAGAGACGGAAGAAAGAAGATACATTCGCTGATAAACATTGCACTTTTATGAGTGAATGTCAGTTACTGCATGAAGTAGAAGCTCTTGAGGACAGAGTGTTGTATGCCAATTTACAGATCAAAGGATGGAAGGTATGAAAAAATTTGTTCAGTAATGATTTTCTTATCATATAACAAGAAACTTGACTTTATGATGGGTGACAGTGTCCAATATGTCGCAAAACTATCCAACTGCTCTAAGATTATTGTGTGGATTTACAGTCATACTTGTGCATCTGTGGTTTAGTGGTAGAATGCTTGCCAACCACGCATGTGGTCCGGGTTCACATATTGGAAAATTTGCTTAATAAGTAAAATGTGATCCTGCGGATAACTTTTCATTCCGATGTAGAGAAAAATGTACCCAGATAGATTAGCGTAGTCAATCGTATTCCTTCTTATCAGTGTTTGAACCTGTAATCCAATGCACTAACCAGAGGAGAGAGAGAGTCCAATTTACGTTATGGAAATTCATGAACAATAATCTTTCGATCGCCTGTGACAGTATGTAGTTAGGACCTGTTACTTCATAAGATGATGCAAATACCTTATCATAATGTTACTTAACGTCCTTCTAGGTAAGGATTTTGAATAACGCTTAACAAAGTAAGGATGGTGACCGTTGCAAAACTTCTGTTACATGATGCTTATAGTTCTTTTGTCCATGAAGTGGTGTCATATTTTTGGCTAACAGTTTTTTTTACCATTATTTGACCAGCCCCCTACCAAGACATCTGAAGATCAAACCATCTCTCTTATACCTCGTTCAGCAGCAGTTAAGAAATCTCGATTCGAATACTCACCACTTGATCTTGCACGTAATCGTTTGCTGGATATTGAACAACATCTGGAGCGTCGTTACCTACTCCCACCACTTAACACTGAAATTCAGCTGGATATTGTCCCTGAAGCTGATACCAATGAGGTTGTCTCTTCGTTGAATAGAAGTGACAGCGTCACAGAATCTGTAGATACTTTGATTGAAACTGAAGACGACTGTAATGATACAAAGTCTAACAAAGGTGTATCTAATAATGGAGTATCTGAAGAAGACAGTAACATCTCTAAACCACATCATTTACCACAGATCCGTCGTGTTATCAACAAACAACCTAATCTAAATGATGAAAATGATAGCAGTACTAATCATAAGACACAAACTCCTACTAATCAACCAAGTGATTTAAACCTCATATCTAATTCACCTAATGATAAAATCCTTCCTCCAGGACTTATCAGATGGCGTAGTAAATTAAGTCAAGCATTTGATGTTATTACAATGCGTCATTGCATGGAAGAATTAGTTCAAGCAATTGCATGGGATAAATCAATTATGAAAGTAGTAAGTCAATTTATACAAATAAAAATAAATGTAGGATACCTTTTCAATGTACTCCTGATTTGGTTATATCACTGATTCACTGATCAATCACACAATTCACTATTATTCTGAAAGTTTTTGATTCTCTTCTGAAGTTTGTACCTCTCGCTTGAATTAACAGTCATACACAGAAACATTACCTATCCACTCACTTCGCTGTTGATTTACTATTCAGGTTATTTAGATTTTAATATGTGAAGACCAGGCTATCAATGCGAAGGTAAACTGTTAACATTGAAAATCTGTAGTGAGCAGTTCGATTTCTAACCAAAGATCACATGTGCTTATGAGTGCATCAGTTCAGGTTACTGCCCTTCACAAAAGCACACATAAGAGTAGAGAAAAGAAGTATAGTGAAACTACAGTAAGTAAAAATGTACGGGAGAAAAAGTATTGATTAAAAAATAATGAGGAACTATTGAATCTTGAAGATTACAAGAAGTGGATAGATCTGTACCACTAAGAACGATTTATGGCTATATAACCATCAGTTTGCAACCATTGTTTGTTAGTATCCTAAGAACCCCAGCCAAGTAATCTTAATCTCCTGCCGTGGCCAAAGTCAGCGGTTAGAGATTTCATGGATTCGTCTTACATTATCATTTGACCTCTTTTCCCATCTAGCATTATAGTGGATTCAAGCGTTTGCCAGTTAGCCATATAGCATCACAGTCATCCAATGTAACTGTTGTCTAGTTTTACACTCAAACTGATGGACCACACTAGTCACTCCTTTAATTGTATATATATATATATATCGCCAACAGGTATTTTAAAGTTTCCTTCATTTAATTATCATCATTTCCCTCGGGAATTTTATGAAACAAGAAAACTGATATACTGCTATCGCGAAATTAACTCCTATGGTATTTTATTTTCTCTTTTTAATTTAAGCTTTGTCAAATATGCAGACGTGATAATAATGAGGCTTGTTTATTATTGTGCGATGGATGTGATCGTGGTTATCATACATACTGTTTTCGACCACAACTCTCAAACATACCATCTGGTGATTGGTTCTGTTATGATTGTGTCTCAAAAGCAACGTCAAAACGCTTATGTTATATTTGTGGTGGATGTGAGGAAGTAAATAACACTGTCCAATCAACAGATAGTCATTCACAGTCAAACAATAATATTAAAAGAATGGCTATTTGTTATCATTGTTCAAGAGCTGTACATAACACTTGTGCTAGGCCAACATTTGTACGTATACCAAAGAAATGGTATTGTTCAAATTGTATTTTCTTAAAATATTCAAAATCAAATAATGAAAATTCTGACATATCAGTTGAAAAATCTCGCAGAAAACGTAAAGAACATGGAGATGCAACAGAAGAGACGGATACAAACAGTAATCAAAGGGTATGGCCTATTGTACAATAAAGATTATTTTAATTACTCATCTGAGGTACTCAAAGCTTAAATTAGTAAATGAACTTACTCATGTCATAAGCAGTTGTGCATGAATTATTTTATTTTATTGACCTATTTATGCATTAATTATTTCTCCAAAGCTTAGTTTACTAGAACTCAGTGCAATTTACTTAGTATCTCCGCATATATCATGAATTAGTGGAAGTTAGAATTGATGGGCGATTGGATTCCGTCACAGTGACTGTGAATGGTTTACGATTTTGCTTTTTAACCTGAAGGTCTTAGTTTCGACCCCTGGTAGTGCCACGGGTGTGCTGATGAAGAGTCCTGAAAAAGGACGAAACAGTTTTCCAGTACTCCGTGGTTCTCTAACTGAAGTTAATTCGTGATCGAAGCTGAAATCAATCAGATCCCCTCAAACCAACACTTCGAAAGGAAAATCCATCATCTATGGAACTAGTTAAAAGTTCAAAATGTGATCATGCATCTAGGATGATTTGTGATGAGAACTACTCTACTAGGGCAGACAAATAAGAATTTCTATTATACTTCATACACGAATTCGGTATATAGATAACGATATGGTTGGACTGAATGAAATCACATAAAAAGTAGGTGGTTTCTGTCATTGTGGAAGATTAGTGAAATGAGAGAAACAATGTCTAAGAAGATCATTCTTTTTTCTACCAGACTGTTATTTTCAGTTGAATCGACAAAATCAAGTATATCCCAGAGATTGCGTCTGGACGCTTTCTCCTTCATTGATCAAAGAATTTTTTTTTGCAATTGAGTTATATGGAAAATCTATCATATCATTAGACGGAGTCGAACATAGTGTTTGTGCGTAAGCGGTATATGTGCAGCGGTTTAGGACCGAATGGACGGAGTCCTTTATGTAACTCAGTGAATAACGAAATTTAGTGTGTGTGATGGGGTAATGAGAATGTCATGTAATTTAGAGTAAACAGGGGAGGGTTCAACTTTAGACACCTAACTGGAATGAACACACCAATCACCTTAGAACGCTCAGTTAGTGTAATGCATTGAAACCAGGTAAGTGACACTTTATTTATGAAAAAAATGTTTTGAATCAAGCGTAATCATATTAAACAGGATATCTGGTTAGGTTAGGGGAAGATTAGGGCGAAGTTTAGGCCACGAGCAGGTTACAGTTAGGTTAAGCTAATCAAGGAAACATTAGGCTTAAGTTGAATTTGGGGATCAAATCTACTGCTTAGCACAATTGCTCTTTCCAAAGTCATTGGCGCGTTCACGTCTTTTGGGTGTTTAAAGTTCAACTTCGCCGTAAACAACAGAACAAAGCTGATGAGGCATTTTCATTGGCACAGAAATTATCATTACTTCACTGAAGACATCAATCCATTCACTAATTTTATGTATATATCAATAGTACGCACTGCAAGAGACACTAAGACGATTACATCGTGTTGTAATCAGAGTAGCTAGCCCCAAGTGTTGAAATGTTTCTTTTAACTTTATTGAAACTTATGAAGAGGTGATCTGGTATCCAGGTCTAAGTTGCGTTCTTTTGAAAGCCATTTTATTACTTTCTGTTTAGAATTTGTCAAGTTTTAAATTGAACTGTGTTTAAGACATGCTAATGGATTTTGTGGATTATATAAAATAACTGGAAAGGTTAATCTTAATGACCTTTTGGCCTAATTGCAGATAAGCTAGAGCTGACAAAAATATTCATTTCTACAGACTGTATATGAATCTGCATTGAGCTAATTTTGATCATCACTGTGATTAAATGAAGTTAGTCTTTGTCAATCCCCTAAGCGGCAGCATTCACCCAAGATGAGTTATAAACTAGCTAAATGGATAACTGACTTGGATTTTTGGGCTTGACAGTATATAGAATACACAGTATAGGCTTGTTCGTCATTGAGATTTATTCATAAGTTTTCAAATGTATTAAGATTTATACATGACTTATACTTGCTTAGTATTTTTCTACTGGTGAAGTAGTTTTCTATGTTAAGGGAAGGGTACTGACTTTTTGTAAAGCAGAATAAAAAAATAAACACTCTGATGGGATAACCTGAATTCTGTTTCATTCCATGTACTCTAAATACACGCACAAACTCACTAAATTGTAATTTCGTGTACAGTTTAATAATTTAATGTCATTGTCAAATGGAAGTAGTTTGATGACATTAAGTTCAGTGGTATAATCAGCACACAATAAGTAGTTTCTCTACTACACAATAATATACATGAGAGCAAAAATGTATAGTTGCTTATCTGACTTCTCATTACACAGAATACTACATGTTGTTGTTACAGTGACGAATCATACTATGAATTCTATCCAGACAAAACAAAATAATTCAACATAAGGCGTGATTAGGATTCAAAGTAGCAGAGAGAGAGAGAGAGCAGTTAAGATATATGACAAATACGATGTGATACGGGGTGAAACAATCGTGAACCCAGTGAAGTATATTTATTTTGAGGCTAATTTACATTTCCCGCTGACTAATTATTTTGGACTAAAATGCCTGGTCTCCTTTGTCATACGGACTCTTCTGCTGTAGCTGAAAACTAGCATGATGTTATTTTGGTTGGTGATGAGTAGCAGTGGAGCCCAGGATGTGCCTTTCGTCCTGTTTGGGACCCATTATTTGGATGTAGGTGCAGACTTCAGTGATGGAATTTGCTCTAATATAATCAGTCAACGAGAGATACAAACTTAGCTATAACAAAATAATGACTGATACCTGGTGCACAAGAGGGTGGCTGTCGTGGCCCAAGTGGCCTAGTGGATAGCACTTTAGCGTTGGAAACGGTGGTTGCAAGGTTAGAGTTTCATTGGAAACACTACTACTCACTGGTGATGTGACTATATCCAGATGACGAATTCTAAACAGGACGAAAGACGAATCTTGGATTCCTCTGCTAGACACTATCAACCAAAATAACATCAGTGAAGAATAGACTAAGAAACAGGGTTAATGTACAATAAATATAATGAATAGTGAAGTATTAGAAAGATGAACAATGTTTAAAGGTGGTAAGAGAATGTTACAAATGTAAGGTGAACCACAAAGTCGTTATACACGAATAAATTAGGCTTTAGTCGTCCGATTGCTGTACTGCTTCCGTATATCGTAGTAATCTACTATTACTCAGTCTATTTACCACCCGGAAAGCTGTGTTGGAATTTATATGACCTGTATCAAGGATATGTCTCCTAATTTATCCAATAATGTTAATCGTTTTGGCTTCACAAGAACCTACAAAGGCAATTAATTGTATACGATATTGGTTAGCCTAATACATGTGTTCTATAGCTGCATATCAAAATGTCATCGACCTACAAACTATTGTTTTAATCTTACTTTCAAACCATATTAAAATGTTGTTAATCAATTTTTCTCCAGAACAAATTTTAAGCTTTATGTGAAACCAAAGCAATAATTCGATGCCTAACTTTCATTCAAAAATAGCTAACTTCCTTTATAATAATACAGTCAAGCTAGATGGATAGAGAAGAAGGCTGGTTAAAACAGTTTTTGATGTTGAATTTATTAATTTTTTTTCTTCTAAGTATGCTGTGACCTTGAAGCAAACGACTAGGCAGCATTAAAAAGCGTGTTCGACCATAAAGATTATCAATTTAGTCAGGACGTTTATTTACATATACTGTATATACATACATATATTGGATTGTTACTATTATTACTATTATTCTTATATATAACGGTCAGATTTAATTTTTCAGTTATATACTACCAATTAGAAAGAAATATTTCGAGTTTGTATTAAAAATGTATATTGAGTGTACGTTAACAAAGAAAGATGAAGATGAGAGAGAGAGAGAGAGAAAGATATCTGTAGATAGATAAAGCAAATGAGAGATAGGTGGACGGATAGACGGATAGACAGGTAAATCGTGTCTTTGTATTCTTACAGTAGTGGCCTTATTTGTTTGAATCAAAATCTAAGTATCAATATTATTTATCTTTTATAATATTGGTTGAATTTTTCTCATCTGAAGAGGAAATTTATAGAAAAAAATGACTTAAATTTTATACAAAGTGGAAAACAGAAAACAGCTAGATGATAAATATATTTTTAGGCAGAGTTAAACAGAATACAAAAAAATGGTAGATGGTTAATATCTCATAGCCAGCTTAACACATACTGTGATAAGCAAAAGTGTGTTAACTGTGTTGATATAAGCAGTAATTCACTTTGTCACAGGCTAAATCATCAACTGTTCACTCTCAACTACAATCTTTAAATTGAATGTATATTAGGAGTCTGAAAATTCCTTCGATTAATGAGAATGAGTCCATTACATTTTATAAAATAATCAGCATTAAAAATGCTCAGGGTTCAGTGTCTGACTAACAGTCTAGTAAGTATTGCATATGATGTTTCCTTCACTTCAACAGCTTGCCAAGATTTATAGGCATAGATGCTGGTCGTGTTTCATAGAAGTATTGGTATTCCTTTGGTTTCTGAATGTTCTGTTCTCTACGGTCCTTTTTAGCTGGTTCTAAAATTGCTCATAAGCTTTCATTTCCTCCTCACACGACGTCTTCCATGTCCCATTCGAGTTTTACTCGATGCCGTAGCTGGCGTGTGATTTCACTTGAAGGTCTCGTCCACCTTTATTTCTTTCGGCATATTTGTTGAGCAATAGGATCTTGGTTACTTATCTCTTCTTACCATCTGATGTTCAGTATGGTGCGGAGGTAGGTAGCTATTGATGAAAGTCTGAAATAGGCTGTTGGGTATGCTTTAGGTGATGTACGCGCCAAGTCTCTGAACGATAGAGAAGAACTAACTTGATATTATTTTTGAAAACAGGAATCTTGTTCCTTATGCTGAGGAGAGCAGTTTTTTCCAGACTGATCTCCAAGTAATGAATTCTTGACTTGTTTTTCCGACACCGACTTTGATATCCTCATCCGTTCCGCCTGTAGTTGGAATGACGGTGCCTAGATAAGTGAAGGATGTGACTTCATTTATATTTCTGGCATTGATGGTGATTGATGTTTTTTGTTGTAGGTTAGGTATCTTCATCGGATCTTTTTTCGTTTACTTGAAATCCTGTCTTCGCTGCTTCTTCTGCCAACTTTTTGGTTTTTGCCTGTAGTTGTTCGAGTTTGTGTGACGCTAGACAAAAATCCATTATGTGCCTGTCTTCTCTCTATCCTAAGTCTGTTGCGTAATTCAATCCACCACAATCAGGAATGTCGCCAATGATATTCTTGATTGTGGTGGAGTGGGTCACATACACATACTTTTGTCTTGTCGAATATTTGAGATTGTGTCTTGGAGTAATGATAACCACTTAGTAAGTCAGTGTATAGTTTTGCTTAACGATCAGTGTTTAGATGTAACAATTACTTCCACAAGATATAAGAAATGCTGTATTAAGAAATGCTGTTAGTAGATAAACTAATTTCTTTTCATAAGAGTTTTCGTTAACTTGAAAGCAAATATTAACCCCATACCTTTTTACAGTTATCCGGAAAACAATATGCACAACTAAATGTTGAAATATCTCTGCTATTCAAGAAAATAACTGTATAACCATTTTTTTTGTAAATAATTGCTTTTTAGATTAAGAAACGCAAAATGTACTCACGTAGCAACAGTACTACATTTGATGCATCAGAAGAAACAGCTTTTGGGATATGTGGAACATCAAGTCAAATCGACACTGGACCACAAAATCAGAGCAGAAATAGAAAACATCGAGGATGGTGGAAAAAAATCCATAAATATGGGAAACATAATGATACATTGAATAGTGTAAATATTCCCATTACTACAACATCTAAAGTACTAAAATATAGATCTAGACATCAACGTGATATTGAGGATAAAAAACTAAAGACACTGAATTACCATAGAGGCATAACGGATTGTTTATTGTCTAGAAAACGTGGTAGAAAACCAAATTATCATTCGAATGCATTACCTACAAAACCTAAGCGTCATTATCATCGTCGATCTGCCTTATTAATTCCTAAAATATCCGACTATCAAGAAAATCGTCGACGTCATTGTAGTAGTAGCAGTCCTAGTTCATGCGATAATAACACCAATAATGATGGGAATTTTTTAAACACTAATTTAGATGAATCAGGATGTTCCACCAATCAAATTACTCATCAAATGACATCTAATGAACTTGAATGGTGTCGGTAAGTTTTATACAGGCTTTTATTGATTAGTGAGTTTGAATAAGTTTTGTCTGTTGTTGTGACTACATATCATAAATAAGCCTTAAATCGACTAAGAGATATTTGTTTCTTCGGTAATAATAATATTAGGAAACGAAAATTATCATTGGAGATGAACAAAACTTATTTGGCTGAAAAATCAGAGGGCAGGAAATAGGTTTGTATAATAATAAAGATAATAATAATAATCTCTCCATATTTCGAATTTGGTCATTTATAGGGTATACTGATGGATCATGATTAAGACTCTGGCGTATTCACATTGCCATGGTGAATACTTTTAATATCTGGTCTAAAGTCAGATTTATGCATCAACCACTACTGTTTCTATTTTTACCTTAATCCTATGCGTTTGGAGTGAAATATTAGGCTTCAAGCTTGAGACTTGAAGTTTCAGTATCAGTGGTGTTTATTTATTGTGGGTCGGGGTTGCTAGGCTAGCGCCCAAGCTTACTACCAGCCATGTGAGATTGAAACCCGGACCACATGTGTAGTTGGGGAATATTCTACCACGGAACCGCCAACGCATTATTTCTATGCTTAAATTAAATAACCATTGTTAAGCTCATCGCTAATGGCCTTAGAATTTTATGGATTTGAGAAGCAACATTATTCTAACTGACAAGCAGTAAAATTTGAAATCATGAACACTGCTATATTTTTGCTGTTCTCCACTTCATTTGTATAAAAGTAGGTATGTTAACCAGATGGTGTTTTATATTAAGTTGATTGAAGGTGAAGATTATTTGTTTGCTCAAGGATTCTTTAACTGTAAGAGTATGTACACAATTGCAGATACTATTTCTTAGTTTACTTTTGGTTCAATTTAATCAGAAGACAGGAGTAAGCAGTTTTGGAGAGTGTTTCAATGCGTCTTAATCCTCAGTGTTAATTAACCAGTTTTACATGACATTACGCGGTTTGTTTTAAAGCTCTTTGACTCAGATATGAACATACTGATCAAATTCAGTGATTGATCATATCTACAATTTTGCGTCCAATTATACTTTTCTTACAGACTGTAGTAAGCTATTCACTAACACTCTTCCAGTTCATTATATATTACCATGGTTACCATTGTAGTTACCGTCAGTTAAGAACAGGGATTTAACATATTTTATCACGGTATTTTTTAAGAAAAAATCTTTTTGATTCGACTTTTTTCATTCTGAAGATACAGAATTTTAGGACCTGGTTTAGCGATCACATTAATGCCTTGTAATCCCACTCAAAGAAAACGACTAGTGACCTGTCTACAGCTTACTGATCAGCTTTTGTATATGATCCAATACTATTCTAAATTAGTAAAATTTAGAGAATGTTGGCAAAACAGTCTAGCCATGACTTCAAAGAAAATTCAACTCAAAGCATCTAAGTTCATTGGGGAAAATGTTAAAAAAAAGAGGCTAGAATTTTCTCCTTTCTGAAATTTGAAGTATTGTATTATCTTCTTCTAGAGTCTTACGCACATTGTTTCCATGTTATTTTCTAGTTTATAATGGTTCTCACAATAATACTTGTAATATAATTGTGTATTATCAGAGTATATTGGTCTTAGGCATCGGTGGTCCAGGAATAGAATGCTTACTAACCACGGGTTCGGGTTCCATTCTTGGTGGACCACGCATTCCTAAACTTCTCATACTTTACTGCCCGATAGTAAGCCTTGGGAAAGAGGAAAGGTTCGAAGTAAAACGGCTGGCAAACCCATCCCGTAAAATTAACACCATCTCTACTGAGACTTCAACAGTTTGAAGCCCTATATTTTTCCACCCGGAACGAAGGGAAGGAAAACAGTAGGTAGTCCTAAAAGGTAGCAAAAAAATTGAGTACAGTACAAGGAAAGTGTTATTCATTCATTTCTTCATCACCTCAGAGTTATACAAGAGCTAAAGTATGTTAATATAGGATAGAATATATGTCAGTTCGCTTAACACGAACGAACAGTGATGTGGTATTCATAGAATTAGCGTTAGTAATAACTGTTAGGCAACAAAAATATACAACAGAAATGCCAATCAAGACATAAAAAAGGGGAGTTAATCAATTCCTCGTTATCTTTTCTTTCTGATTTCTTTAAGTGTGTATTTTCTATATTGGAAAGCAGTTTAAAGAACTATCTGACACCCGCCTTTCTGTTAATATTGCAACAGTAAATAAAACACAAAATAATTGAGCAAAGAATATCCTTTTCGATAATTTCCTCTTCTGGCTTTTGGATTTTTTGAAAGGATAAAAGATTTAAATGTTGACAATAAATTCATGATATCAGTTGACGTATCTTCCTTATTCACCAATGTACCACTTATGGAAACAGTGGACTTTGTATGCGAAGAAATCACAAGACGAAACATCGATGTTAGCGTTCCTATATCTTTTATGAAAGAGCTTCTCTTGAAATGCACCATGAATGTCCACTTTTTATTTAATAAGGAACTATATAGACAAATCGATGGTGTGGCAATGGGGTCACCACTAGGACCTACTGTAGCCGAAATTTTCCTTGCGAAACTAGAAAATGGGCTTTTGAAAGATGTTATTAATGAACTTGAATTCTATTATCGGTACATGGATGACACATTTTTGATTATGAAAAATGAGGATGAAGCAAAGAACATCCTGGATAAATTTGACGAGGTTCATCCTGCAATAAATTTTACTATTGAGAAAGAAAAAGACTTGTATTTCATTTCTAGACGTCCTTATGACCAGAAAAGAGTATGGCACAATAAGAAGTGTATATAGAAAACCTACATCAACTGGTCAGTATACTCATTTTCTCAGCTTCGCGCCCTTGAAATACAAATGCAATCTGATAAAGTGATTGGTTTACAGAGCAAGAGCAATCTGCTTGGATGAATGTCTCGATGAGGAACTTAATAATATTGAACGGTTGCTAAGTGAAAATGGTTATCCAGAGAAGTTTATTGTTAAGAATGTGAATCTAAAATCAAAGCAGCCCAAGTTACCAACAGTTCCAAAAAGGCCTTATTCTTACAAATGCAGTTCCTTGGGGACAACATCAGCAAGATCCTAACCCCAGCGCCTTAGAAATGCGGTAAAAAGAGCCGAATTACGCTTTGTCTTCAAAATCACACCTATTTTGTGTTCGGGAGTTATAGATAAACTGCCTAATTTCGCCTCTTCCATGTGTATCTACCAATTTAACTGCTCCTGTGGAGCCAGTTAGTTACATAGGCTATACAATTAGGCGTGTTTCTCGTCGAATTTCCGAACATCACCCTGCGTGGTTCATCATAGGACAAACAAAATCTATTCGTAGAGCTATTCTATCTCATTTTGTGGATACAGAACACAAGATTGATGTTAACCATGCTTTCAGGGTCATTTACCGCATACCTACGAATCTCAATTTAGCCTTCAGAGTTCGACTACTAAATATTGCTGAGGCTGTAGGGATCCACATTAAGAAGCCTAATTTGTGTATCCAAAAGAAGTTGGTTCAGACATTTTCCTTATCTTGGCCATCTAGGTTTGAATGATCCTCAATTTTTGTGAAATTTTCCTAATTTTAGTTGATATTCTATTTGCTACTATATCTTTGTTATTATAATAATTTAAGCATCTTTAATGAACAATAATTCCATTGATCTTACTTTACAAATCGATATTATTTAAAAAACACTAAAATTGTTATTGACTACTAAACTAGAATATGCTATGTGTATAAACATACATATAATTGTAGAGGCAGAAGAGGAATTTATCGAAAAGGATATTCTTTGATGGCTCAATTATTTTGTATTTTACAGATGTCTGAATGAATATTTTCGCTATATTGAAAAGCAAATAAGATTTATTTTCCTAATGATAATGACTGTATGAGAAATAATGAATATCTGCAATGGTGTTGGAAGGTTGCTGTGCAGGAATTAGTTGTATCCGAGTTTAGAGTCACTCCCAGATGCAAGGGATGGGCTGCGAAGAAATGTATCACAAAAAGTAACAAGAGAAAACTTTTCGCAGTCAATCGATTTCAAGTATTTATTTCTTAGAAATGCATACAACACTTGATATCAGCAACTTCCGTTTATTGACTTAATTTAGCCTTATAAACGAAAAATGACTCAGTGGATAAACTAAGGAGAATTTGTTGGATGTTTTTGTTGAATGAAGAGGAAAGGTTATATGAATGTGTCATATGGTTCGTTTTACAACACATGTTCTGCATTTATCAAGCTGAAATACATTGGCTTACGGCATCTAGCATATGCAGTAAACTACTCAGATATACTGCGGTAATTATGCTTAAACTGTAATTCACTCATAAACTTATATAGGTGATGGATAGCTTAGCTCAAATACTGTGAATTCCATCATTAGGATGCATTTTATATCTGAATTTAAATATGTGGTATTTTTCAGTATTAAACCACAAATGAATATCTTCCTTTCTTTAAGCTAACTATTTTTACAACCACAAATATATTTCAAACGCTTTGACTTGCATTCACTCAAAATTACTTCTTTGTTAGCATCCTTATTAATTATGTATTTTTGAAATTTTTTCTGTTGGTCTAGCTGTTATGATCTTTCAATATTCTTCAGGCTTTATTACACCTTCTTAAACATTTCAGCATTGGGTTAGGTATATTTAATCGACAGCGTTAATTGATTGAAATAATCCTTAGAGATTTGACGCAGTTTATTCTTATCTGACCTAGGAATGAGTGTAACTTCTTATTTTTTTTAAAAAAAGTATTCTACCTTTCTCAGTCGTGTATACTCAAGAATCACACTCCCTTCAAATAAAGTGAAAAATCACAAAAGTTATTTATCTTCACTTGTATAATCAGACTATAATTTATAGATTTTTAGTGGAACAATTAAAGAGTGAAAATTAAACAAGTGGTTACGCAATAAATAATTTTGAAAAATAATAAATGAGTGATCATATGATTAAAATCGATTGCATAAGAAAAACTAATAGTTGAAGTATGCAGATTATTAAGACAGTTAAAATAATAACCAAAACGTGTGAATAGCGATAGCATGAAGCGAGAATTTTCGGCTTCGACATTCTTGTAAAACTGACCAGAGTAAGAAAGGTGACGGTTGTTCAAATTCCTTCCAAGCACAGATATATGTTCAGCTTCTTTAGGTGGATCTTGTTGGCCTCTGCTCTATATAGCTCAATGTGTTGTCTTCTAAGCGTTGTATTTCTGTTCCTTTGCGTCACGAGTGGAATATCAGGCCTGAAGCATTGAGCTTTTGAGGTTTCAGTAGCAGTGGCGTTATGCTTTTACGGGGTGGGGTTGCCACCACCTTACCTCTTTTCCAGGCTTACTACCTACCGGTAGCATACTAGGTGAGATTTAGTAGTACGTTTTGTCTTGGACTACGTGTGTGGTTGGGGAAAACATCATCGAAATGTCTAATTGTAGATTTTTGTTGTAATATCTATACTTTCTTACTTATGAATTTGTATATTCTTTATTTTATGCCGATAGACGAGCAACTGACGATTTATTAAATCATGAAGCTTCATGGGCGTTTCGTAAACCCGTCAATTCTAAACAAGTGCCAATTTATCGAAAAATAATCAAGCATCCAATGGATTTGTCGACAATAAGGAAAAAAGTACAAGATCCTGAGTAAGTGATTTCATTTTGACAGAGTATAAAAATAAATTATTTGACTATTCATATATACAATAACAGGAAGATTTCTCCATTATTCAGTGTGAATAAAGTCATACTGTGGTGGTGTGATGCAGACAATGTGTTCCAACGGAATATTATTCTCACATATTCCCACAGTTCAATGGAATCTTTCTTTTTAAATATGATCCACTTGGCGCTACTTACAAGAATATCAAAACATAGCAATAAAATTATTCTCACTGTCATAATAAAAGACAAGCGACCACCAGCAAGCATAGGAAAAAAGGCTAATAACAAGACAGTTATCATCTGACCTATTCTGTACAGCATTACTGTTGATTTTACGAGACCCATAGATTTGAAGTAATGCATATGTCTTGCTGACACCCGAAACTAAAATTAAAATAGATGGCATTGAGTGCTAAATATCCTGGATAAGTCTCTTTCCTTATCTTTCCTGGTTGTCTCAGATGCTGTTGATTCTCAGAAAAATATACCTTCTGACCTAAGAAAATAAGTTAAGACAACCTGGTATCAATCTAGCTCTATTTTTTCCAGATTGTTAACTTATGCATTTTGCCTACTTTTCTTTGTTTGCCATTTAATCCCTCCTGTGCTACTTAAAAAGACTTCGTTACAATACAAAGGACACTGGAAGCCGTTCAAAGTTGTAACCGGCAAGGTTCATGAAGTTTGGTGTGAGGACAGATGACTTCGGCTGTCATTCGAGCTACATATGCTGCGAATTGATAGAAATTAGAACTGATGGACCATCAAATTCCGTCTCAGTTTCTGAATGACCAATGACATCGTTTTGTAACCTGAAGATACTGGGTTCGTACCCTGGTGTGTCCATGGGTGTGTACAGCTTCAGAGTCTTAATTTAGGTCGAAACAGGTATTCAGTATTTCCTGGTTTTTCATGATTCTCTAACTGAAGTCAGTTCGTGAAAGTCAGATTGAAGTCAGACTTGAAATAAGTTATAAACCTTACATTCATTTCAGAATTCTCAAGTAATAATAATACCAATATCGTTCTTGGTTGTTTCTCATTGCATTCTTTTCAGAAGTTTTGCATTCTCGCAGTTTTCTTCATTGACCTATCTATTCACAAGCAAATTACCACTACTTCTCTGAAGATTTTGTCGATAAACTACTTATATCTATTTATAAGTAGCACATATCGTGACATTAAAAAAAGAGCTCATTTCCACAGTTTCTCCTAAACAAAAAATTATTTTTATTCTTTGTCATCCATCCAATTATGGAATCTGTTGAAGTAGTACAGAATTATGTAAAATCCATCTTCAAAACTCAGAGTAGTAAAAAGTTACGAACCAGCATAATGCTGATCTAGTCGTTGTTACACCTCGAAAATTCAAGTTAGCCAAATTAAATATTTGTGTAGACCGTTTCAGAATATTATTTTTTCCTACGTCATATCACTAGACATGTTTTGTTAATAGTTTCACTAGTTATCACTTAGTTCTCTGCAGTCATGGAGGTTAACTTTCAGCCATTTGGTCAGTTTCTGATTGCAACCCCGGATTGGTTGTTTTTAAATCTCTGAGGGAACATGACTTATTCCGACTTTATAGGTAGGGCTTTTTGATGTGTGGCAAAAGGCAGTAAGCCTAGTCTCAGGACTTCCTGATGCGACTGCTTTTAGCCATTTAACATTAATTCGGAGTGCACCACGATGGTGAGTCACCTAGCCGGGTAACCACATTGCAAACTTGACTATAGGAATTCAGTCAGTACCAAGATTTGGATATATGAGATGGGTTAGAAGCATCAATAGCTAGCTCCATATTAGAACACCTGATTCAAATTGGCCACAAAGCCAATATTGAAGAGTCCTTCTCCATCATCTATTGGGTACCAAACAAATTGCCAAAATCATCCAGATACCGCATACTCCAAACAGCAGAGGCTATCGCGAATAGCCTAAACAACCGGTGCTCTGTGTGCAGAAGAAACAGGTCCAGTCACTGTTACTGCCCTGGCCTACTGTGGAGTTTGCGAATTCATAAATACCTTATTACATCGGCCCTTTTGTTATGGTCCTCCATCCTGTACATATAGATTCCCCTACCCCTTGTCATTACACTTGCATTATAACTAACCTTTTGTTTTCTTATTTAAGCGTAGTAGTTAACTTACACACTGACACACATACAGCGCACATAAATTTCAACCACCAAAATCCTATTTCTCTTCCCCGTCCTTGATATGATCACTCATTTATAATCAATATAAGTTGAACTTAATATGAACATGACTCATGAAAAATTATTACTGGTACATTCATTGTCATTCCTAATCATTTATTTTGTTATATTGGTGTTCAATTTAGTATTACAATTTTATGTATTACTGCATACATATACTTTAAACCATAATCTATTAACAATCTAATTGCAAATAACTTTTGAAATTGTGATGTCATTGTTTCGTCGTTACCTTTAAAAAAGCACTAATGTTGTCAATAAGAATCATTCTGTCATTATAATGGATATATAACTGTAGAAGCCGATGATGAAGTTATCGAAAAGAACATTCTTTGTTCAATAATCAATCTTTTAAATGAAGTAAACCAATTTAGACATAAACCTACTGCTACTCAAGAAAGTATCGAAGTGAACTTCGATGATGATATAGTATAAGTAGTCATTATCGGTGTATACATATAGACCATAGATCGTGTTACGTTACTACTTACAGCTGACTATCGATCTTTCAATTCCTGTCAAAATGTCTGCTTATTCACTCCTGTGATCACAGGAATCATTTCCAATTATCTTATGAATTTCGCCCTTAGTTAATAATTTCCAATGATTTCGATGGAGAAATTTCTCTTTTCGACGATTTCGATTTCATAGCTGTACAGTCGTACTTATGCACGCATATAGACAACATTAACAATCAATTTTCTCATATATATGTGTGTTAACATTTTTTTGACAGTTGGTGGAAATACTAAAGTGCGATAATATTGGTGTAGATGATTATTTATCACAAATAATTGAAAATATGAATGAATAAAGAAAGGTCAACCCAAAGTTCAATAGACATGCGTTAATAGATGGTAGGATGATTAGATACATTCTGAATTGTCTGAATTTATCATGTTCAAATGATCGGAAAATAAAATGAGCAAAACGTCGTCGATATAGTAATATAGGTAAAATGTTTGAAATATGATAACGTAAAGTGAAGTGAGACAAAAGAAAATGGGGAAAATAACAACATGGAATATAAGAGATAAGGCTTAGCAAGTCTGTGAATCACACATAACAAAGTCAAGACTGTTGTGGTGACATAGATCGTACAAATTGTCATTCTAGCTGATCAGACTTGGTGTACTCTACCGGTCACAGCTTCTCATTATTATTTCACGAAATTCCTTTGGATGGTGACTACTACTAAACAGTAAATTGTTACTCATAGATTAATTTCACCTCTCACCTATTCTCTATTGATATGAGTGATTCTGCTAGATTTAACAGTTTTTACTATTTTCATTGCTTAATTTTAGAGCTTATGCTTCATTTGATCACTGGGTTCACGATGTCCGTCTTATGTTTTCTAACTGTGAAGTTTTCAATGAAGATGACTCCGAAATCGGACGAGCTGGGCATACAATGCGAGCTTATTTTGAATCTCATTGGTCTAAATTTGTTGAAAATTTCAATTCAGATAAACAGGAGGAAAGTGATGTCAAATTAGAAAACGATCAAGTGATTGTCGACGGTGTAACTGAAGAACCACTGATAAGTTGCGAAGACGCAACAGAAACAGAACAACTTCATAATTCATCTGTACAGATTGGAAACAATCACGATAGCCCAAGCATGAAATAATTTAATTATCCTGTTGAAAGGATTTTGATTTACACTCTCAAAATGTGATTATCTATCATATCTGAAATGTCATATAAAGTTTATAATTGTTTTTTTAAATACTAGTCTAACTGAAACTTAGTTAACTTTGAGTTTACAATTTCATATTCTAGAACTTTCCGATCGGTGTGTTAAAATTTTTAGTCAGTATAATCCTACATAATCTTCAGTTAACTTCTGCCCTCGTATATCCCCTCCCGTTGATCATGTTCAAAAGTTAAAATACATTTCTGTTGTTCATTATGCAACATGGTTATGTGTCTTATTTATAATAAGTAAATCAAATTTTTGTGTAATGTGATACAGATTAGATCACATACATCTGGGGAAAGTAGTCTACATAACTTTTTATTTATGCATATTTATGTAACTCTGAATAAATTAAATCATCCCACGGGATCACTTTTCATCAGATGCGTCCTCTACGGTACTACTTTATAGGCCGGTAGAATTTGTAAACTATGAACCATTTATATACATATTCAATTTTCAGTGTTTCGGCTATCTTCTTTCCATGCACACACCTCTATCTACTCAGTGCTTATTGTACATAAACTTTATTTATATTTTGAGACAATAAAAGGTTTTCTTAAAAGTATGATGTTCCTTTTGTTTTGAAGTGTTCAATTAATTCTCCCAGGTTTCAACATACTTTACAACTAGTAAGCTGAAAGATAACTAAAGACATGGTGTACCGTAGAAACGAAATTCGAGACAGCTTATACTTATATTCAATTGTTCATTCATGTTTTCATAACAAAATACGAATATCTTGTTGTCTGCTTTTACTTTCGAAATAATTCATACCTTTTAGGATGTTGGCGCTTATTGCGAAAGCATCGAAGATATTTTTGATTTCACGCCTGATTTATTTGTTAGGTGACGCTCCAATTATTCGGTGTAAATAAAGTCATACTGTGGTGGTTTGGTACAGACAATGTGTTCCAGCGGAATATTATTCTCACATATTCCCACAGTTCAATACAGAATTAGCAACAGAATACTATGCATATATTTGAACATTCTTTTTCATGTCGTTTCATGTAAGCCAAAATCACACGCTCAGTGATTGGTTGACGAATATAAACTGGATATATATAAACAGCGGTTTGATGAATAGAAAATATACTTTGGCTTCTGTGTCTTGCCTTCTGTTGTTACACCATAACCATAGAGCACTGTTTTATCAGCATCTCAATACCAATTGTTGATCGTAAGTGGCCAAGAATGAACTAAAGACAACCTTTGAAAAACGAAATAACACAGAAACATGAGTGTAATAGCTGTAAATTGATCGTCGTCAAAGTGATGCAATTTCGAGTGCATCTTTTGCGAAAGTTAGCTGCACTGTAACTAGGATAATAATAAACCAGAGAATTAAGCTAAATAATCCATGTCCGTGGTTTTTGATTTATGTATCCAAAACCTACGTGTTATGATCTGAATGAAGGAAACCAATCTATGCGTTCTACCGTATGGATAGCCGGAACTTCCTTCAGTTCCACGCAATCACAAGATGCTTCAACGACAGCAAGAAGACAGTTATTTGCTATATTTCTGCGGTTATCTCGGAAGGAAATGCATTTCCATTTGGGGAAGTCAGTTACTGCAGGTGGAGAATCGTTTGAGTCAAATTAGTGGAAGATGGAGGACATACCAAACTTTGTTGATTCAAAGATGTTGGCAATGGACTCCTCTAGTTTGTTGATTTGTTCCTGAACCACTGGAGATAACTAGAGTTAATGTAGAGATCCAAGAAGTTCTTCAAATCAATTGAACTTCAGCCATTTCACCTTCAATGGATTGAAACACATGAAGGACAATTAGACTTTCAAGAGGCGGGAACTTGGTTACTGCGTTGTGGTGTGCTTGTGGACCTTTATAATCTTCATATCGTCGTTAACAAATAAAGCTTTCAACAGCCTCAAGTGTTATATTCTCCTTCCACTAGTCGGGGTAGTGTTAAGAACAGCCTGGCCACCAGGTTAGGTGAGTAAGGCTAAAGAGTCAGCACGTAGTGTGTCCAGAGCTCAGGTCTGGCAGGACAGATGACCAGACAGCAGTCGTGAGAGTTATTCTGGTTGAAGCCAAGTGAAAAAAGCTAGAATCTGTGTAAGCAGCCTGACCAACTGGCCTCCTAGAGTAAAAGCTGACAACTTGTGTCTGGTGCGTATCCTGGAACGGTGCTTACGTGCCTATCACAACATTTAAGTAGACGCGGTTTCAGAACTACTGACAGAGACGGAGAAGAGATCTGGTATTCAAAGAGGAGCACCGATTTCATTCAAAAAGGAGTGAAAGACAGATGTAGATACCTAAAAACTCCTTCCAATGTACTTAAGTGAGACGAAATTTCATTCTTTAATAAAGACATTTTAGATGGTTGGTTATAGGACTGTCTTTACTGTTCAGTCGAAGTATATAAATTGTGAGACAAATTTCGAGGAAATAAACCAGGGTAAATGAACAATTGCCAGCAAGCCTATAATCCTAATATTTTCCATGGACTGCGTCAGTGGAACGGGGCAGGTCCTGATGTTATTATGATCTCTGGTTAGTAACTTATAATCAGACATCAGAGTCAAAGCCCACAAACCGTAGTCTAAAGAACAGGCTTGTAGTGGTAAATAATTCCCCAAAATTATTGACCACAGCAATCATCACTCAACATTGGATGCTGACCCTCACTGTTTAAGTCGACTTGTTTAGCTGAAGGCTTCCGGTCAAGCATCTATGCCATTTGGTACTCCGTCGTGTCACGTGCGTGCACGATCACTAGCCAGCTAAGCATTCACTTCAGCCGGCGATTTGGTCCCGAAATATACACCGTACTTTGGACGATCATTTGTGGTCTTTTGCTTTGTCTTTGGTACTCGAAGAGTGAACACTATAGAAGTTGTTGGTATAAGATCTTGCGTTAGTATACTCCGTACAGTTCGCGAACGTCAATACCTTCAACCACCAAACTGGTGAGCCCAACCACGAACTTCATCTTCAATAAACACGCAGATAAACCCGGTGAGTTCGTTCCTTTTTGTGTTTGTTCTTGTACTCTTTTGTAATCGGCATACATTTCGTCATGAGTGATCCTAGCCCCAAGGTTATTCGTATTCGCTCAACCGCCAAAACAATTCAGCTCGGCGAAGTTCAACAACAGAGTCCCAGGATTGTAAATGTTCCAATGACCTTGTGAATGTTCCAATGACCCTGAACGCATGCTAGTCATTGGTTGAGGAAGCTCACCATTATTCTAGCGCGAATAATTGTGCATACTGGTAAGTGACACTGAATTAATTGTCTTCTAGGAACTTTCTTTGAAAAGTTGAAACTGTCTTTGATGATTGGTTGTTATTGGTGTCGAAAGTTTAACTTTGCCTGAATATCTTGTTTCTGTCCAATTACTGGGCGCCAGAGCGAATAACGTTTGAGTTTTAGGAATTTATGATACCTAGATTCGCAAAGGGTTTATGGAGCTGATTCTAGATAGGAGTGCTGATACACTCCTCCTCCCTATTATTCAGCGTCTAGTATTACCAGGCACCACCATTCACACAGATGAATGGGCGGGATATAGCCAATTATCACAATTGGGATATATACATCATAGAGTGAACCATTCGAATGATTCCGTCGACCCTGTCACCGGTACTCATAATAATTCCATCGAAGGTTTCTGGGGAAGATTAAAAAATAGAATAAGAGCTATAAATGGTTCTCGAAACCAAGTTATTTTTAGTCATCTGGATGAATACATGTATAGAAATTGGTTCAGTTTAAAAACTGAAACCCCTTTACAAAATTGGGAGATATTTTTATCTCACATTAGAGAAAAATATCCTGTTTAACGTTTTTTATGCTTTTTTATGTAAATATACGTAAAATTTTATGCAAAATCATCCTTTTTTCTGACTGGTCGGCTCAAGGTCACTTGTGCGTTCGCATTGCTTGGGACTCTATTGTTGAACTTTGCCTTCAGCTCGTACCATATTGTCCAGATAATGCTGAAACGTGGTTTCAGATAGCCGAGTCTGATTTTTGTGAGCATGGGATAACCGATCAACGTTCAAAGTTCCTCGCAGTTATTCACGCCCTACCGCGGGAATTCAGCAAGTGCGTAACTCTACAGATGTCGAGTCCAGTTGTAAGTAACTCGTACGAGTTGCTCAAAGCAATCCCCCTCAAGAGAAACGTTCTCACGGATCGACAGCGTCTGGGTGAATTATTTCATAACATCGAGTTAGGGGATCAGTCAGCCGTGAGCATGTTGGCAAGAATGAGAGAGATTATTGACCAAAGTCAGTTCGACGAAGGACTGTTCAGAGAACTCTTTGTATCCAAACTGCCACAGTCAGTTCAGACTGTACTTGTTCTCATGAATGACTTAGCTATCTCTGCAGATAGAATTCTAGAGATAACTAAACGGTCAGTTAGCGAAATATACTCAGTTACCGAACAGACTTCGAGTAAGGATACTGCAATGATAGAGTTATGCAACTCCATCCAGCAGATGCTTAGGTCAAACATGCCTAGTAATTCCTCCTACCGTCGTCGTAAATCCCCTCAACGGCAGAACGCACGTGGTCGTTCTAAGTCCAACCCACGTTCTCGCAAAAATCCTGACTGGTGCTGGTATCGCAACACCTATGGCCAGGAAGCAAAATGTTGCCGTAAACCTTGCAACTTCGGTAATATCACAAAGTCTGTGGGAAACTATCCCGCCGGCACATGTTAGCGGCAATCGTCGCCGGTGGCACTAGCCGCTTACTTTACATCCATGATGTGATCAGCCAGACTAGATATTTAGTCGACATAGGCGCAGAAGTCAGTTTCCTTCCTGCTAGAGCAGCAGGTCGACAGAAGGAACCTAACTTCAACTTACAGGCTGCAAATGGAAAACCAATTGCAACTTTTGGTAGGAAATACGTCTATCTGAACGTAGGTTTACGCAAACCTATTCAGTGGATTTTCCTTATCGCTAACGTCACAATGCCCATCATCGGCACGGACCTACTCAATCGTCATGATTTACTCGTAGACGTCCGCCGAAAACGACTGATTGATAATACTACTAGTCTGTCTATAAAAGGCATAACTTACATTGGCCCCAGCTTGTCAATCGTTAAGATGAAGGCAATCCTCGATCCAACTTTTCAACCGATTGTTGATAAATATCCGGACCTTAATTGCCCGTCTAACGATCTACCGTGCATAACCAGCAATGTTATGCACCACATCATAACCTCAGGACAGCCTGTGACATCTAAAGCACGACGACTGGCTCCTGACAAACTGAGAATCGCTAGAAATGAGTTCGACCATATGCTAATCCTTGTCATAATTCGACCATCGAATTGCCCATGGGTATCCCTACTGCATATGGAACCGAAAAAGGATAGTAACGATGATAACCGGCGAGTGAACGCCGTAACAACCCCTGATTGCTACCCTTTGCCTCATATACACAACTTGACAGCAACATTATCTGGCTCAGCTATATTCTCTAAAATTGACTTGGTTAAAGCGTATAACCAAATCCCGATGGGCCAGAAGATATTCCGGAAACGGCAATCATTACACCTTTCGGACTCTATGAATTTCTACGTATGCCGTTTGGTTCCCGGAATGCAGCCCAAACATTCCAGCGCTTCATCGACGAAGTATTTCGCGGTCTCGACTTTGTATATACATACTCATTGCCAGTCTAGACAAGGAAACTCACCTTAGACATTTGGACTTGGCATTTGAAAGGTTACGCCAACATGGCGTTACCATCAGTATTCAAAAGTGCCAAATAGGCCACACTATTGACTGCAAGGGCATCCGCTCACTCGCTACTAAAGTCGAGGCGACAGTGAACTTTCCAGAGCCACAAACAGTGAAATGTCTTCGCACTTTTAACGGCTTGGCAAGTTATTACCGACGGTTTATTCCCAACTGTGCCTCTCTAATTCAGCCGTTGACAGACCTTCTTCGAGGGAATAACAAGTCTGTCGAACTTGATGCGTCTGCTCCAAATGCTTTTACTCAGGTTAAAAAAGCTATTGCAAATGCCACACTTCTAATGCATCAGGATCCAACGGCACCGTTAAGTGTCTCGGTTGATGCATCAGACACTGCAATCGGCGCAGTTCTGCAACAACTGGTTAACGATGAGTGACAACCACTTGCCTTTTTCTCGAGGCGCCTTCCATTAGCTGAAATGAAGTACAGCACATTTGGAAGAGAACTTTTAGCTATGTACTGTGCTATACGTCATTTTCGACATTCAGTTGAGGGTCGTGAATTCATAATTTTCACTGACCACAAACCTCTGACGTACTCTCTGAACTCAACTTCAGATAAGTATTCACCTAGGGAATCACGAAAACTGGACTAGGTTTCACAGTTTACATCGGATATTCGCTATGTATCCGTAGTCAACAAAACTGTGGCAGATGCCTTGTCGCGCATTTGTTCCCTCACCCAAATAGACGGCACAGACCTTGTGAAACTGGCTCGTCTTCAAAAAGAAGATACCGAGCTTCAGCATGAGTTGTCGAAAACAACTCTACAATTAGCCGAGAAACCCTTAGGTATAGGAAAAGATACTATTCTCTGCGACATTTCCACTAGTACTCCTCGCCCAATCGTGCCTAAAAGTTATCGCCGTAACGTCTTGCATGGCTTATCACATTCAGGTATTCGAACTACCGTCAAGCTCGTAACTAGTCGGTTTTGTTGGCCTGGTATTAATAAGGAAGTAGGGGAATGGGCACACACGTGCTTAGCTTGCCAAAAGTGCAAGGTAATAAGACACACTAAAAGCCCCCTTGGCACCTTTCCTATCCCTGATGCCCGTTTCGAACACGTTCATATGGATTTAGTTGGCCCCCTTCCAGAATCTCATGGATATACCTATATGTTAACCTGCATCGATCGCTTCACACGATGGCCTGAAGCAGTACCCCTCAAGGATGTATCTGCGGAAACCGTCGCGCGCGTCTTTGTAGAAAGATGGATCGTAAACTTTGGATGCCCATCTTCCATAACAACTGGTTGTGGTCGGCAATTGGAAAGCGGCTCTCTCTTCGTCCTGACTGAAATCATAAGTTGCATGCGTTTTCGAACAACAGCCTATCATCCTCAAGCTAGTGGTATGGTAGAACGTCTACACTGACAGTTGAAAGCTGCAAACAATACCTATTGGACTGAATCACTTCCGTTAGTTCTCCTAGAGGTACGAAACGCCTTAAAAACCGATGCCGGTTGTACTACCGCTGAGCTACTATATGGTACGACACTACGACTGCCAGGTGAGTTTGTTTCTCCCTCGAGCTTCCCACCAGCGGTAGATCACTCCTCATACGTCAGCAGGCTTACAAACTCAATGCGTTCAGTTAAACCTGCTACCCTTCGAACACAGTCCATTGATGTCTTCGTTCACCCCCGTTTAAAAACTTCTTCAAACGTATTTGTTCGTCGTGACTTTGTGCGTCGCCCTCTAGAACTCCCGTATGACGACCATATAAAGTAATTAAACGTACGGATAAATTCTTTGTCTTAGACAAAAATGGCCGCAAAGACACCGTCAACATCGACCATCTGAAACCGGCTTACTCGGAAGGTAGTCTTATTAGCCTAGAGCTAAACGTACCTGATAATCCACAGGTAATTGAATATCCTGTAGTCCTCGAAGAACTCCCTAGCACGGCGAAAGCCACCGAACCTTCTGTCGAGCCCTCTAAGAGGAAGCGTAATGTAAGATTCCAAGAATACCTTCACGCCTATATCACATAACTGAGTGGTGCGATTCGCCCAACTAATTCGTTTGTGGTATCAGTTATTATTTCTTCTTTTCAGACACATCAACTTTTTCTATGTAGCATCACTAAAACCGTACATTATACATGCACTAAAAAAATTGGATGCATACTTTTTTTGATATTTTAAACTTTACATTCTTTTACTGTACCGTAGATGCACATCAATTTTTTTCAAACGCTGATTTGTTACATTTTCCTCAACAAGGTTCTTAGCATTCTTGTTTTCTTTTCCAGGTCCGACGGGCACTGGACAAGAAACAAACGAAGCCCGAGATCCAACGATCAACATCAAGGAAGCCATGTACAGACACACTATTAACAAGAGCAGATAGACCAGTAGGCACTCCCCCAAGCCGCTCGGAAGAGCTTTTTTCACCTTTAAGGGAACCATCGAGATTTTTTTACTTCCAGCTGGTTCTGTCTAAGGGTTCTCACGAACCCAATAGGGAGGAATGAGCTGTAGCGGTAAATAATTCCCCAAAATTATTGAGCACAGCAATTATCACTCAACATTGGATGCTGACCCTCACTGTTTAAGTCGACTTGTTTAGCTGAAGGCTTCCGGTCAAGCATCTATGCCATTTGGTACTCCGTCGTGTCACGTGCGTGCACGATCACTAGCCAGCTAAGCATTCACTTCAGCCGGCGATTTGGTCCCGAAATATACACCGTACTTTGGACGATCATTTGTGGCCTTTTACTTTGTCTTTGGTACACGAGAAACGAATGCTATAGAAGTTGTTGGTATAAGATCTTGCGTTAGTATACTCCGTACAATTCGCAAACGTCAATACCGTCAGCCTCTAAAGGCTTATTTCTTGATGTCATACCAGACCACGCCTACAAGTGAGGTGGCGCTCAGCGTCAGGGGACCTATGACTTTAGAACAGGGACAAAAGCAGCGGCAAGTCGTCCTATACTGCGGATGACCGTCTTTCGTAATTCTCATATATCAAAGTTAAGTATGGTTATAAGAAGGTTCATTATGAGTACCATGGGTTAAGAAGGGGATGAGCATAGTGACTGAGTGAAGGGTCTGACACAGACAGTAGTCAGTAGCTATGCCTTCATGGATACGGCAATCCGCGGAAAGGCAGCTAACTGGATGATGTCAAAGAGCATCTGTCAAGGAGCATGCGAAGAGCTTGATATAGAGAGTAGTTTTTAAGAAGAAATCAGACCATAATACGTGTATTAGTTTACGTAGTCAGCGCAATATGAAGGTGTGAGAAGATAGAAGGTTGTTTTAAGCAAACCTTAAGTAGAAGCTATAAAATTTTCATCAAAATATGTACAGATCTGAGGCTTAACAGAAGTGTGATATTCAAATATGTGATGTGAAGCCTGGTGAGGATTTGTATTATATTGGAAATGGAATTCCGGAGAGTAATCAGTGCGGCTTCGGAAGAGATTGGTTGTGTGTTCCAACTTCTTAACGGCACTGAGCGACTGAATGGCATTGTGGGACTAGTACATTCTAATCCACGCATTGTGTTTAGATCTAGCCAGGAAGTGGAATCACGGGCTGGATGAGCATAGACGGGAGAGGACTCGATAATTTGGGTTAATTTCAACAGAAAGAACATTACGCCTACGCTATAACAGGGAGCTATAATGAAATTATTATTACTCGCCCTTGAATTTTATCAGTTTCGCAAAACTACATAATTATTCAGTAGAATTGTGTTATCTTCTGTTGACTGATATTTAGCGTAAACAAGTAATGGGTCACGATTTCCGCACCTCTGTGTTCCCAGCAGTTCTTCAATCTCTTTTAGAAAACAGCCTATCCCACTAATATACATTAAGCGATCATAGGACACCCTTGAGGCAAAGAGTGAAAGGAGAACCAACTATTCAAAGAAACGTATGTAGATCTACTGCAGCTGTGTGAGCTAACATCTGAACTGTTAATGTGTAAAAGAGCGGTCTCACCTCAAAATCTACAAAATTGTCATGATACCACTCATGAAGAGATATGAGGATCTTCTGAATGATGCACAAGGCAATGTTAGCGAAAGCGATAGAGGGACTAATATACTGTAAGACAGACAGTTGTCTCACACACAAATGTGTGAGATGATAATATCACTGAAATATCAAATTGTTCGAGTTAATGAGAAGCATACCTCTGGGGAGGTACAACGGTGACTAACTTTGTGACGTGCTCTGAATTCAAGCCGGTTGATCGGAAGCCCCAACCTCCCCTTCCCGGTAAAATGATTGGGTGTAAATATAACACCCAAATTTCAGTGGCATTTCACATTATGGTTAAGCACATTTGCCATCAAACTGTTTGTCGCGGACTTCACCTTATTTCTCTCACCACTGGAACAACATATATTAAGTGACCAGTTAGATCTACTGCAATAGAATCCGCCCATCACAAATATATTGAATACAGGATTGTAGGCGGCGTTTCAAATGCTACGCTACTGAAAGACGACGTTTATAATGCAGTATGAAGTATTCAGTCTAGAATTTAAGTAAGCACATTAAATGTCAGCCTACTGCCTGTAGCCTGACTGGTATCATTGTTACGGAAGCCACCATGACTCAGCTGATTTGTGCTAGAGAAGGATATATGACACTACCAGGTATTTAGAATTCTCGACACATTCTGGAAAGTACGCTGCACTTAGTTCTGCCTAAAATGTGTGTTTATTCTCAATATTTTTTTTCAAATCAGTGGTTAATTCTGTATCAGCAAGTGTACTGTAGTGATGCCACCGCATATGTCACACTGCAGCGCAAATACTCATAGTGTTTATGTAATATTCACATCCTTCCATTCAGCAACACAATAAGGATAATTTGCTAACTATAAATGGGCGTTTTTCTTATTTTGAGTGACTAACAACTAGTGCTTCGGGAATGGCTTCGTTAAAAATATTCAAACTCAGTACTTCAGACAGACCACCAGGGTAACCGTAGTACAGGGTTAGATAATTCTGTCTCCAAGGTGTTGCCAGGGTGGTTGGATTTAGCATCTTAGAATTACTGCCACTAATAAAGTGAATGACTAAAGTGTATGCGTGCATCGTTCTCAACTTGTACATTGTTTTCATCGATAAAATAGTTTGTCTTTAATTTCCGTCTTAAAGATTACATCATTCTCATTGGCTACATTATCTTAGACGGATGTTACTTGGTCAGATCCTATCTGTTGCAAACAAGTGGCTTCATATTTGGAGTAATTTGATTGATACAGCCTCACTACTCAATAAGTCATGAGTTGAGTTTCTCACGAAAAAGGCTTAGTGGTGTTTCCTTTTTGATGCAGGATGCCATAGAGTTTTGATTGTTTCTTATACGGTATGGGGTTTTTCGGAGCTTTTAGACGTATATGTAGGTGAATTTTGTCAATACTCTCCTCATAAGTTCATTCAATGGGACAGAAAACTGTATTATTTATGTTTGTATGTATGTATGTTAATGGAAATATCTATTACGATATTAGGTAGAATACAACAAGTCCAGCGAAGATAACGTATCAGAGATCTCTGTAACAGCTGTACAGTCGAAATTCCTATACACTCTCATTTTACAAGTTAGAACAGTTTAATAGTCTTCGTCATATTTCTTCGTTTCTCAGTTACAAAGTATCATTTCATCCCGTTACTCTGCATATTTTGATTACACCTCTTTTCTGAAAAAGAATTATTTAATTTTTCACACAACCATATTTTCGTGGTTGCGATTTATGTTCACCTATCAACACAATTGAAAATTTTAATATGATGTCAAATAAATTTCTTTTAATGTCACCTTTACCATTGTCCAATCAAATAATGTAACTATGATAACTTGTAGAACCACGATGTGTGATAATTGCAATATACCGCTTTTGGTAATGATAGATGATATCTTTACTGAACTCCTCGTTCTCTTGCTGCTTGACAAAGCATATATTAATGCAGTATTATTCGTCGAATGGCATTTTAGGGGTAATTTATCTCCTGTGTTAATGTCAGCAAACTTGTTTCTGTTGTATGGTTTAATTTTTGTGTTATATTTTTGTTGGCTTTAATTAGTTTTGCCTAACTGATGTCCTTTTTAAAAATTGATTTGGGGCCTCTAGACGAGGATTTGTGCTTACCTCCATTTTACATATTAGACTCCGTAGAGCCACTATTTACAAAGCTATCGAAATAACCGTGTCACATATTTTAGTTATTCTATTGCCTCATCTGTATTACTGTGTATTTTAAGCACTTCTTAGTTCTTATGCATATTTTTTCATTTTAGGTTTGCGTATTTGTGATCAAAATACTGGCTTTGTGATTGAATCTCCTACATTCCACTGCTGAATCATTTATACAATGAACGGGAAAGATAAAGAGAATCTTTTCAAACTAATCAAACGTAATAAGGTAATAGTTTCCTTGTGCTTTACATCTATGTAATAACTAAGTGCATAGTGTGAATATATATATATATATCCTTTGGTTTACAGCAAATATTGTGATTTCCACAAACAGTCAGACATTTTGTTACTAATAAGTGAGATAATGATAATTCATATATTGGAATTTTGTACAGAAGCTAGATTTCATTGTTAATATCTAGACTCTCTTCAAAGAAGTTTGCTGTTGAAAATTTATACCCTGTCTTGTAGAATACAGAATTTTTGCTTCTTCCTTCTTTATGAACCAATATTCAACATGTTTTCCGATTCCATAAAGGTAGATAAATATTGTTGAGATTCAACCACGTTCATAAAAGTCGTGGAACCATCCAGCGTGATTAGACACAAAGAAGGATATCAGTGAATTCTTCACTCACTTTATTTATATTGATTAATGAATAAGTGTGCGTCGGTGGCATAGCGGTTAGGACGCTCGCCGACCATGCATATGGTCCGGGGTTCGATCCCCGGCCGACGCACTCCTTTACCTCGCTAAAGCAGAAATAATGCTGGTGAAGAGGAAAGGTTGGGCATGAGGCTAGCAACCCCATCCTGTAAAATAAACACTGCTACGGAAACTTCAAGCCACTAGCTTGAAGCCCTATGTTCCACTGGGGAACGTGAAGGAAAAAAAAATGAATAAGCGTAAGGCGAGTATTCACGGCTGTTCATCAGTTAACACAGCCCTCATTCATCAGTGTCTTGTTTGATGAATTGTATTCAAGAAAATTTTGTTGTTTATAAAGTGCAAATTTGTACTCAAGATGTATATGTTATTCATTCTTTGTTAAAGATGTGATTTGACAGTGTATCAGTACTCTGATCAGTTTGTATGCAGTCTTTTATTGAGGGCTGCTTCACTTCTAAAGCTTCATAAAATGTTTAGCTGGTCATTCTATTCATTCTCCAGAATTTTAATTTCTTAGCTATGGAAGTCACGAGTGATTTTAGATCATGGTTATTTTGTATAAACCAAATGCAAGATATCGATTCAGAAATGACCTGTATTGACATTTAGTTTTGAAGTTGTATAAAGTTATGAGGCGCGTTAATTACAACGTACTAATTCTTGACATGGAAATGATTTTTTTTAAACTACCTAACTTTCTTTAGGAATGTAAATTATTCAGAATGTGCCTTTCAGAGATGAGTCCTATAGGTGAAGGACTGTGTACAAACATGTTGGAAACTAAATGAGCAGTGTTAAAATGGAAAATTGGGCTTCAGATACACAATATGAGTTGGTCAGTTATGTGGAATTGGATCGACTAACGTGTATGAGCTATGCGTTGAAAATGTGTATTTACCCCTTTTCTGTTCATTATTGTTGGTCAATAAGCTTCGTTTTTAATTATTCATGTTGTATGAAATCTACCCACTTTTTTCATATTTCAGTCAACTGTATTTATAAAAACAATCGGATGCCTTAAGCATTCACTATTGAGTGATCATATACCTTGTTCCATCCATGGCCCTTCCTCAACATAGTTTACTCCGGTGGGTGACATTGAATTAGTTGTCCTCGTAGCTGGTTGATTTAATTGCGAAGCTTTCGTCGTCCTTCTAGACAACAACTTCATCGCAGGTTTTGGTATAAAATTCTCCATGAATGACATAATTGTATCTCCTGGCAACCACTGTCGTGACTGGTTGTTAGTTTACGTCTCTATTGATCACTTTCATTGACTTGGAATTCGAACTTTCTTGTCATGTGAATCACTTTTTATTAGCTGGTAAATTTGTTCTATAGTAATGTGTTTTTTAATCGCTGCCTGATTCACCTGAGTACCAGGCTTCTAGGAATTCTCTGGCACTTTTGGTGTTTATTCTATTTAAAATGTCGACATTATCCCAATCAAATTGGTGTCCATAATTATCTACATGCATTGATACTAAAGAATATATATCATGTTTTTTTACAGCCATTTTGTGTTCTTGCATTCGGATTTGAATGGGACGCCCACTTTGAGCGACATAACTTTTATTGCAGTTCATACAGTTTATTTTGTATATGGTATTAATTTTATCTTCTTTTCCTGTTGGATCTTTTGGTTTGCACAATACCGAATGAAGTGATTTTACTGGCTTGTGTGCTATATCTATTTGAAACGGTCTTGAAATTCGGGTTGTTATTTCAGAGGTATTTTCTATATATGGTAGGATGAATTTTCTTGTGATCTTTGATGTTGGCTTGCTGCTAGTGTTATGGCTCGAGTTTAAACACTTTTTGATGAAATTGTGAGGACAAGCATTCTTTTTGAAGACGGTTATTAGGTATTTTTCCTCCATTCTCTTCAGCGCAGGAGTGCTACAGTGTGTTTGAACACTTTTAAACAATGTCTGCACACAGTTTATTTTGTTGGTTATTACTATTATAGTTGAGTATTTGGTCTGTGTGCGTTAATTTTCCTTTGTTAGTTCTCTTGATTAAGACATTTTAGAATGGAATTGCGTTGTCTAATTCTTCTTCTCTCGTGAATTTAGTGTCTTCAAATATGTTGTTTATTAATTTGTGGGCATATTCCAAATCATTTCTTTTAACTATCACATATGTATCATCAATGTAACGTACCCATATTTTTGATTTAATTAAAAGTAGGGCTATTAATTCTAATCTTTGCACGACGACATCAACTATTAATCCGGATTTGGAGGATCCCATTGGTGCTCCTTTTATCTGTTCGTATATTTGAATATTGAATTGAACGTATACTGTAAGACATAATTCTATGAGTTCCATGCAAGTTGAACATTGCGTTTTTGTGTTCCCATCGCTACAGAGTAGTTGTTTCAAGGTTTCTTTTCTTAGTTTTGAACCAACTGAAGTGTATAATGCAGTGACATCAAAGAACACCATTATTTCATTGTCATTTACTTGAATGTTTTTGATTTTCTCTAAAAATTGCATTGGCGAATTGATATAATCTATCTTTTTCAGAAAATTAAAATGCCTAACAGAATCCTGCGATCATTTTATCAATTCGCATGTAGATAATTATGGACACCAATTTGATTGGGATAATGTCGACATTTTAAATAGAATAAACACCAAAAGTGCCAGAGAATTCCTAGAAGCCTGGTACTCAGGTGAATCAGGCAGCGATTAAAAAACACATTACTATAGAACAAATTTACCAGCTAATAAAAAGTGATTCACATGACAAGAAAGTTCGAATTCCAAGTCAATGAAAGTGATCAATAGAGACGTAAACTAACAACCAGTCACGACAGTGGTTGCCAGGAGATACAATTATGTCATTCATGGAGAATTTTATACCAAAACCTGCGATGAAGTTGTTGTCTAGAAGGACGACGAAAGCTTCGCAATTAAATCAACCAGCTACGAGATCACAACATATTCAAAGTATACTCTTTTTACTCATTACTCAGTTCTTTATACATATTAGGCTTTGTACTATGACCGAAGATAAAATATCAGTTTACGTAAGTAAGTAACGTATTGAAGCCTAATGGGCTTCTTGAGCTTACCTATCTCTGTTCATGTTGCATTTGGCATGTGTCTTCGTCCTTGCTGCTTATAGTTACTGGAAACTGCTAGTAGATAAGATGTCGTGTAAGGGTTTTTAGTGGCTTGTCTTTATGATTGGTTATTGTTCTGGTATCCAAATTAACCTTTAGTATTTAAGCACTGAGTTTACGTATTTCTTTATCTTTTTTACAGGACTTACATACAGATGAAGAAAAATCACATCTTCGGTGAGTGTTCTTATTATTATAAAGTCAGTGTATGTGTAAAACTGGTCTCAATCGAGCTAAGATAATGAACGATTTGTGTTTTGGTGCAATATCATTCTATTTCTGTTTTCTTTCTTTTGTATGCTGTTTCGAAATTTAATAATTTGAATCACTGTAGTTCTATGGAAAGTTTTACGTTGACTTGCCACTCAATCTATCATATGCATAGCTTGTCGTTCCAACGAAACACGGATTATAACCTCAATTACACAAAGATAATTTTAGTTCCTCTTTATCATTATCACCTGATTACAATTTGTATTGACAGTTACTAGAATTTGGCTATATGGTTCACAAATATTTTGCCTATCGTCTAGTCCATTTGATTTTTCATCATTCGTTATGCATAACCTACAGCACTTTTTAAAGTCTGAAATAATGTAGTATTCAAAGACGCAGTAAAAATTGAGTGTAACTCTATCTAGGGCAATCAACCAGCATAAATATTTCTCTTTCTCAGTTAGTGGTATTGTGGCTCATTGGCTTAAACACTTCGTTTCAGCCGATGGACCATGGGTTTGAGTCCCCCCCGCCTACTTCAGCATGGGTAAATACTTAGTATCATCAGTACACGTATGTTAAATACAGGTCTTAGTCTAGTTTATGAAAAGTTTGTTCCGGGTAACTTGAGTTCCGACAACTTCGTCAATTTAACCTTAGTTACTCTTCTTTCTTTAATGTGTTACTTTCTGCTCACTTTGCATTCTGTTCTTAATGATTCAGGTATTAGTTTGTTTGGCTACAAAATGTATTTGATCCTTTCTATCACTACATTGTTATAACCTCAATATTTGTAAGCGTTTAGTCACTCTACAGTCAATATGTGAGGATACTTCTAACAGTTAGTTTGACGCATTGATCTAATATCATATTTCCTTAGAAGTGATGGGTCCTCCGATCGATACTTTCAAGTCGTTTAGTTCTTTACAGGTGACATTATTGGAATTATAAGTGAAAAAGGTGTTGAGAATAGAATAAGTGGGCATTTTGTTGTAGGCAATCGCGTAGCTGCATATTTTTCACTGAGTAAAATAATTATAGCTAAGCTCAAGTATGATCACTTGGGAATGGAAACACCAGTATTAGAATTCTGTTATAAATCAGGAAATAAAATATTTGCGGAAACAGGTCTTTTTAAAAGACTGTTTGCAAATACCGAATGCCCTAATAACTTCATTTAAACATTTTTGAGCTCATTTGGGTCTATGCACTATGCTGGTATTAAATTATGCGTATTACTACGAGGTTTGTTCATATTAGTGATTTCTGAGTGGTTTTGTATAGATCTTATAGCACATTACCCCGTCCAGGAGATAACTATTGTAAGAACAGAACGCTGTAGTATTTGGTAGTAAAATCATTTATTCGGCAAAATGATGCACAATCAGTATATCCAGTACAGTACTGCAGGTCAATCGTGAACCCGATTACCTCAGCTGTAGTAACATCTCTGACTACAGTATTGGGTGACGAGGATTCCAATCTCAGAGGAGACATCACTTCCGTGGAGGTTGCAGATACACCCCATTGACAATTACCAACAAGCACGAAACCTACATCGAACAGGGCTTCCTGTTGATTTTCTACAACCATCTAACATCAGTTCAAAGTGCACTGCTATGACAAACTACTTAGCCTGGTGACTTTAATGCAAACTTTACTGATATAATTCAGTCCACACTAATGTCAAGGACTAGACGGAGGACATTGGTTACCCCCTAGTGACCAATCAATGTAAAGTGACGTACAATTATGCCGAATTGTGAAAATCTTACATTGGGATTTCCATTTGTACACCTTCTTTGTGATTGGGCTTCTCTTGTCTTCCTATAATGCTTTGTATTCTGTTTCACAAGGATCTTTCATTTATCTCCTTCGTAACTTAATGCGTTGCTCCCATTGTGCGTCGGTGGCACAGCGGTTAGGACTCTCGCCGACCATGCAAATGGTCCGGTGTTCGATCCCCTACCGATGCACACCTGAGATCAATTGGTCGGTCTGCAAAATTTGGGCTACCGATATCACATGCTGAAAATCCCACACTTGTACTGAAAATACGGTGTGGAATCAAGCTATAATAAGAAAAAATACTACTGAAGAAACCTTGTCAGTAGCACACGCCACAATACAATTCTTATTTACTATTTGTGGAATTTTTTCTCCAGAGTTCAAGAGTTGATTCTTGGAGCCACAGAATACAACCAGTCATTTTCTGAACCGATTTGCAAGAAATGACCAATAAATCTAACACAGTAGCTAAAGTTTAGTATTCGAAACTACGCAATATTCGCCTGTTTACCATTTGTATGTTTAGAAATGATAACAGACATTGTATATAGACACATCTGTCTAGTGTTCTGCGATAACTTCAATATCCATTGTTTTGTGTGCAAATTATGTACTCATTAAATTCACTCAAGAATGACGTTATTTTCACACCTATTTATTATTAATGCGTTACGACTGTTAAAGTTTTTTTTATTATACTTATTTGACGTACAGTAAACGGATTGAAGGTCAACTGTTAAAATTCACAAATGTTGTCAAGGGTTATCAGTATCGTTGGTTTGTGATCGATCCAGATGTAGGAAGGATAGAATATTACGAGGTTAGTGAATCATCCCATTTACAGGTTGAAGTAATTTGTTTAGTTACGCATAAATAAAAACGAATAATTTCTCCACCAGATATTTACAGTAATCAAAAACAAATCAGAATGTTTCTTTGTGACTGTTGAATATCTAATATGTTATAATATGATACTTTTATGATCTGAGAAGGCTCAGAGTGTGCAACACGTCCCTGTTAACTAACGTCATATTTCTTCCAATTACCTAGGCAGTATCACTTGAACTACAGACCGTACAAACGAATATGCCAAAGGCATGATCGGAAAACCAAGACAGACCTCCATTACTCTCAAATCGGTGTGGAGATCTAAAACACTTAGCACAGTTAGCAAGATCCGAATGTGCAACACTAGTGTTAAGTCAGTCAGTACTTCCATATGGTTCAGAGTCTTGGTGCGCACCTCACGATATGCATTTTGAACAACCATCTGCAGACTTTCAACGACAGCCGCCTTCACTGAATACTGAAGATCAGATGGCCGAAAAGGATAGGTAGCAAAGAACTCTGAGAACGAACCAACAAAGAACCTATAGGTCAACAAATATGCAGGAGGGAATAGAGATGAATTGGATATCCGGTGAGGAGACCGTTGAGTGATGGTGAACACCAGGCCTTCGAGTGGAAGCCATGTATTTCATTAGGAACCCAAGAGAATAATAATCGTAATTGGAAAATTTGTTTCGGGTAACTGAGACAATCAACATGCTGCACAAATGATTTTTCACATGGTGTACTGATATGCTGTTATCATAGAATCAGTTTAGCTATGCTATATTATCGCTAATTTCCTGTAATTTGTTTGCTTAGTTTTTATTCTGACAATATTTTAAATGTGTAACTGCTGTAATATTGACATTAACAGTTGAATAGTTTCACCCATGTATGTATGCACATAAACACTAAGAACTACATATATACCTCCACCTTTTCTTTGCCTTATTGTAGAAAGAAGACCATAAACGATCCCTTAAACCTCGCGGGACACTAAATCTTATGGTAAGTCGTGATGAATTGTGTATTCTGTGATTACACTGATCACTTGTAATATTGATTTCACTGTAGTTAGAGATTTTGTAACTTGGTAAGACGGATTGGTTTAATTTTTTGTAAATCCTAAGTTTTTCTACTCTTCCTATATCAGTTGGTTGGTATTTAAGTTTCACTGTTGAGTTTTCAAACACTTATAGACTACTCACATAGGGGAGTTTTTAAAAATGGGGATCTGTTGCAATAGAATTCTGGCTATTGACTTCAACTTGTAAAGTTTCTGTTATTGATAGGGACTGTGAGGTAGTTTGTTATTATTATTGCCTTTACTCCCCAGTGGTACAACAATACTTCAACAGCCCATTTCCATTTCATTCTGTTCTCTGCAGTTTTTTTAGCTGGCTATGCGACTACCCATAAGTTTTTATTTCCCCATATGATCTCTTCCATGCCACTCTCGGAGCTACTTCTAACTCGTTTCCCATTCGGAATCCACTCGAGAGCGTGGCACGCTATCTCGCCCGACGGTCTCTTCAGCGTATGTCCAATTCATCTCTATTCCCTCCTGCATATTTGCTGACCTATAGGTTCTTTGTTGGTTCGTTCTCAGAGTTCTTTGCTACCTATCCTTTTCGGCCATCTGATCTTCAGTATTCAGTGAAGGCGGCTGTCGTTGGAAGTCTGCAGCTGGTTGTTGAAAATGTATTTCGTGAAGTGTGCACCAAGACTCTGAACCATATGGAAGTACTGACTGACTTAACACTAGTGTTGCACATTCGGATCTTTCTAGCTGTGCTAAGTGTTGTAGATCTCCACACCGATTTCAGAGTAATGAAGGTTAACTTAGTTTATACATCACTCCTTGTTTTCTTATTATTTTGATACTGCAGAGAATTACCTTCAGATAGATAACAAATGTGACTGTTATAAATCTGGTCATCATTATTCTGTACACAGGAATTTAGTCAGAATTAAACTTTTGGCGTTGGCAGTTATATGAGTGACTTTTAAATATAATTTCAAAAAAGGAAACATATTAACGCATAATTTGATACGTATAAGACACGTGATGATGAAAAATCATAGATCACATAAGAGAAGTGTTTATTGGGTGTGTGTGTGTGTGTGTGGTTTTATCTCTACAGAAGCTTTGCAATTTTGAAATATGAGCTTTAGAAGAATGTGATACCCAAGACCGTAATACAAGTATACGTTTTATGCTTCTTTGCACAAAGCCTTCTTATTGCAAGCAGTGTGTGTGTGTGTGTGTGTGTGTGTCAAGAACGTATCATACTATACTTATGTCATTCGTCAAGCTGTTTTCATAATAGGTACATATAACGTTATTTTTCTAATTTATTAGGTTTTCTAAAAAGTATACTACAGTTTGGAAACTGCTTTCCAATATATATCCTGGGTGGTAACTAGCATATAGTCTGTTCCCATTTATGCAAATAAAGTGACTTGATTAGTTTTAGTGGTTTTACTTATGAAAGCCACTCAGATCACCAGTGAATATTCGTCTTCTTTACATTTTTTCAGTTATTTTCAGTTCCTCCATTCGTTTACTACTGAAACATATTATTCTAGCTCTGTGAAATGATTTTTTAACTAGTACTCGTTTGTGGTTACTGGGAAAAAGCCGTTATGACTTATGTAAATTCCACTACACGTACTGTTTCGATGAATCGATCCTCGAATGTTTTTTATAAAATTGGAATTGAATATCATTGGGGAGTATTAATGAAAGGTGTTTGAATCCCTGGTTCTGGGATAGGAGAGAAGACCCGGATTCTTGGATTATGTGGATCCTTGCAGTTATCCGGAGTTCTGTCCAGTAGGCTCCACTGAATTCGGCTGTTAGGTTAAATACTCGCCGCTGATATTGTCTAGCGGTGGTGCTATATATATATATATACATATTGGCTGAATGGCCTACGGGTTTGCCTCGCAACCTTAATGTCCTGGTTTTGATCTCTGGTGGGGTGATAAGTGAATACCGCTGAAGTGTCTCAAAATAGGGTGAAATAGCTGTTCAGGGCTCCTTGGTTTTCAGTGGGTGTCTAACTGATGTCAGTTCGTTAATCTAATATAAGAGCTTACGAAATTCGCAGTTGAAAAATGTTTCAAATTTCAGCTGGATACTGTCATTTGTTTGATGTCGTCGTTAATCATGTTCAGTTAGTTTTAACAGTCAACGGTTTTTATTATGTTAATGATTGAATCTGTACTATGACATGTAACATTCCTTTGTCACTAATAGTTAAAAAGACAGTTGAAAACGTTTTATGCGTTTATTCTTGTTGTTCAAAGACCATCTACTTCTCCTTTTTCAAATGCCTTACAGTATGCTTCTGTATGCCCATCAGATGAAGATTCACAAACATTTATTATTAATGCTGCTAACGGAGACTTGCTGAAATTGAAAGGTTCGTGTTATAAGCTTTATCATTATATCATCTTTACATTTTTACATGCTTTTTCTTAAAGATTCGGGAGGTAGTTGTTTCCAACTTTTGCAATATAGTGACAGTGAAACTGTTATTATGCATCAGGTGTTGTACATTCGTGATTCTAAATGCTTTGCGTACAATCTCAGGCAGGCGATAACTTTACATGAGGTTGCTGCACTATATTTTTTCGGTGTAACTTAACTCAAACGGATGCTACTGATACCTGCCACACTGACTTGGTGGTCGCGATTGCATCCGCAATGACATAACGAGCTATAATAGGTGGCACAAATATTTTTGAATGTTATTCCGTATTAGACAAGTTTATTTCAAATATCACACGGGGATGCAGTACTATAACTGGATGACGTTTTGAGCTCACAGTCATATCAATCAAATTGATATGGAATGTTTTACTATGCCAAAAATATCGGTTGGATAGCGGTTAGACTGAAAGCAGTTATCATAATAGTGTAAGTTGTTTACATTATGTTGGAGGATGGAGGTGTAACAGTAGTAAGTTGTTTCTTTAGCTTGACTAGAAGGTCAGCTATCATGCCTTCCTGATTTGGCTACTTGATTGGATTCTTAGTGGACAGTCGTCTGTATGCTATTTTAATGAATAGATTCGCAGGAATATGGGAAGATAGTGATACCCTTCCATAATTTCCTCTTACACATCAACTAAACGCATTTCGGACAAAGTGAAGGATAAGTTTCATCAAAAGCAGTCAAGTTTACCGCTAAATACATAAAGATCAGATGATTTCAATGTCCGAGAAGATTCACCAGTTCGAAAATTAAATTGGAGTTATCTATGGAGTCGCATACCGACGAGCAGATAACAGTGGTTGTCTCCTACTTCCTTTTTCAGATAATCATCCATTCTTAGTTGGTACTGGTTTCAAACATGTTGACAGACATTGTCTCACTTAGCAACCAAGGAAATCAAATCAGCGATGGAAAAAATAGATCATCTATCCATAACTCGCCGATGGAGAGGGTGGCACCTTGTGTAATACCTGTTTTCAGTCTATTCATGCTTCAACCTGTGCCAATATATTCATGGTACTGCAAATCCCCTACATATCTGGATTTGCAAAAAGATTGTATTTACAAGGGGGATAACTGAGCAAATTATAATTTAGTCATAGAAAAGAAAAGGCGTTCAGCAAAGAGTTACTCTTTTCGGCGATATCATTCTCAAGCTGTACAAACCGCAAATTTATAGTAATTTTTTCTCTTGGCAACAAAAGGAATATTTCCAAAGATGTGTTAATGCAATTGTTAATTTTTGATAACAAATTACGTAATTTAGAAGGCGTTAATCGGTTAGAAACTAAAATAAAGTTACAAAAGTAGGTTGGGTGACGTAATCTAATTGATAGGGTTCAATGAAAAATGAGTGAGAGTCAAGTTAATAAGCTGAGTAGAATTCACTTGAAAATAAACGAAAATGGAGTTAGCAACAGTCGTCATGAGGGTAGAGATTTAATAGTGGGTGGGGGTAGAAAATAATGCAATTAAGAAACAGACAAACAAAGAAGAAAGAGGTAAGACAAAATTACGCATTTGGTGTTAAGATAGATCAGGACCATTGTAGATTTAGTGACTGAACAAACTTCTTTTGTATGCAGAGTTCAGGATTCAATATGTGAATTGCCATTGCTTCTGCAGTTTGAAGAAGTTTAATTCGTACTCTTTTGGCAAGATTCCCACGTATTGTGTAGATAACTGAGAAGTTGTTTTGTGGGTTTGCTTGGTGTCCGGATTCGATCAAGTGTTCTAGGATAGAGCTGTGGCGGGGGGATCTTCTTTCTTCTTTATAAAACCATGAAGGCAAGTGTTCGCTGATTCATTTGGATAGCAAACGCTAGGTACGGCCGACATACCTAGCTCCACATGAGCAGGTGAATTGGTAGATGCACATTGATGAGGCCCCCAGTAGAAGCTTATCCTTCACGTTTGTGCGAATCATTGGTTTCGTAGAGAAAGTTAGTCTGAGTTCAGCTGCGTATTTTTCTATTCCCAAGTAATCCAGAAAAATACGTATTTAACCTCTCAAACATTGAGCTCTCAGAACTTCAACTAGAAGCACTGCCCCTCGGTCCAAAGTTCTGCACAAAACCATCAAAAATCCAAAAACTTCAAACCCAAGGTCAGTTCGAAAACTTGATAAACCAAACATATGATCTATCACCAACTTCCGAAGAGAACCTGCAACAGTTCAGGTCGTTAGTCCTCGACAGCTGCCATAAATTTATGAATATCAAACCAAATGGAAAGTCAATACTGACCAAAAAACATTATAAAGAGCTCAAGGTATTAATAAAAAAAACAAAGAGATTATTCTGTTACGCCCGGATAAAGGTGGGGGAATCGTGGTCATGAATCGTGAAGACTACGTAAGTAAAATGCTGACCATCCTATCCGACGAATCTAAATTCATAAAACCAGCAAACGAAAAGAACATGACGGAACAAACTGAACAAAAACTAACGAACCTTCTCCGAAAACTAAAGACTGAATCATTCATCGATCTTGAAACCTTCGAATCGTTGAAACCGTCGGGCTCAAATATACCCCGGCTATATGGACTACCAAAAGTGCACAAGAAAAACGTACCTCTTCGACCCATTCTCGATATGACTAATTCACCTTATCACAGTACCGCACAATGGCTAGTAGACATACTAGAACCAGTCAGAATACAAATCTCCCGCCACTCACTTCCAGACTCCTTCGATTTTGTCAATTCCATTGAAAACGTCAGCGTTTCCAATCAAACCATGTTCTCACTAGATGTGGTATCACTGTTTACAAACGTCCCACTAACCGAAACAATATGCTATATATGTGAATATATTGATTAAAGAATGAACATTGGTATACCCACTGACTATTTGAAGGAACTCCTATTAAGATGTACTCTAAACGTCCAATTCACTTTCAATAATGAAATATATAGACAAAAAGATGGTATAGCTATGGGCTCACCACTCGGCCCGCTGCTTGCAGATATTTTCATGTCAAAACTAGAAAATACACACCTAAAGAAGATAATAGATAACTTCGGGTTCTACAAGAGATACGTGGACGATACTTTTATTATCGCCAATAATGAGGAAAATTTGGAGAACATATTGGACTTCTTCAACAGTTGCCATCCAGCAATCCAGTTCACACTAGAGAAGGAGTCCAACGCAACAATATCTTTTCTGGACGTGCAACTAGCAAGACGCGAACAAGATGGGACACTCAAAAGATCCATTCACAGAAAACCGACATGGAATGGACAACTCATCAGCTTTCACAGTTGGGTGCCTCTATATACAAAACGAAATCTAATCCTCTCACTGACTCACAGAATCCACAACATTTGCAGTCCGGAAACTATAGAAGAGGAGCTGAAGACCCTGAAAAGAATCCTCCTTGAAAACGGTTACCCGGAACGTTTCATCACAAAAGCTATGAAGCCCAAAACACAAAAACCGTCCATGCTTACTGCTCCCAAGAAACTTCTCTATTTGAATCTACAATTCAACGGAGATTCTTCAGCAGAAATACTGAGAAACCGCCTGTGCCGTTCACTGAAGAAAACCTTCTTCGCAGCTGAACTCAGACTAACTTTCTCTACGAAACCAATGATTCGCACGAACGTGAAGGATAAGCTTCCACTGGGGGCCTCATCAATGTGCATCTACCAATTCACCTGCTCATGTGGAGCTAGGTATGTCGGCCGTACCCAGCGTTTGCTATCCAAACGAATCAGCGAACACTTACCTTCATGGTTTTATAAAGGAGAAAGAAGATCCCCCCGCCACAGCTCTATCCTAGAACACTTGATCGAATCCGGACACCAAGCAAACCCACAAAACAACTTCTCAGTTATCTACACAATACGTGGGAATCTTGCCAAAAGAGTACGAATTAAACTTCTTCAAACTGCAGAAGCAATGGCAATTCACATATTGAATCCTGAACTCTGCATACAAAAGAAGTTTGTTCAGTCACTAAATCTACAATGGTCCTGATCTATCTTAACACCAAATACGTAATTTTGTCTTACCTCTTTCTTCTTTGTTTGTCTGTTTCTTAATTGCATTATTTTCTACCCCCACCCTCTATTAAATCTCTACCCTCATGACGACTGTTGCTAACTCCATTTTCGTTTATTTTTAAGTGAATTCTACTCAGATTATTAACTTGACTCTCATTCATTTTTCATTGAACCCTATCAATTAGATTACGTCACCCAACCTACTTTTGTAACTTTATTTTAGTTTCTAACCGATTAACGCCTTCTAAATTACGTAATTTGTTGTCAAAAATTAACAATTGCATTAACACATCTTTGGAAATATTCCTTTTGTTGCCAAGAAAAAATTACTATAAATTTGCGGTTTGTACAGCTTGAGAATGATATCGCCGAAAAGAGTAACTCTTTGCTGAACGCCTTTTCTTTTCTATGACTGAATGGGAATTTTCAAATTATAATTTATCAACAATATTCATCCAAATGGAGCCTGTCAGCATACTTAATCGCTGTTTAAATGGAAGTGAAGGCTGTTGGTAACCTGTAGATTATGGTGGACTACCGAGGAAGTATACTTAACCAATAAAAGCACTATTCAAACGAATGTTCTCGTGGAAGATCTTATAGAGAATTGTCATTTGAAGTGGAGTCAAGCAGTAGTGTTTGTCAGGGATATCAATTGTCACCATTTGTATTTAGTATCATTACGAATTCATTGATGACCGTGACCTTGATTGATTTCTGGGAACAATGTCGTTGGTCTCTAGTGCACAGATACAGAAATCTTAGAATGTTTGGTATACGACTGGCTACAGTTAAATGTAAGATACTACAGAACTGGTGTGCATTGACTCCTGCTTTGAGGATAAGTAGTAAAACGGTTGGGTGTGTCGACCACTTCATTTACTTGAGGAGTTGCTTGAGTGTTAATTTAGTGATTACCGACGAAATCTCAACACGGATAAAAAATACTTGTTTGGCATTTACCAACTTGCGGTATCGGTGGCACAGGCGTAAAATCCAGCTGTTCGTCGAGACGCGTGCATAATGGGCAACAGTTAGTCTTGCCCGTCTATACGGCGGTGGGATATGGCTGTGGGACGTGAAAAATATGTAAAAGCCATTTCTATTCATAGGTATCTCCGTTAAATTTCTTGTTAGGTCTAGCGATATAGTCAGTAGTATTAAGACTAAATACAGTATCAGATAAGGAGGGAAAGTCATTCGATAAAATTGTGAAGCTCTGTAGTTTAAGATTGTTACGACATGTGCTATGCATCCTAAGCCACGGACTTCTTCAAAGAGCAGTATCAACTAAAGTAAGATTAGGCCGGCAAGAATTCAGATATGATCAGGTCAAAACATAGTATCAATCTATACAGTCGTTTGAACCACGTAGAGAAGTGTAGATTGCCTTGTTAATGACTTTGGAATGTTAAAAAACAGTGGGTAGAAACTATTTTTTATCTTACAGACGTTTGGTTTCGCTCATGCTTATAAATCATTTAACAGCAGTCTGGATAAATATGCTTATCGCTTGTGATGTCTGTGTGATTTAGTATGTAAAGCAACAACTCCCTAGTTAATTGGCCTGCCATGTGAGGTTGTTGCGTTCTCTCACTGAGGTTAAAATTGAGGAATCTCTCAACACTGAGTATGAGCATGTCACTTTTCGTAATCATGTTTTTGGCTACATTTATGTGCGCCTTCATTCTTTTTAGCTGTCGATGCTAAGGAAAGACAGCATTGGGTTGATCGTCTTCGAGCTGTTGCCGAATACCATACAGATAAAGCTGAACAAAATCCATTGGTGAGTGAATACTGAAAATGTGACTGATATTTGACTAGTTACGATTAATTTACTCAGTTTTTTGCTGATCAATAAATTCTTTGCATAGTTTGGTTGTTTTACATAATCTCGATATAATTTTGTGGTGGTGAGCTACAAGGAATTAGTACCTGTAGACTACTCGCTTTATTTCTGACTGTATAGTTTTTTCTTAAGTTGTGTGAAAACTTTCATGTGGTCTTGGAAACAGATCACCTAAGCGTATTGTCACGTATAATTTCTTTATTTATATAAACGTAAACATTATAAGTTTTTGGGATCAAATGTAACACTAAACAAGTGAATAACAATATAATGAAAAGACATATAAGGCGGTTGGGAAATGGCAGAATGCGACAGGCGAGCATACTTATTCAGTAAATTAAAATAGACGTTTATTAATTCATGTTGCTTTTAGAAGTAGAAGAAGCTAGGAGACTGCTTCGTGTTCACCATCAATTTTGACTGTAAACCACATGTGGTAATTTCTCAGTCTACCGAGTTTCGGACCACACACAAGGAGTCGTCGTGTGTTGAAACATATTTACCCAACAAAACTATACTTCATTCCATGGTACTACGTCATAAGCTGATCACTTCCTCCTTTTTCATCCAGTCATAGGGTTCGCAAACAGTCAACGCTATGCGGGCCACCGGGATGGCGTTCATCACATACTGACAGAATTTTTCTGTTTTATCAACCCTGTGAATGTATTATTAACATATCCCTACTAGACTTTTGGGATAGGGCTAAACGCTTCAAAAATTGTGACAGTTGAAGATTTGGGATAGCCAGTATAACTCTCCTTCAAAACTGAAATACCGTATAGGTCAACACACAGTTGTAATAATAAAATTACACCTTCATTAGGCACCTTGATTCTGTGCTTGTGTCCTTGGTCAGAACGAAGCTCCCTCCGAATCTCAAAGTTGTGGCATTGCATTATTTGACATGGCCATGAACAATAAATTGTGTCTGTGTCATCACCAAATGAATAATAGTGTTTCACTGTATGATATATCCAATAAAGAAAACCAATATGGAATTGCATACTATCACTGTGTCTAAGTTTTTCACATATGTTAAATAACTACATTATGCTTTTATTTCTCAAGATGCCTTGTATGATACTGTTTTCATTCTTTGCGTTCATCTATGTGTAAAACTAGTTGAATGAAGAGGCTTATCGAAGTATAAAATTAGTCAACATTATTCATTGTGATCAAATCTGTTTTGGTGTGTAAACTGGATAAAATAGATAGATTTATATTTGGCTCTTTGTTCATTCAGTGTAGTGTTACATCATTTCATGCAGTCTCCTTCCTTTTGCATAATTTTCGGTTCTTACAACATGAGTGAACTAATCAGTTCTGATATTCTTTTTGAATATAATTATAATTTATCCGTAAACGGAGATGCACAAAACTTGCTTCATCAGTTCTCTCCACTTCTTCATCTGACTTCTATTTGAAATTGTGAAATTATTTGTGTTTATTTTTGCTTACTTCTAGGTTGCTACTTTATCTCCAACTTCCGAATTCGGGAATCACGCTGATCCATCAGGCACATCTCCTCACACATTAAATTCTCGTAAGTTGATTTTTTTTCAGACGAGTACAGATTTTGTTGATCTTTGCGTTATCTTCCTTCCTGACTTACAGATTTATTGACTATTTGACATAAGTGTGCTGATAAATTTCTTGGTTTAAGCATGGTATCACTTTCGCGTGATATTGAACTCCATCACACTTATGTTTTTTTTTTCGCATGAAATTCTTTGTAGCTATCCGTAGAATGAAGTCGTATTCATTTTTTTGTAATGCTGAAAATCTAGCTCCTTTTTGATGGTCAAAAAGTAAATCTATAGTGATTTCTGTTTCAATTAGTAATTCTTAACGTTATTTAAATTCCATTTTTGAATAAAGCAAGAATGACAAATGTACCAGGATAATCTGAACTCATGTTTTATTTTTATTATTTCGTGGATTCTCCTTAACTGGTTACAACCTGAATAATACCGAAATTATAAATTAAATTAAAGATATGAACACACTTTTAAAAAGTGATAATAAGTAATTGATTAGAACTGAGAGTAACGTTGGTCAGGAATAGTGTAACTTGTTGAATAATTAAGAGTGATAAGGATCGACTATTTATTAGAAGAATTGCATGACTAATCTTGGAAACAAAAGGACAGAGTTCAACAGATGTTTTGTGGGTAGAAACAAAGTTTAACTAGAAAGAGTATAAAAAGGAATAGGTTAACTAACCACAGAAAAACACGTTTTTATAAAAATATACAGAACAAAGGCCAAGTGGCAGGATGAGTCATGTTTAGAAGAAAAATTCAAGTTTCCTAAACTGGATAGAAGTTGACGTAGTGAAATTTCTGCGCTTTGTTATTACCAAGGTAGTGCAAGATTCACTAGTCTCTTTTTGCGTACATTTGGTTTTAGCCGTTTATGGCGATTGCCTTAACAAAACGAATCAGGCTAGGTTTCTTTTATCTATTGATTATTTGATTATTATTGATCAGGTTTTCTACAACATGACCAGTGTCTAGTTGATGGCGTGCAATCGCACTGTTTAATGCTCGTGGGCCCTGTAATCTCAGGTTCTTTGGTATGTGTTCAGTGATGTGGACAATAACTCTTCTCTCTGTCCTTACAGTGTATGTGCTTTGGCACGTGCATGTAAATTGGTAGACGCAGTTGGAGGTAACATGAGGTGGGAGTGTGTCTACTTTTGACTGTCTTAACAGGTTGTTTGGTAAACATATACAAGCTTGGCAGCTGGATATGTGCTTTTAAGGGCAGCGTTTAGTCTGCATCTTATTCTACTGGTAGTATCGTCACATTTGAAGGCAAGCTGTCGAAGGAAGGGTTTTTTCTCTACTGTCAAGACTAATTTTTCCATGTTTCTCGATGAGCTTCTGTGGGTAACCATTTTCATGCAGGCATTTTTCCACAGTGGATAGCTCTTCCTCCACTTTTTCTTCTGAACAAACGATCAGACAGTGTTCGCACTAATCCCATTTTGTAACTTATAGGGCAGAAGCTTTTGAAGTTCAGCTAACTAATCCTTCAGGTTTCTTTTCTACATACGTACCTCATGATTTTACCATCTTTATCACGTTTGATGTCAAGGCCCAAAAAATGAAACTTGTCCTCATCTTCACACTCTATTGTAAACTTTATTTTAGTACGAGCACTATTCACGACGTTTAATATTTGAGATGCGTCATTAAAACAATCACAAATGGCAAATGTGTCGTCGACATACCTGGTATAGAAGTCTGTCTGATCGATTGCAGCCTTCATTTTTGTTTGTTCCAGGTTGCCCATAAAGATGTCTGCCAGAATCGGACCCAGCGGACTTCCCATTGCGACTCCATCAATTTGGCGGTACAGAACACTGTTAGATTGAAATTGTATGTCCTTAGTACATATTAGCAGCAGTTGTCTGAGTTTATTCTTTGGCAGAGGAATGAGATCAGCACGTTGACATATAATTTGTATCGTTTCTTCTAGCGGTATCTTTGTAAACAGCAAAGAGAAGTCAAATGACACCATGAACTTATTTGAGATATGTAAATTGTTTAGCGAACTGAAAGGTATCTTTCAAGCTATAGACAGTTAACTTGGCACGGATTGGCTCCAATAGTTCTGCTAGCCACCGAGCTACTTTGTGTTACGGAGAATCGACCGTAGATAGTATTGGTCTCATGAGAACATTGGGTTTATGCATATTTGGTGAGCCGTGTAAATAAGGCAGTCTGCATCCTGTAGGCTTCAGTTCATTATATTTACTTTATTTTACTTACTTCTGCTATAGACTTAGTTATAAAAATGATACTCACTTCCTCAATTCTTACAGGATAGTTTATCACTTAGATGTTCTGTAACCGATTTAAAATACTCAGACAACTTTTCCCTTCTAGAAGAAGATTCACGTATGCTTTACAAATGCCACAATAATGTATCACTTGTCTTCTTATCTGGCCAGTTTAAGGAGTAGTATTCCAAGAGAACGACCAATAAAATGACCTTGATACGGCCAATGAGAGTACAGTCAAACGAAATAGCATTTTTGAAGGATATAAGTATCCCGTGTAGGAAGTGAGAAATATATTTCCTCCACATACTGTTTTTCAGTATTGTCAAGAGAACAATTTGATAGGAAGGGCACATGTATGTTCCTGTGGAAGTCTTTTGAACATCTACCGTTTATCTCAAGCCATAGACGGATTTATATTCAGATTTACTAATTGCAAGAGAGGAAGAAGTGTTCGAAACAGAATGTTAATTAAATAGTTATTAGGGGCCATCAAGTGTCGGTTTGCAGGGATTTGATTGGTTACCCATCCCCCTTTACTGCTCCCCATTAATCTTTCCTGGACTACTTAAGAAAGACTTTGCTTCTCTGCATAGGGCACTAAAAGCTGTTAGTAGGGGAAGTGGGATTTCGTTAAACCAACTGGTTAACACTATTGTGGATAGACATATAATGTCATGTAAGAAACTAGCGAATTCTATATTGTCAGACCCCGAACACCCTCTCCATACGCAGCTCTCTCCTTGCATTTCATCTGGTAGAACTAGAAGCAACTATAGGAAGCTATATGCCAGGACTACCAAGTATAAAATCTCCACAATACCTTATCTGGCACAGCTGTTATGTGATGAGAAAACTGTTAGGCACGACACGATCAACTTACTGCGGCACTCTAACAAATAGTTCCCACTAGCTTTTGTTCTCCTTTTCTTGTTACTACTATATTGTTGCTCATATATTCTATTACAGACTAATTTTATATATCATATCCTGTGGTGCATTGTTTAAATATGTGAATGCAATGCTGTTCTTTTTTATTTCTTTTATTTCTCTTTTTTCTTTTTGTTGTTGTTGCTTTATATTTTTAAATCCTTATAAAATTTATGAGGTAATTAGATGCAATATTGTAATGAACGCTGAAAATTCCATACCTATACCACAAATACTGTTTGGAATAAGGCCATTATTATTATTATTAACCACAAGGTGTCATCAGCCAGAGAATCAATGGAAAACCAGGGAGTACCGGCCAGGTGTTTCGTCCTAGTTTAAGGCTCTCCAACAGTGCGCGCCCGCCGGGTTTCGAACCCAGAGCTTTCAGGCTACAAGGGAATTTAGCCACTGAGCTCGACACACTATCCCGTGAATTCCAACTCCTGCTAATTCACGATATATAGCACAACCACCAGCCAGTGTCATCAACAAATAACTGTCCTTATACTTGACTTGGTAGACCCCAGCGGTTACGACTTACCACTAGAAGTTCAGGTAACTTCCTATATATGACCGGTCCTTAGTAGTGAGTATCAAATGAATTTTTTTTCCTTCACGTTCCCCAGTGGAACATAGGGCTTCAAGCTAGTGGCCTGAAGTTTCTGTAGCAATGTTTATTTTACAGGATGGGGTTGCTAGCCTCATGCCCAACCTTTCCTCTTTACCAGCATTATTTCTGGCTCAGCGAGGTGAAGGAGTGCGTTGGCCGGGGATCGAACCCCGGACCATGTGCATGGTCGGCGAGCATTCTAACCGCTATACCACCGACGCACACATCAAATTAATTAGCAAGTGTTAATTCGCAGGAACTTGATTGGTTACAGGCTACACAACCTAACATTACTAGCTACTTTCTTTCTAAGTTCAAACTACCGCTATCAAAAGCACTATTTATTTGCTATTATTGGGCAGTTGAAACTGAATTTAGAGCCACTGCTACACAAATGGAGAATTCCTTGATTTCACCTTTAGTATTATTAACACTACAAGTACATTACCTCTTAGAAGTTGAACAGTTTTACATCACTTTCAGGAGTAGTTGGAGTAATTGTTCACATAGATGAAACCATGTTGTTCAAGTATAAATACAGTCATGGACATCCAGAGCGAACAGTTTATGGATTTTAGGATTATATATTATGCTATTTAGGAAAGGGTTTGTTGACGGGATAAAATGGCGTATTTTAGTAACCCTTATACCAATAATATAAACATTGGTTGTTTCAGGAAGTACGAGTGGACAAACTACAACAGTTTATCATCGTTGGCCTATGTCCATCAATGAGTGAGTCATTCGACGGATTTTTTAACTCCTATAACAGGCACACATATAAATCCAATTGAAGCTTTCTGGTGTTGACTAAAGAATAGATTGTGTGCTATCACTGAGTCACATAGTGATGTCGTCTTTATTCATTTATATAAATACATGTATAGAAACTGTTTTAATTTAAGTATTGACATTCCGATGACTGTTAGGAGCGATTTTCAAGCAATGTAACGGAAGGTTTTCCCACTTAGTATTTATATTATAATTATTAACGTTTTTTTGAGAGTATATGCAGTTTTCACTAGAATTAGCCCACTTTATTCTTAATTGGTTGGTTGAAGGTCATGGCCACATTTTTACTCCCCTTGATTCACTATCCTTTAACCTTACAAATGAACTAATTACAAAACTATCATGTATTGTCGGGCATACTTGTTTGGCATTTACATATTACTTGAAAAAACACCGAGAAAAAGTCAATAATTTGTGTATCTTTTACAATCCAACTGATGAAATTTGTTCATATAATGGGTGTACATTTTGTTTTGCAGTTGAGTTCAAATGTAGTGTCAAATGTAAATGTCTCCATAATCTCAAGTGTTTCTTGTGTAGATATGATTCAGACATTTTAGCACTCAATTTTCCGTCAGTGCCTCCTGGGTCTAAATCTCACTCCACCTACTTCAGCCTTGGTGACTGAGTAGTATAGTCAGCTGTCATGCAGAGATTGTGACTTATAATCTGGTATACTAAGCATATCAAACGCTAAAAAATTCTTTTCATATTACCATATGAACTCTTTCGATTGCCGTAAGGTGTTCAATGCTCATTGCATTCTATGTTACATAGATTGAGTATGTAATGGCTGAAGACAAGAGACGTGGTAACGGAATGTTTATTTGGAATTTGATATATCTATATAGGGAAATTATATAACACCACAGATCTTCCGTGTTGTGCTACTTCTGCCCTTCGTATTGTGTTTCTTTGTCTTCTTTTCGTGTCGCCCATGTTTTACTGCAACACTGATTCACTTGCTGTCTTTGATGTCAAGTCTATCACTCCGCTGTTTGATAATTTTATGCCGATGAACGTCTCTTTATATACTAGTGATAATTCTTATCAGTAGAACACACCACAAGTACATTTAAGTATCTTTTAACAGAATTTTTTTTATTACTCCTAAAAGTAGCTTAGCCTTTTCTGTCTACCTTTTTGCCTTTTCTAGCTAAAACTATATCTCCTCAGACAAATGATGTAAATTCTTCTGGTGATCAATGCACTGATGTTGATTCCCCGAATATATCAGTTACTGAGTAAGTTTTATACAGTTTAATCTTGTTACTGATAGTGACTGATGCTTGTTGTTATCGTTCGTTAAGTGTCTTCACCATCTTTATCTTCTCTATGTTCACTAAAAGTTCTGTTTTCGTTGCCTCTTCTGTCGATGTGTTAGGTTTTACTTGTAGATTTTCGAGTTTGTGTGACATCAGGCATAAGTCGTCCACGACGTCCAGATCTTCTCGCTTTCCACTATCCATTTCATGAATCAATCCACCGCAATCAGGAATATTATCGGTAATAATATTCAGCCTTGTCTTAATCATCTCTTTACTGCGACGGCTTCACTGAACTATTTTTATTATGTGCATACAATAAATAGAAACAAACAGTAATGAACCTTTAAATAATACAATAATGAAAATAACCAATTACCCTAACATATTTCACTTGTTTCTAGGTGAAGACTTGAAATCACTAGTGCTTAGTTTTCGTAATCAAAGAATATTTTGTCTAAGTTAAACTATGCAGTTGAAAAAGGTCATTTGAAAGCGTAAACTATTTTTAAACGGAAACAAACACAATATTGTTTAAAGTTAGCCAATTAAAAAAATATACTAAAATTTTCCAAATCTCATATGTCCGCTATGCCTGGTGATTCCATTTCTTATTTACAAACAAAACAGAAGTTTGTTTGGTTGGAGGATTTTATCATGAGCTGACATCAGTTAGAGAACCACTGGAAAACCTGGGAGTACTGAACAGCTGTTTCGTCCTTTTTTGGGACTCCTCATCAGTACACACCCACCGGGTTCGAACCCAGGAGGTAACCAGAAGGTCCTGGGTTTGTGCAGAATAAAATGGTACCATCATTTATTTCGTTGGCTTCTCATCCGCTGCTTACAGCCCAAAGACAATATTAAGTTTATCTACAGATACAATTTTAACATACTTGCACACAGAGTTCATTTTTAAACAAAAATCAATCAGTCAATATATGCATACAATAACAATGTAAACAATAATAATGAACACTTTATCCCGAACAATAATAATCATACACAATGAAAATTTTCGGCGTTAAGTAATCAGACGGAAGAAAGGGTGAAAACATCCAGTTACCAGGGCAAAGGAAGACTGATAACCGCTTCTTTCTAACCACATAAATGAGGTTTCAGGCGTTTTATGTAGATTTATTCAACAGACTTAAGGAGAATTGAATTGTGTTTTTTGTCAGTGTGATATTGTAAAGTAACTTTGAAAATATCAATTCAGCATATAATTTTTGCGTAGCCTAAATTCATTTCTACCCTTATTTAAATGTAGAAATTAAAAGGAACACAGATTTCGTTTAATATACATCGATTTTGTGGGAACTGGAAGTATTTATTAGTGTTAAAGTAGCCAGTGGTGTATAACATGTATATTTGATCTTTTATAAGGTATATTTCCATGCTGATACGTTTCAGCATCTAACTCATGCTGTAATCATGTTTCAGGCCATTCAAAAACAACTTATCATGATTCGTTTCACTTAGTCAAATTCACTAAACTGTCCCCAATATCAAGGTTACTGCGTATAGCTGTAAAATGAGGTGTATTGATATTAATGTGCTAGCAACTGGGCATTGATATAGATCCACCTTACAGACATCAAATCTATCTCGTAGCCGAGAATCTAAAATAAGCATCTACCTGATGATGATGCAATAACATTAATCCATGTTTTGTTTAGTTGTTTGTTCTATGTTATGAGATTTTAAAATGCTCGATTAAATCAGAATTGAACAATTAATGTATTCCTCTGTTTAATGGAAGCATATAAAGTTGATTTACATCATTTCTCAAAACTGGATTGTAAAATATTTCGTATTCAAATTGAAAACAAAATAAGATTAGATTTCGGTGCATCATTATTCTGTCTAGTTGTCGTTGAATGACATAATCAGTAGATTAATTGTGTTTAGCTTTAGTCTAATTTGTCTGTATTTTCGTTCACTCACTTTGTTTTTCTTTTGAAGTATATTTATCGCATTCGAATTGTACTTTTCGTAGTTATAAATGATGTTTACATTTGATTTTCAAGTGTTAGTTTGTAGGAATTTGATTCGTTTCCAGTGTTAATCACGGATTAAAACCAGTTAGGGAACCGTTTAAAATCTGCGGGTACTTGATGACTGTTTCGTCCTAGTTTAGGACCCTTTATCAGTACGCAGCCATAACCCCACTGGTGGCCAAGCCCATGACCTTCAGGCTAAGAGACGAGCTTGTTGACCATTTAGCCGCTAGTACGGAATTCAATGGTGCAAATTAACAGAAGTTTATATTTGAATTTTTGTCGAATCCTCGTATCATATATTAAATACCTTGTTCTTTTTGCTCAATCAATGATATTGATTATTTGTTGACGTGTTTACTATGAAAATATGTTTTCTTTGATTCTTTTTTTATTATATAACGCTAACTAGTACATTCCCTGTATTCTGTCCTGGTCGGCCATCTGATCCACGAACTCAACTTGGCGAGCTTTTTCGTCAGTTAGAACACGAAAATCAAGCACTTGCTACAGTTGTCGATGTATGTTTAACACATCATTATTCCATTCGATTAATCTGTATGCATTTAACATTATGAAATTATAACTTTATTTTTGTACCAATTGGGAGTTGAAGCTATTATAGTCATCGTTATTCAGGTTATTATGTATGAGTTGTTTTTTTAAAGTTAATTTTGTACTTCCTCTTGATTGATTGATTTTGAGCCGAAATGTCTGGTCTCTGTTGACATGTCGTCTCCTAGTACGGACACCTTGATGTCATTTGGTTGATGGATTCCACTATCTACTATATGATATTATGTAAAAACTTTCCATGGTGTGTAAGGCACATGCTTGTGGGTCCTGCCTAATACAACTCTTGATCATGCCTTCTCTATAGACAATTTCTCTCGCATTTTACTTCATATAGCTTTTCCAATTGATACAGCAATGATCTTTTTCTGAAAGAAATAGTTTTTTCCTCTGTGTTCCACAGGTGACTTAATTTGAGAAAGGAATTCTATCCATATCCTTTCCGCGTGATGATATTGTGAAAATGAGATCTCCTTAGTGAATTGAATATAGTTAGGTGTCTACTCAGCATGTAAATGTCTAGTAGAAGAGGGTTTCTTTCAATAATGAAAGATGTTCAGCTACAGTGTCTACATGTGTGGTAATTCAGTTAAAAAATATGCGCTACTATCTCATTCATAGACGAGTTTTACTCTCCAATTTTAGTATTACTTAAAATTGTATATGCCGGTAACGAACAGATAAGTCAGTGTTGAAAGGTGCTTCGCTTCAGATTGCTTCATATTTTTCACCTCCACCCATCCAAAGTTGGAGGATCGATGTCTACAGGCTGCGGTTGAATGTTAGGCAGTTATATGTTAGTAGAACTGCTCTTCAAAGTATCCCATCCATTATTCCAGCTTTTGTTCTGGAAAGAGTCTAACCTTTGTGGAGATGGTTTCACCAATTTTAGCTTCTTTAGGCTTCGTTTCTTTGATAAGCCTTACTAGTTGACGAGTGTTGTTCATTGTCGACGTTTGTCACTCTCGAATTCGTTGGGAAGACTTAGTCAATTTACATTTCAGTCTCTCCACTGTAGTATTGAAATTAGTTACTAGGGTGACTACGTCTGGTCATTTTGCTTTTTTTTGAAAAGAATGGACACGGAACAAAGAGTACTCTTTTCGATAAATTCATCATCAGTTTCTACAATTATATATACATTATAATGAATGAATGAATTAGTTTTATGAACGACATTAATGTTTAAATAACATCAATTACCTCTTTGAACTCTGGTTAGTGGCTGTATGAGCAAACACTACAAACCGAATGAATTATAATCTTTTCCTGTCCTCACGGATTTACTTTTTTATGCAGCACACGAAAGACTGTCTAGAGGGATCTATTCGAAATGTGAGTTCTTGTCTTAATACTGTCCCAACACCGATAAGACTACAAAAACTAACCGAAAAATCTCTTGAAATCCGTAGGGTAAATTCCTCAAATTGACACTCTCGGTCAAATGGGGGGTAAATTGAATAACAACATTTAGAACTTGTAGGCGTGTCTGGCAGATGTAACGTAAATCCGCTCTTGATGCCAATATATGGGCTTTTTGACCGATTTGGCATCGGGTTCAGACATTAAAGTTTCTACCTGATTGGAATTGACAGCTTAGCTTTAAGAGACTAATAGCTATGTGTTTGTCTGGCTTAACTCCTCACCAGCATTAATTACAAGAGGAGGTTAAATCTAAAGGAAGCAAAAGGATGAAGTTGAAGAGACTAAGTAGCGAACAGAACAACTTTGTTTACTGATGGAAGCATGTGGAAGAAAGTAATCTTGTCTATTGTTTAGGGGAAATATCTTATACCCCCTATTGCCAGTAATATAACTTGACCGTAAGAACTTCGTCGTAGTAGAAACATTTTAACTGCTTTTCGTCTTACTGTCATCCAGTTGTCTTTTGTGACCTGCAGGAATAATTGTAGCATTCACGCTAGACCTTCTACGTCAGGATGCCATCTGTCGGTTTTTACAGTACTTTTAGTCATTCAGTGTTTCAGACATCGTGCAGTTTTTTTATGTTCATATTAAAATTCAAAACAACGTCGAGGGTATACATAAATAAGGAGGATATCTAAAATTGAATAAGTATAATTCGGTCAAATCTCAGTACGAACGAAAGCAATACAGCATGATTTGAACTCCTGATTTACTGGTTGTAAGTCTGTCTCTTTTCACAGAAAAGTAAATCAGAAATCCAACTGTTTGTTATTATCAGTGATGAGTTTGTAATTCACAAAAAGAAAGATATAATATTAATTTAAATGTGAGAAGTGATTGTTTTGTAGCCATTAGAACTGGAAATGTATCCCACTGGCTTACAGTATTCAACTTTCATCCAATGGACCACAAATTCGTGGACCATCCACTGTATCTACTTTAGCCTCGGCAACTGGGAAGTATTATCAGCCCTCAAATGACAAATTTGGCTTTTAGCCTTGTATATGGAAGATTTATCCCGGCTGATTGAATTCAAATAAATAAATAAACAAACAAACTGAGTGGAGATACAAACATCCAGATCAAAATGTGAAAACTATGATTCAGAAGAGTGAGCCAATGGTTGTTGTTAATATAAGTCTACAATTAAGTTGCATTTTTGCTCATCTAAACTGAATTAATTCTCAATTTCTTATTTCGTAAACACAACATTGTTGTAATTTATATTTTAATTATTATTATTTTATTTACCTAGGCAACATCTATTCGAAGTCCTGAAATTACTGAAGTGTTCAAAGTAGGTTGAAATCCCTTTCGTTCAAATTGTAAATTTAGTTTTCTTGTCGTGTCCTTTGTGGATTTTAACAAAGATGAGAAATCATATTAGCAAAGATTGTTCGAGTGTAGTAATAGTAGTGGTAGTAGTAGTAGTGCTTATTCTCATGCTAAATTCCTTAAGATGTAGTATTTCACTAGTGGTTTACATAGTCAAATGAATATAAACACTATCAGGGCGATTAGTAAAACTAGTGATTCCCCTTCACATTGTTCAAGTGTCTTGATACTTCGTGCATTTTAACCACTGATGTTATTTTTTTTAATTTATGTCTGTAAAGATTTCTACTGACTCATTTTACGTGATTATATAATGATGACTTAATCATTATTCCTTAACTTTATTGTCTTATCTTTTAATGAATTCGACTACTGATTTTTCTCGGTTATGGTGAGCTGAACTAGATTTCCAACGTAGAACTGTACAGACAGAGGAGAAATTTACCGAGAAGAATATTTTTCGCTCAGTGTTTTTGTCTTCTAAATGTCTGAATGGGAACTTTCGCTGTATAGCTTGATCATGTGTTCATCCATTATTATAGATTAAATCTTATGAATTTTATACACTTTAGGCATTTCAAACTTTCACTATGCGAAGTTGCATTACAAACTCTGATTGCCACTTATTGTTGTCGTCTACTTTTAGTTGACTCATGTGTGTAGCTCCTGTTTTACTATCATCTATGATATTCCTGACTGTTGTAGCCTAGATCATGCAACAGTTGGTGGGAGGCGAGAAGATGGACATGCGTTGGGTTACCCCGTTATAGATAAGATTTTATTTTGATAAATCACGAAGTGTGCTGTACAGTAATATTAACTGATGACGTTTCAAGCACAAACTATTGCTCATAATCACATGAAGTTACTCAAACAACTTTTTTACTTCGTAGATAATTTATGTTTAGTGTCAAACAAAGCCGAAGGTCTACAGGCGAAAACCAACACGTTGGCAAAAGAGTCGGCGAAGACAGGAAAGAATGCAGTTGGACATAGAGAAAACACAGGTGATGAAGATACCTAAACAACAACGGAAAGAACCAGTTACGATCAACGGGGGAAATCTGAAGGAAATATATAAATATAATCACTTTATTCCAAATCACCTCTTTCACTTATCTAGACAGAATCATTTGAACTGTCGGTGGCATGGATGAAGATATCGAAGCCAGGATCGGAAAGGCAAGACAGATCTTCATTAATCTGAGATTAGTGTGGAAATCTGCTGCGCTCAGCATAAAGAACAAGGTTTGGATTTTCAACACTAATTCCAGGTCAGTGAGTTCTTCTAGACACACATATCACCTAAAGCATCTCCAAAAGACTGCAGACTTTCTTCAAACCTGCCTTCGTTCCATACTGAAGATCAGATTATCGAAGATGATAAGCAAAAAGACACTGAGGATGAACCAACCAAGAACCTATTGTCCACCAAACATACCGAAGAAAGTGGAGATGGATTGGACCGTCGAATGACATCGTTCGCCTGGCCTTCGAGTAAAACCCCAGTGGGAAACAACAATTTTGGTGACGTGAAAGGGATCATGTGAGGAGGAAAGGAAAGCCATCTAAATACGACTGCATAGGACAGAGTGAAAAGGCGATGTGGCCTTATGTTCCACTGGGAGCCTAGGAGAATAACAATAATATTATAATGATCATTCTCTTCGACTAATTGATGGGAAGTGCTATAAATTAAGTTCTAATACTTCCAATCAATAACATTTTTAGTCCAATCAAAGTGGCACCAATTAAGCGACTTATTGTAGTCGTAACTATTAAAACTAAAGTAAATCAAAATATTGAGATTATAACTTGCAAGAGTTATTCTAATAAAATCTATTTTACTTATCGATATCCGTATCAGTGAAAAAGATATCTGAAAGTTAGGCGTACATTGGGTACTTGTCATTGTCTATTCTGACAGAAGTGCTCATAGTCTATATATTTCTAAGCATATTGTATGATAGTGCTTGTCATATAATTTACTTGGACAGTTGTGTTCTTTCTTGTCTAAATATATATTTTGAAACCTTATTGATATATAAAAAGAATAGGCTTTTCAATGTCCATTATTTATAAAACAAATTTGTCATAAACTGTATAATAATAATAATGTTACGTTTTGTTTCTGTATATCTGAACTCTGTTGTAATATGCATATTTCTTCCTTTTCGCAGAACCTTCTCTTGTCAAAAGCTACTAGTCAAGCGACACTGACTTGTTTAAAGCGTTGCATGGAGTTGATTAAACGTCAAGATATAGCAAATGGAATTGAGAATGGAAAAATGGTTAGTAAATTTCAAAAAAAAGTAATAACACATGCTACTTATACGTTTGTTATTTGGTGGATTCTAGGATGCACATTTCGTCTTGTTTCAGACTCGTCATCTGATTATACCTGAGATTTCCAGCGAGTGATGGATGATGTTCTCACTGAGAATCGAGCCCAGCACTCGTCGTTTTAAATGACTAAGTGTTATCCACTAGGCCGCTCCACCTTTTGTGCAATAAGGATAAGCTATTATTTGTTTAAGTTAATTTTCTATTTCCCGTTGATTTGTTATATTGGATCAGACAGGACGAAGTGCTCATCCTGGATTCCACTGCTGACTGTCATTCACGAAATAACATCATGTTAAGCCTCAGACATCATCAAAGCATTTGTACTAGGAGGCAACATGTCAACGGAAACCGAACATTTCAATGCAATCAGTGAGCGGGCGAAACAAAGTCAGCTTAAACAAATACTCACACGTGTGTATTATAATAGAATAGTCAAGCAAACAGTATGTTGGAAAGAAAGGAATAATTGTTTACAGACAAAAAAATAAGCTATCACGCTATATGAAATAACAGGCATGCATAATTAGTTTTCTAATTTAGAACTCAACAGTAAGATGGAGGATGCAAGCTCTATGATTTTTGGTATAGTTTGACCAGTGTGATATCGGTATTATTTCTACAGTCAAGGTAGAAATAACAGCTTACTCTAGGAAATCGCACGTCAATATTTCATATGCACTAACATATCCTTCATCGGTGAAATACAGTGGAGAAACTTTACTGTGTTTCCATATAAATTAATTACCATGTAAGTGTATCAGTTAACTCATAAATTATATCCTCATTACCAGCTGATTAACTAACTGAATTATCAAGTTAGAACTTTGCACAAATCTGAAACAGTTCAGATTACCATACTCTGCTGATTTATGCAGTACTTTAATTCATTCTCTATTCTATTTTCGTATGAATAGGTTTATCATAGCTGAAGTTTCTTCATCATCATCATGCATCGTACACTGTTTTACCTCTTGTATACTAGCAGCTGAATTGTGCTACTTTAATTTTTTACTCTTGGAAGAGGAAATTCACCACCGAAAAATCTTCATTTCTTGTTTTTTTTCTTTTTCATCAAAGACGACTAGATCATTGAATTCAAGTAGTGCAGAGAGATCCGGTTCAGGGGACTTTTGCAGTTCTGTTGTTGAGGTGTCTGAGTCGTGCAAACCTGATTATAAGAACACTACTACTACTACTGCTACTGAGTCGATCTCCAGGTATATTTCATTTCATATGTATATATCATCATTACATTTAATATTTAATCATCTCTAGGTCAAGTAACCTTTGTTAATACGTTCTTCATAGAAGAGTAAAGTATGAATAATTTCCGGTTAACTTTTGCACAGAATTTCCACTAATCTTGAATGCTATTCGATTGTAGTTGAGATGAATTTCTCAGTCATTTGGGTTATCTGTGCAGCTCAAAAAAATATAAATCGTCTTCCTTCAATTATCTACCAAAAAATTCATTTAGTCTAGTAATAAGACATTGACGCGATGATAGAAAACTCAATAATTGTCATCCTTACTGCATTTCTACTCAATAACCGCTGATATTTCCATACAGTTGGCAATAAGCCACTCCTGTTATATGAAGGCTAATGATATTATTTGGCTGTCAAAACCTCTGTAGGTGAGTTGAAATTCGAATCCTATCCACATAAACGACCTGGTACGGTGAAGGTTGGGTAGACTCCGGTTTTCCTCTCGAAATTTTCTCATGTGGCCACGCGTTCATAGCCTCTACCAGCTAAGTTATATTCACTGACATCACGCGATCTGGTGGGGGAGGCTGTTTCTTACAAAAATGAAAGGGTGAATGCCGCTTACAATTGGATTGGTGGACATGCAGGTGTACCTACAGGATCTGGAAAACCCTGATTTCAGAATCTGATAGGACCGAATGGCGTATGAACCCGTTTTGGTCACCGGATACCATGGGGATTTAGCTCCTGACTCTGCTTCAATGCTTTGTGGACCAGACTTCAAGTCAAAGGCTTGCGGATTGGCCTCTTAAGACAACCACCTGTTTTGGTATGAACTTCCAGGCAGTATCCCAGCTCTTGTAGAAGCCATGAGATTTTGTATTGGGCATCTCTTGGTGCTCGTAATGTACCAGATTTGTGTTTTAGTAATAATAAAAATATATGCTCATGATGCAGTGATCCCGAATGGTGACATCAAAATCCTTACGGGAGATATGAATGCCAAACTGGGAGCGGATAATACAGGAAGACAACTCACCATGGGTCGACAGGCTCTCGCTCGGAGAAATGAATGAGAACGGAGAATTCTTCACAGACTTCTGCTCTTTCAATGATTTGGTGATCGGAGGCATCGTGTACAAACACATGGATTATGCCTGACGGACACACCACAAACCAGATAGATTTAATCTCAATCTCAAGGAAGTGGATACAAAGTCGAAAAGGCGAGCAGATGTGGTCTCAGACCATCACCTAGTTCAAGGAACTCTCAGGGTGAAGCTGAAATCCCTCAAGACAACTAGAGACAGGCCACAATTCAAGTTCAACATTCAGAAACTGGAGAACAAAACTACTAGGGATGCCTTTACTACAGATATCAGAACAAAATCCGATACACTACGTAACATCACTGAGGAAACCTGTGTCGAATGACATTGGAACTCTCTGAAAGCGATATTTAAGGAGACGTGTTCAACTGTTCTAGGAAGAAGGAGGAGACAAGATAAGTAATGGTTGTCAACGGATACCTAGAAGCTAGTCGAGGAGAGGAGGATGGTGAAAGAGAAGGTGACCCAATGCAAAGATGGACAAAAGAAGGGGAAGCTGAGTTCAATGTACACTACACTGAATAAAGAAGTGAAGAGAAGACAAACGACAATTCTACGACACACTGGCAGCTGAGGTAGAACAGGCAGGTCGCAGGTAGAAGAGACCTCAGGACATTATTTCAGATAACCAGGTCTCTGTGTGGGAAGAGATTCGACCAGATGATCAATCCAGTAAAAGATGGTGAAAGGAAACTGATCACCAAGGATAAGAAACAAGTGAAACAATGGGTTAATCATTTCAAAGCATTCTTGAATCGACCATCACCGGCAACTCGCCCAGAAATACCACCAACAGCATATACGGAAATGCCTGCCAGTGGACACCACTCCTCCAATGAAAGAACAAATCGTGAATGCGATCAAGCTACTGAAGTCTAGTCGGGAAGGCAGCAGGACCAGACGGCATTCCTCCCGAAGCACTGAAGACGGCCCCAGAGATTACGGCAGATGTTCTCACTCCATTACTGCAAAAAGTTTGGAAAGGTGAAAAGGTGCCTACTGATTGGAAGAAGGACTACCTATGCAAGAACTGTTGTGGAATTATGCTCTTGTCCACTCCAAGTAAAATACTGAGTCGCATCATCCTGGAGAGAATGAAGAATGCACTGGATACAGAACTCGCCCCCCCCCAACCCAGAACAAATTGGATTCAGGAAAGGTAAGTCGTGTGCTGGTCAAATTGCAACTCTACGCTTCGTCATCGAACAAAGCATAGAATGGCAGTCTAACCTCTAGCTTAACTTCATCGACTTCAGAAAGACCTTCGGCAGCATAGACCAAGAAATAATTTGGAAACTACTTCAACACTACGGCGTACCTCAAGTCTTTGTCAACCTCATTCAATAGCTGGCTATATGACAATGCCACGTGTCAAATGATCCACAACAGGAAACTCAGCGAGGCGTTCGAAGTGCATACAGGAGTAAGACAAGCCTGCTGCCTATTATCACCGATTATATTGTTAATTGTGGTGGACTGGATTAAGCGTCAGACTGCTGGGGGCGAGGAGTCAGGAATAATCTGGACCATCGATAAGAAGACTCTAGAAGATCTGGATTTCGCGCGTGGATGATATGTGTCTAATGTCACACAAACTCGAAGACTTGCAAGCGAAAACCAACAGACCGCCTGAAGAGGCAGCGGAAACAGGACTACAGGTGAACACAGAGAAGACAGAGGTGGTGAAGATAACCAACGAACAACAATAACAACAGCAACCAGCACCAATCACCATCAGTGACATAGATTTAACAGAGTTTATGTGCTTCATGTATCTGGGAAGCATCGTTTCAACTACAGGCGGAACGGATGAAGATGTCAAGTCAGAATCGGAAAGACTAGATACGCCTTCATCAACCTGAAACCAGTTCGGAAATCTTCCGCACTCAGCATAAGGAACAAGATTCGGATTCTGTTCAATACAAATGTGAAGTCAGTCATATATTCTTCATGGATCAGGAACTTGGCGCGTCACAACAAGTTACAGACTTTTATCAACATCTGCCTTCACTGGCTCCAAACTGAAGATCGCATGGTAGGATAGAAAGAGTTAGCAAAACCAAACTCTGGCTGGGAACAAACCAACCAAGAGCCAATTGCTCAACAAATATGTAGGAGAAAGTGGAGATGGATACGTTGAGACCATCGAACGACATCACGCGCCAGGCCACCACTCGAGTGGAATCCGAATAGGAAGAGACAAGTGGACCGTCAGTGCGAGAGTGACGTGGAGGAGATCGTTTGAGGCAGAGGAGGAGATGGGAGATTATGGGCCATTATAGACCCAGATGAAGAGTGCAGCAGAAAATAGAAGAAAGTGGAGATGTGTAGTTGAAGTCCTATGTTTCACTCGGAACCCAAGGGAATAATAAATAATAAATATGTGTATTATCGTTAAAAATTGTGATTTTGGATAAAATTAGAAATACTCCTGTTTAAACAACAATTTTCTTATGTACAATTTTGCACTAATGTTTACTGAAACTCCATATAGTTAAGTTCTCACAATAAACACAAATGGTGAATAAGCATCACTGTACTAAATAAAGCAAACGACAAAGGTCATACATCATCTTTTATGCGTAAACTTTGTTTCCCAATGGATAAAAACAAGATGTGTAATTTTTTAATCAAAGGTTACATAGACATCATCTGTTTATTAGTTACCTGACTCGTGTAAATAGTGCGATTAGTGAATTTACTTTAAAACTACTCATTCATACCATCTAACGTCTCTTTACAGATCGAAATGAGCTTTCGTTTTTCCTAATGGTAGTGAAAATTAGTGATATAACATAAAACTCTGTGTTAAACATTTCACGGTTTATTTACAATGAAAGCGGATTATTTGTCGTCTTGAGTAACATTTAGACTTCCTAATCTCCGAACTGGCATCATTTCCTTTGAGTGTGAATAAGCACGGAACCTAGTTCTAGGACTTCCTGCTGATCGCCTTGAACCAGCTGGCATCAACTCAAAGTCACCTAATTTGATCACACTGCGAACTTGACTGATAGAATTCAGTTAGCATCAGCACTAAGGGGTTTAGGCACATGACATTGGTTGCACCCTAGTGACAAATCAATTCTTCTGAAAGATTTCTGCGCTAAGTATTTGCTTCATTAGTGCTTTCCAGGTAAATGTAACTCTGTATTATAGTTATTTAGATAATTCACATGAATGAGTTATTTTTTTAGTTCAAATTCTGTGAAATGACCTTTACATAGTTCTAATAACCTGTAATTTCGTTGCTTTGCTAACCAACCATACACGTGGGCTGGGTTCCATTCCCTGCCGACATACTCTTAAAACCTCTTTTACTTGATAGTAGGTCGGGAAATGCTGGAACGTTGGACATGAGGCTAGCAACCCCTACCCGTACAAAGCAACACAACGGCTACTAAAACTTCATAGCTCATGCTTGAAGCCTTGTATTCTGAGTGGAATACAAGGGAATGATAAAAGCTTTGTTTGCTTACGTTTTTTACCTTTCATGCTGTGCTATAGATTCTTACTTCTTGTTCTGTTTCTTTTCTCTCATGTGTTCAAGTGTCAATTCTACATTAACTGATGATGTACAGGATGTCCTAGCAAAATATCCATTACCGATAAAAAATATGCAAGTCGGCTGTATTGACATACCAAAAGATGAAGACGAAAAGGAAGAAAAGACACAAGATGATACAAGTCATCGATATGATGTTCATAAAGAAAATGATGACAGTTTAAAATTAGATAATGAAGAACAGAAAGCAGTTATTTTACACTTACTTTCTCAACTGAAAATCGGGATGGATTTAACAAAGGTGAGATAAAACCAAAAAAGTAAAAAATGCAAACAAACCGTAGTTGTTTTTCAAGTAAGGAAATAAGTTTTTCGTGTAGAAAATTGTGTACTTTCCCTCTTGATCTATCTGTTTAGATATATGAAATAAAAACTGACTATATTTGAAACGTTCCTACCTTTGAACAGAATTACCTATTTGTCAAAGAAAAAATTCAGCACACACAATATTGCCTATTGGTACGTCTGTGGTTCAGTGGTAGAATACTCGCCAACTACACACGTAGCCCGGGTTCGATTCCTGACCACCGACGCACTCATAAACCTTACTTAGCCGATAGTAAGCCCAGAAAAAGAGGGAATGCTAGACATGAGGCTAGCAACCCCACTTCGTAAAAGAACACCACCACCGCTACTTAGACTTCAAAGCTCAAGCTTGAAGCTCCCTATGTTCTACTCGGGGCGTAAAAGAATAAAAAGAAAAAAACTATTGCTTATAATTCACCGGGTGACTGGAAATTCGTAAAATCGATTTCTGATTTAGATGCTTGTTGACCGATCCACCTTCTTTGTATAATATTCTATGTTCTCTCCCAGCAGTGTTCGTTCAGTTTTCCAGCACATGTTGTCAATGCTTTAAAGACCCCTAATGACGTGTATCTCAAGCTTACTCATGCTCTCAGTGACTTTATGTCGATTATATTTGCTCAGTTTTTTCGTATGCAGTTGAGGACATTTCATCACTAAGTCTTTGCGAAATAAGTTGTAATAGTGTAACACAATATAGAAACATCTATAGTAAGTAATCAAAGTTTTGATAGCATCAAACAATTGGTACAAATGTTAAGTGAGTTATTATTATTCCCTTGGGTTCCGAGTGAAACATAGGACATCAACTACACATCTCCACTTTCTTCTATTTTCTGCTGCACTCTTCATCTGGGTCCACAATGGCCCATAATCTCTCATCTCTTCCTCTGCCGCAAACGATCTCCTCCATGTCACTCTCGCACTGACGGCCCACTTGTCTCTTCCCATTTGGATTCCACTCGAGTGATGGCCTGGCGTGCGATGTCATTCGACGGCCTCCTCAATGTATGTCCGATCCATCTCCACTTTCTCCTACATATTTGTTGAGCGATCGGCTCTTGGTTGGTTTGTTCCCGTAGTTTCTTGTTGCTTATTCTTTCTGGTCAAACATTTGATCTTCAGTATGGAGCCAGTGAAGACAGCTGTTGATAAAAGTCTGTAACGTGTTGGAAATCTTTTTTGTGACGCGCCAAGTTCCTGATCCAAATAGAATAGATAACTGACTTCACATTTGTGTTGAACAGAATCTGAATCTTGTTTTTTATGCTGAGTGTTAAGTGAAGAGATACTATTGTAACAGCAGAAGGTAAAACACGGAAGCAAACGTATATATTCAATTGATGAAACCGCTATATATATATATATATATAAACAGCGGTTTGATGGATGAAAAATATACCTTGGTTTCCGTGTCTTGCGTTCTGTTGTTACAATATGACAAAGTTTTAAGGCAGTCATATACCTGTCTGATTTGAAGTCCTACTCTTCCCTTTCTTTTGTGCATAGTCATGTCATCTCTAGTTAAAATTCTATTTCGCTGGACTAAAATTACTTTTAAATCAGGTAGGCTAAATTCTATTCGTGTCGGTGGTTTAATGACAGAATCCACCCGGACGACGCCCACCTAAACCTCGCTTTTTCACTGACTGATAATAAACCCAGGAAAGAGGGAAGCTTCGGCGGATGACTAACAACCCCGCCTTCCAAAAGGAACACCATTGCTACTGAAATTTCAAAGCTTGGAGCCTTTTGTTCGCCTCAGAACGCAAAAATTATATTCACGTGAAATATAGCTTTCACAACACACTTTCAAGAAAGATATGTGAATTGTATTTGTTATTCATTAGAAAGTGAAGTACAAAAATACCTGTACTCTGTTCTACCCTAATGTTTTTGCGTATCGCTTTTTAAACATGTTGATGTTATTAGGTTATTGTTAACTGATTTATCACTACTGGTCTGGTACATCCTATACCGTCTGACAGGAACACCACTTACCAATGTGATGTCGTTCGTAAAGAAGATCTGATTGAAAATGAATATTCCTTCATCCTGTTTGTTTTTTTAAAGGTAGAATTATTATTTGCTCGAAGGCTAAGTAGTTCAGTATGTTGTAAGAAATGTTATTTCTTTTTAGTAGCATAGTGTGTGCAATTTTTTTGGTTAGGTTAAATATACTATACACATTCCCACGCACACACACGAGTGTATTGTCGGTATCACTGCATGAAGATAGAGTTGGTGTTTGACAGCTGTTTTGGTTTCATTTCATCTATTTTCTTCAGTATTTGTTCTTTCAGGATACAAAAATTCCTCTAAATAGTATTCTTTTTTGACATTTGTAATAAGGTGAATAATAAAAAAAGTGTTTTGCACATTATATTTGTACAACTGCATAATATAGAGTTTATGGTAATGCTATTATATTATTATATTAGAGTTGCAGGCTTTGTTAGTTTTAAAGCATGTTAATTCTCATTGTTTTAATTCTTTCTCTTATATGTGTCATATTAGTTAATACTGTGTTCTTGATTGTTTTGTTTCTATTCCACCAAAGGTTGCCCTTCCTGTGTTTATTTTGGAGAAATATTCCTTACTAGAGATGTTTGCTAATTACATGGCGCATCCAAATCTATTTTGCAGGTAAGTGTTCTATTCTTTGAGTAACTGAGATTAACTTCATACTGAATTTTTTGTTGTTCATTATGGGGTTAGCTTAATTGAACGTTGTAAATACTTTGAATACCATTAACTCAATACATTTATAAGCCCTATGCTCAACAAATTGTTCATCATCTTCTTCTTGTTCAATCCTTTGGTAATGTGATTGATTGACTGAGTTTCAACATTGAACTTAGCACAGATGTGCAGCAGTTCAGGTTGTCACACTCCATATAACATACAAAGGTAGACAAACGAGAAAAAAGAGAATCGAGAGAGGTATAATAAGCAGAAGTGAGACAGAAAAAGGATGGTAATATAGGAAAACCTGATGGTTCAGTGGATATTGGAGATCATAAAGACAAGAATGGATCTGCGTCATTGAGCCATATCTCCAGCCATTGGTTCTTAACATCTTGAAGGCCATAACCAGACAGCCTAGATCTGCCTACGTGGCTCAAACCCACAGTCAGTGACTTTGATTTGACGATCCCTAACTTTTTACCAACCTAATCTTATGTCGGCTAACATTGCCTGCCGAGGAAGACAATTCTTGGCATGTTTAGCACATGTCCTAACCATATCAATCAATGTGTTGCTTTACAACCTCATCGATTGACTTACCCTCCTTAGCTAACACTGTATACCTAGCCTTAAATCAATTGTTATTCATTGTATTTTGTGTTTTTCTTTCATTGAATATATTGAGCCGAAATGCTTGGTCTCTGTTGACATTTCGTCTCCGTCTATGGAAGCCACGGCGAAATACAAATTAGATCGAAGAGTCTATTCGATAACTCTGTCGAAAGGAAGAATTTCTCTTCACTACAACTGTCGTTTTGTTTTTCTTAGGAAATCATGACTGACACCTGTTAGGCAAGAGGTTACTTTCATCTCCCATCGGTCTAGGGGATAACGCTTTAATGTTTGAAACGATTGGAGATGAATGCGAGTGTCATTTGGAGCATCATCCATCACTACCTGGGGATGCGGGTTCATCCAATGATGAGTCCTAAATAGGTTGAAATGAGCATCCTGCATTCCACTGCTAGTCACACCACCATCAACCAAATCTCAATCTTATGGCTATGCCTCAACCAATAACAAAACTTATAATTGTGTGTAAACCATTGAAATATAATTATACTATATTTAATGGTATTTACTGTTCTTATTAGTGGAAACTTGAATTTCCAAGTGGGTGAAAAACAAAACGATATAGTTTTTACTGGCGTTTCTCGATTTTAATGCTTTATCGAAGCAATAGTGGACTGGAATAACATTTAATCTAGATCCAGCACCAACACCCACCACCCCATTAATTAACATCTTGTACATTCACGTGAAAAGTGTTGTTCATCATTGTAAACACTTGCTGTTTTTATAATTCGCATACTTATCAAGTCCAACAGTCCGGACATGTTTGTTATCTTCATTAATTTATTCAATTGACAACGTAGAATCATCTCATACTAAAGAATTATGATCTTAGTTAGCATGTATAAACTAGAATTTTGTTGATTCTGTTTTATTATTACATTAATAAAGCTGTTTCCATTAAGTAGTGAAATGTCAGTAAAAACAATATTATTCCACTCATTGGAAAATACGAATTTTTCACAATAGTGAACATTTTTTAAATCATTAAATCTGAACTTGATTTGGACATTTGTTCCAATCAATCTGTTCAGTCAGTTAACAGGAAATTGAAATTAACCTAAACAAATAACAACTGATAACCTGTTAAACAAGAGGCGGTGGCACTCGTATGTATTTTTAATAAATTTTAATTTCATCCCTTTGCGTTCTGAGTGGAACATGTGAATTCAAACTTGAGCTTTGAGGTGTCAGTAACAATGTTGTTTTCTTTTACTTTACAAGGTGGGGTTGCTAGCCTCATGCCCAGCCTTCTCTCTTTACTGGGCTTACTTCTAGCTTAGCTAGTTTTAGGAGTGCATCGGTGGCCAGGAATCCATACTGGACCACGTATATATGTGTGTGTAGTAGACAAGCATTCTACCACTGAACCAATGATGCACAAGTTCTATGCATGGCTTATTTCAAATACTTCATACAACTGGTTCCCTTGATAAATTTCGATAAAGAAAGGAAGACGAAATTTGCAGTATAAAATGATATCATTCTATTTCACAGGTTCTCATCAGCTGCAGACTACTTTAATGTTTGAGTAGTAGTAGAGAAGAGATAAAATTGACGCTTCGTAATGCTTTCATTCTTTTTTGGATGCGTCAATTTTATCTCTTCTCTACTACTACTCAAACATTAAAGTAGTCTGCAGCTGACGAGAACGTGTGAAATAGAATGATATCATGTTATTTCAAATAGTTTTACTGAAAGAGTTTATCCTCATTTTATAACATTTAGTTTCCTAGTTAGAGATGGGAAATGAATATCTCTTTTCGGCATGTATATACCAGTTAACTTACACACTTGTATAAAGTTATTTGAGGCTAAATATTCGTGATACTTAACTAATATTATTTCTCAAGTCTTTTGTTGCTCTTGCTTAATGGCTACATAAGATGCACTCGCTGCATTAGTAAAGCATTCAATAGATTTACCACCTTTTTTGTTTGAATTTTTTAATTTGTTCTTTCTACGTAGTTAAAACTTAAAGTTTCCAATGAAATGTCATAAGCTTTCTTATGAAATTGAATTTCTCACTACCCTTATTATTAAACAAACTTGGCACATTATGAACACCAACAGATGCGCCACACAAAATCTCATAGTTTGTGCCAGGACTGGGATACAGTCCAGACACCTATGCCGTCAGGATTTACGTCCTCATGGTTGACGTTGGTCAAAACAGGTTCATTCGTCATTCGATCGAATCGGATTGTGAAGCCCGTGTACACCATATGCTTAGAATCGGAGTTATCCAGCTCCCCTAGGTAGACCAGCATGTCCACCAGTCCTGTTATAAGTGCCAGGCGTTCCTGTTCTCCTGTACACTTTCGTGAGGAAAACCCCCGCCACGTGGTGTCATTGAAAGGACCTACTTTGCAGGGGCTACGAATGCATGGTCATATGAGAGCTCTTCGAGAGTAAGACCGAATTCTGCCCACCCTAGGTCGTACTAGGTAGTTTTTAAAAGCCACCTTCATTATTGATATTTCATTAAGTTCCTTAGTCTGTTGTCACTTACCAACCTTGATTTTATTCACTACCTCTATGCTTCACACATAAAGCGTGTCCACTTAACTTATAAGCTTACGTCTCCTCTGTCCTTCAACGTGAAGGGAGTCAAAAAATGTACACCATGGCCTAGATTTGAACATTTCATACTAGTTCATTTAAAACAGCAAAACAATGGATGGTAGATAGGGGAAAGAATGGTAAGTGGTATTATGGTTTGAAAAGGATACTGTTTGAATGTATCTGCGTCATTGTCATTGATTTTTTGTTATATCGTCTAATGTTTGCAACCATAGAACATGATTGTTTTTTGGTGTGGTTGCGTACTGTGATCTGAATGGTTTAATTGAGAAGCTTTCATTGTCTTTCTAGACGATATGTTCAGCGCAAGCTTTAATATTGAAGTTTTCTCCTCCAACGTCTCCATGATTGCTTCACAGGCATTACACAATTCAGACCAGTGGCAACTGACATTTTCTTAGCTTTCTTTGATTTTTGTTGAGCTTTCAGCCGCCTATTTTTATTGTCATACTGCTTTTATGAGCTGATTCATTTTTACTGTTTTAACCAATAATAATTTTGTGAGGTAACACGATAACTGATTGTTAGAGTGACATTAAAACGTAGTTGACATTTGGATAAGAAAATTACTAGACATTTTCCCGGGTGCAGTTGTACTTTTTAAAATGTACGAAGATAACACTACACTCATTTTTATTAACTCTCTTGTTGAAAGGGGAAATATATATATAAGAAAGGATTATAAAACCTAGAAATTTCTTGTAAGGTGAATAATGCGTTTCCATTTTTATAACGGCTGAGTAGTTTCAGTGGCATGAGTTTGTTAATTTTCGTGTGTAAACATATACGTCGCTAACTTCCACTGATCACATAAATCATATCCCCAACACAGTTGAAGTTCAGTGACTGACTTTTAATGTAAACGAATTGACTTATGAGGGCTGTAAGTACTACTCTAATTCTCCGGGTCGAATTAGTCGGAACCTTATCTTAACCCTGGATCCTATGGTTGAAAGACCAGCGCCTAGCCCAGTTACTCACATCTTCACATCCTAAACTAATGATTGCATACATATTAAATATTGTTGCTGTCTACACTAAATAGTCTACACGAACTAACATTCGAATGGAAGCGAAAGATAAGTGCATAATTATGATACAAGTTGTGTATTATTTAGTCAATACGATTTATCTTAAGTCACTATGTCTCGTTGAAATATAACCTAACCACATACATATATCCCTTTTGTTTTTAGCATTACTGACTATGAAGATCCTGAAGCGCGTATGCTAGCATTTGTTCAATGGTATCTTACTACATTTCATGCTGGAAAGAAGGTTCGCTCTTTTAAAGTTACTTTTTATCTATCTATTTTTATTTATCTGTACAAATGTGCTCGTTTTCAGGTGGTGATAATAGTTTTATGTGGTCTGATTTATTCTTAAGGTATTAGGATTAGAGTAAAGTATAGGGACTCATACGAACAACCGTCGAACTGACTTTGGATGAACAATCAGATAAGCCCATGGTAAGAACGCGTAATTTGAAAATTTTTGTAGAAATCAAAGTAAGTAGTAAAAACAGTTATACAGGATAGCTATCTCTTGTATGTGCTACGACTGTCCCTCAGTGTTTCACAAGAGTCCTTAGTGTTACTCCAGACCAATTTCTGCATATGAATATGTCTGTATCAACAGAAGGCAAGGGTTAGGCAACAGGTCGTTTATTTAAGAAACCAACAGATATTTATAGATTTTCATGTACATTATTACAGATTATTGTAAGCAAACAAATACAGTCTTCTGATTGGTAGTTTTTTGCTGGACGTTAATTTTTCATCTCTTTGTGGCCGTTTATTGAAGTTCAGATTGTCTATCTGCAAATTGTATCCGCCTACGCAAAGTCTGCTGTGATTGATTGTTGAGTTAGTCTTTGTTCTTATTTTTCTCATGACCAATATTGGGGACGTAAACATTGACGTAAATTACTGTCAACCAATTTTGGCTAGCAGCCAGCTCTCACCACATGTCGAGATTACTACATTGTGAATGTAGCCGAGTGAAGACAAATGCATTTAACCACTCCATATCCATCAACGACAGCTACCTATCTCTGTAGATTTATTATTCCTCCGTATACACATGTTTTATTCCTTAATATAAGTCCATTATCCACACACCATTAAAATGCTAGATTTGGATGAAATTCGCAGTGTATATCTTGCACTTCATCCGTCTCCTCAGGGTTTTACTATTGGCTAATCTCTTCTATTGTTCAGGGTCATTTCAATGGTCGTTCACTGGGGTTGGTATACTTTACCTTAATTGATATTAACTGATGACCTATTAGTGTTATTCATTTATCACAGAATTTATGACATTTAATGATTTCTTGTGTTTATATGCATATGATGAAATCAGTATATGCGTTTCATTCATATAAGAATAGAATTTGAGCACTGTGGTAGAGTATAATTCCATTATGGAATAATTTTATTTGATAAAAGCATACAGTGATGAAGTTTCTAGCACAATTTATTGCTCATAAGGCACTCACATGACTTTGTTTAGATAGTAGTTCCGAGATTACTTTTCTTTTGATTTTATTGGCAGTGGTATTTTTCTTATCTATGGTTTTGGCGTGGTATCATTCCTATCACACTTGTTAAGTGTAGGTCTTGAAATAATATGTGTAGATCTGAGGGACAAAGACTCAGTGATCAACTTCTCCCTCCATGTACCTGTATTACGTTTATAGAACTATAGTTCTTTACCACTGTATTCTGTTAACGCGTGCACTGAGAACGTTGAGGTTTTCCCTAAACTGTTCATCTTCCTGAGGTCAGTCATTCTACACTTAGCTAAATTCCTGTGTTTCGACAACATAATTGATCCCGATCCACTAATTTGACCTATGTAGTTAGCCTTAAAGCCATGACAAGGTATTTTGTGGAATAAATTATTTTGTGTAATTGGGCTAATAAGGTCTTTCAGGCTACATAGCTTGTCCTTGAGCGGGTCAGAAGGTTTAAATGTCACTCCAGTTCCTGCTTTATTGAGAATCCTCTATAGGGTTTCAGATGTCACTTCTTTATGTAGTGAAACTATAGATGTCCTAAATTCTTTCCTATTTATGTTATGGTCAGAAGATCCACAAATTTTTTTCTTACTGTGAGCTTTTTCTATCTTCCTAGTGAAGTTTATGGAATAGTTATTTAGTATCAATGTCTCTTCTACCTATTTCATTTCATTACTTACTTAGAGTTGTCACTCGATTTGTTAGACATTTAACTAAGCTTACCTTTACAGATAAAGGCTTGGATGACTTGAAGTCTAAATATTTATTAGAGTGACTTGGCTTTTTACAAACACTTGTGCATATATAGTTAACCTTCTGCCAATCACTTTATGTAACAATGTAACATAGCTAAGTTTCCTTGTTTATTTAATAACTCAAATGTAAATTTAATTCCCCCTAATACTGAGTTTATTTGTGTGAAGAAGCTAGAGATTTATTTATTTATTTTTGATTACAGCTTGATGCCACACCGTATTTTCAGTACAAGTATGGAATTTTCAGCATGGATATCGGTAGCCCAAATTTTGCAGGCCGACCTTAGACATCGGGTGTGCGTCGGCAAGGGATCGAACCCCGGACCATGTGCATGGTCAGCGAGAGTCCTAACCACTGTGCCACCGACGCACATGTGTTAGGATTAAATGTTCTAAGAGCCACATTTTCCCAACTATGCACAAAGATATCTGCTACGATTGGGAATATAAGTGACTCCACTGCTACACCTCTGTTTGTGTATATTTGCAGCTTGGAGAAAAACTCAGCAATCACAAATCGTTGCATTAGCGCACAATCACACAACAGATAAGAACAGAAACTACAGTTCTAAAAAGTAATATAGGGAATTGTAGGCAGTGGCTGGAAGTAATTTGAGTGCCTCAAAATGATTATGAGCAATAAATTGTGCTCGAAATATCATCAGTAAATAAACGCACTGTATAACTGTGCGTTTTTTTCTGTGATGCAACTTATGAGCTGTTCAAAGTGATGTTATTCAGTAGACATGATTGGCATCCTCGATCATTTGAAGTTTTTTGGGCGTGGTTTGTTGTACTTTGCTAATTACTACTTTCACTGTTAATGAAAGTAAAAATGGGATAGAAGCGACTTCACTGCAACCAAGTAAGTACATGCTACTCATCATGTAGAGACTTTGAATGTTATCATAAACTACACTGAAGTTGAACTGACAACCAGAAGTCAATAGTTGATAACTGTGTATACAACTAAGCCTTATTTTTCTCTAAATTCTCTGTTGGACACTAGTTCACACATTGATTACTTGTCACCTCTGAATGCCTTTTTCCCCTAAAGACCCTTACTTTTTTTCACTTTCAAACACTTGCACTCTAAAACGAGTTTCTTTTACTTATTTTAACTTCAGTAGCATTGATATTTTGAAATTATATTCTCTTTTTTTAAAGGATAGAATTGCTAAGAAACCGTATAATCCTATTATTGGAGAGACATTTCATTGCAGTTGGCTCATTCCTGCTGGGGATAATTTAAACAATGGATGCTCTCTGCTAGAGCCATATAAAGACAAATGCAAAACATCACATGGTAATAATTCACCTATAATAATAAGATACTGTGCTGAACAAGTTTCACATCAACCTCCTGTGACTGCTCTTCATTTTTCTTGTCCTTCAAAGAAAATGGAATTGACTGCATCGATATGCGCTAAGTCAAAATTTCAAGGAATGAGTGCTTATACTGCTATCTTGGGGAAACGTAAGCATGCACATTTATTTTGGTGAAAATTTTTCGTCAGTAACACGGACTCAGTTAATCAAAAAGAAATGCAGCATTTTAGCTTTCATTTTATCATCAAGTACACTGAGAAAACTATTGACGAGTGGAAAAGTTTTCAAGTGCTTGTTTTCAGGGATTTGATTAATTTCAAATTTGAAAACCATCGAAAACCAGGGGTTACTAGGCATCCGTTTCGTCATTGTTTGTGACTCTTCATCGGTATACACCCATGATCTTTAGATTATGAGGCTAGCTGGTTAACTAATTCACCCACTGCGGTACTTATTAAGTGACTTATATTTTCATCTATGTGATGGAGCAGAAAAGAAAGTGTTGCTATTAATTCTGCTCTGAACTATACTGTAAAAACCACGTTTAGAAAATGATCAATTAGATCACTTAGTGCAATAATAAAGTAAAAAACACTTGTTAAATCCACTCTCAACTGACACTCCTGAATCTCGTCTGTCCGTTAAACTTGAAAAAGAGGGAAGGTTTGGCATGAGATTAGCCATTCCATCTCCGTAAAAAAATACCACCGTGACTAAAAATTCAAAAAGCCCAAACACAAAAAAGCAAATAATTCATATCTTGAAAGTAAAGTTTTTTTATAAGTACCACAGATTTACATAAACTTCAGATATCTGTTCAGACATTTTCCTTATCAGGGTATTGATTGATTCGATTGTTGCAGGGCGATTGGAAGCGATTGACTGTTATTTTAGATTTCTAAAAACACGCAGTTAATAAAATGGCCTTAGAGTGTAGTACAACATGAAGGTATTGAGTAGCTTTAATTACCTTTTTCTCTTTTCTCATCTGTTGTGCATATCTACTTACAAAAGGTAATACAAAGCTTTAAAATTATTCTAATAAAAAATTTAAGATATTGACGGTGAAGCTATCTGAGATAATCTTGGGTTGACAATCTGTAATCGATGAAACGGATGATTGAAAATGTAACGCAAATCTGGGTCGCAACAAGATTTCAACCACCGACCTCCTCATTACTAGTTTGGTACTATGACAGCTGACTTACTTGACCTCACTTGACTGAGTTTCAACAAAGAACGTGGCATAGAAGTGCAGGAGTTAAAGTTGACACACTCTATGCAGTGAGTAGAAATGTTCGGGAAAAGGAATTACAACATGGAAAACATTAGAGTGAATGCATCTGAAAATGATTTTAGGCCATATTACCAGTAGTCTCCAGCCACTGGTTCTTAGCTGCCAAAGGAACCCAATCAGGTAGTTCACCGGATTGACCTACTTGAACTAACTGCTATCAGGTAGTTGTTGCACTGGAATCGCCTCGGGAAATATCCGGTTGTCACGTGAATGAATGTCTTGTTACTGGCTGTTTGTCATCATGGTTTCTGTCCAACTAGGTCTTCTCCTTTCAATTTTAATCAAATAGTGAATTAAGAGAGAAGCAAGGAAATTGTGCTGATAGTGAAACAATCTGAGATAGTCCTGGTTTGGCAGATTGTAATTCACGTAATGTTCC